TAGAGCACTTCCACGTGATCTAGACGGCTAATGCGGTAGAAGGTGACGACTCGCTGATAGTGGCGACTCGCTGATATACCACGTTATATATATATTTGTATTTTGAATTTTACTTTTTGGATTTTTATTCACTACTCTTAATTGATATTTTATATAATCACCTATAACGATACTTTATTGAAGGCAGCGGCTGCTTAAGGTTTCATTTGATTGATAGTTATAAGTTAAGGCTTTATTATTGGTATTTATTTGAAAGTAAAGTCGTTACTAGATCAGATAGAATGTAGGTAAACTAATTGATAACTAAATTGAGTACGAAGCTTTTAAATTATAAAATTATTCTAATTATATAATAAACAATAAAGAGAGTCTTTAGGAGCTTTTTGGCTTTTCAAAACTTTTGAAGTGTTACGAGGTTTGCCGTCTAGATCACGTGGAAGTGCTCTAGGCTCTCGAAGTAGGTTTATAACTAGGCGTCAAGCAGGGACTTGAAGTAATGACAATAATGATATGCAATTCGTAACTAATAGTAGAGTATACTAAATGATTGATCTTGAGCACGAAGCTCTATACAAAAGAAATCCATCTTGATTATATAGTCCTTCGTGCCTATGGTTAACTAGGAATCGTCGTTCCTGGGAACGAGCGTTCCTGGTTGTTCCTAGGAACGTTCGTTCCTCACCGTTCCATCACATGTTTTATGGTCATGTGACATACTAATCGTTTTGGACGTAACAGGATAGCTACTCTATATATACACAAATGAATGGCCTAGCCGTAATGGCTAGGCAAAAAGAAGTCATATTTATTCCTCCAATGATCTTACTTTACCGATAACCATTGATACCTAGTACTTGTCCGGATCTGATCCTCAGGTCACCTAAATCGCATACTAATCTCGAGTAATCGTATCATGTGTGGACATGGTTAATGTACCTGAGGTTTCTTATATAATAAAGGTGGGAGGAAAGCAGGGATTTCCGTCACAATAAATAATCTTATAAATTTTTAAAATTCTATCTTTTAATTAATCTTTTCAAAATTCAAAATAAAAAGTAAATCACCTACTATTTATTTGAATTTTTTTAAAAACAAAATAAAAAGATAAAAGATACAGTTTTTAAATAAAAAGAAATCTTATATTATTTACTCTTTCAATCTTGATAGTCTGTAGATAATCATTCAGGGGTATTGCGGCACTTCACCACTCAGTTATTCTTTTTGGAGGGGTGAGATTATGCGTCACATCGGATGTTTAGGCAAGCTTTGCAGAGTGAGGGGGTTTGGTGTTCATTTTGATACAATTAGGCAGGCTTCACGGGAGTAAAAGGTCAACTCAGTATGCTGCAAAATTCTGGCCGTTTCGTGGTTACAGTTTTAGGTACTTGTTTGTAACCTTCCTTTTCATTATCGACTCATTAGAATCTTCTACCAAAGAAGTCATTGTCCCTTTCAAATTCCATTTTTGCAACCATGGAGATCATCAGTAACGACGAGTCGTCAACACGTAGAGCGGCAGCTCTAAAAGAGTTGTCTCCATTTCTACCAGAGATTACCACGATATCCCCACCGAATGATATCAACTCAGAAGCCTCCCAGCTAGATAAACTAGAAGACGGACCGGAAATGAGTAGTTCTACTCAATACGTGTCTGGTCTGAAATTGGTTGTAGTTGTTGCTAGTGTAGCGATGGCCTGCTTTCTTATGCTAGTAGATACTATGGTGATCAGCACGGTGAGTTGCTGGCATATGCTCATTTTCAGAGAATCCAGAAGACGAGTATCATATTGACTATTACCTGGTTTTTGTCACGGCCAGGCTATCCCTCGCATTACGGATCAGTTTAAGTCTCTAGCAGACGTTGGCTGGTATGCCAGTGCCTATCAATTTGGAAGGTTGGTGATGCATACTTGAACCACCAAGCTATCCACCTCCATTATGTCCTCCGCTCGAGTAGGCCATTCCGTGGGAATGTATACGACAGTGACTTGCTCTGTAATCCCTGTCCAAGAAGGAAAAATAATAACCCGGTCTACGCGCCTGCCCAAGGCTTGATCAATCGAGGCTTGCAAGTCAGCGGTAATGAATTTAACGCCGTTGATATTGATGACATCCTGAACTCGGCCTATCAAGTTCAGATTACCATTCAGATCAATGCTAGCTTTATCACCAGTGCGAAACCAACCATCGGAGATGAAAGCCTCTTCGGTTGCTTCTGGATTTCGATAGTAGCCACTAAAAACAACCTCACCACGAACTTCGAGGTCACCGGACTGGTTTGGCGCTGCCAACTTCCTGTATGAAATGGTGTCTCCTGAAGATACGGTGACGCGCATCTCTATGCCTTTCATGCACTTCCCAACAGATGCAAGCTTATATCCGCTAGCAACATCATAATCCGGACAATTGAGGTTGAAAATGGCTCCTGCACAGGTTTCCGTCATCCCGTATCCCGTAGTAATGACATTGCGAGGTGATCCATATCTCTCGAGCAAGGAAGATGCTTCCATACAAGTTTTGACATCGTTTGCCTACCCACCCGATGCTAGGATTGTGAGACTGGACAAGTCCCACGTCAACGTGGTATGCTCAGATGCCGATCGCATCGTTGAAACTAGTCTAGCCAAGAAGAAATTGGGAGCGAATGAACGTGAAACACGATGGTGGGAAAGGAGATCGAGAAAAGTGATTGGCGAAGAAACAACATTGGCGGGGTGGACATGGACCTGATCTACGCCGAGATACATAGCCTGTAAATGAATCTCAACTAGACTTGCGACATGGTCAAGCCCAATCCAATTCAGAAAAGGGCGGTCAGAGGGGAGAGGGCGTACAGAGGCCTTTCCAGTAATAGCTTTGAAGATCTGTTTATGCGTCAAGGGTACAGCCTTAGGGGCTCCGGCACTTCCAGAGGTTCACATTAAGACAGCTGGATCTAAACGATATTTCAACTGGCCTTCTCTGCTTTTGTATTCCTGAGATCGTTGAGTTACAAGCAGGGCTTCGACAGTGTGCACCTGTAGACCATGGGCTCCTCCGAACAGATGCAAGGAATCTGCTCTGGCAATACAGATTGGTGATTCTAGAAGCTCCGATAGTCCTCGTATATGCCTCTGCCGATGCTCCTCGATATTGCTGAAAGGTGAGGAGAGAACCGGTAGACCGTTCGCGTATAGAACAGACCAGAACCAAATTATGGCATCCCAATTATTATCCACATGAATAAGTACAGGACGACCTTCTTTGAATCCTTCAAGACACCGAATAGCACAGGCGTTTTGCTTCGCCTCGGTCTCCAGACTCTTGTACGAAATCTCTAGAGGCTCCGAGACATTTCCTAGGGGATAAAACAAAAGCCGCGAGTTCCCAAGTTCGGCTCTGTCAGCGAGCATATTTTGAAGGCTGTTCCAATATGGACCATGTTGCGGGATATCTAAAGATCCCATAGTGACGAACTTAAAATATGAACTCCAAAACTTTCCTGCTCAGTAATATGAATGTCAAGTTAGCGGATAAATGATCGCTATTTGTATTTATATACCTCATTAAACCGCCACTTAGGCTTCGCTACGCTTACCACAAATGAAGGATGTGTAAAGCGATGATATCCGAGGCCGAAATTCTGGTACCAGGATTAGTAGTGCTGATAGTACCCCAAAGCTTGTGGCGCCGTACATCATCCCATATAGTCTAGATCCCTATTAATGTATGCAAGCACAGGGTTCGTATGCATTGTCGTTCCTTTAATGGTAGCTATCAACTCCAGGAGCGGGTAAGCCCACCTCCTGCATGTAATACCACTGTTGCAACGACACCGCGGTACGAAGATTGCCTCTTGATTCGATGTACGATAATACTATAATCTCTCTGTGATACGTTTTCGTTAGTATCTATAATAGAAATTCATGCATGACTTCGGACTTTCGGCATATTTATCCAGCTACAGGTGGAGATCTGGTCGTCGAGAGTTTGGTACAATATCACATTGTAACTCAAACGCTCTTCATACACCGCTCATTCGCGTTTGTGCCTGAGAGATACCAAAATAAGACCGTGTATTGGAAGTGTTAGTTTTGTTGCTTCTTCAAAGAGAGAACCTACTTGCCATCAACTAAGCATTTGTGAACTACAGTCCTAGTCTACTGGCCAAGAATAAATTATTCAATAAAGGGACGTTGGACAGTTTTGCTCACTGCTTTAAATCTTTCGATATTCCCACATTCCTCACAACAAATACAGAAATATTTCCATTGAAAATTGATCTTGCAAAAGAACTATAATTTGACTAGCAACATGGCCGCAAGTACTTCCATTTTGCGCACCTCATATCTTGCAGATATAATCAGCACATCTGTCACAAAGTTGAACAAGGTGTTATCAGAACAGCATGCCGCGCCACCCTCCTTCCATGAAGACGCGCCAATATCGCTCCCGAAGGAAGCTTCCGAGTTTCAGGATGCAATCATCGATGCCACCATGGAGCTTCATGATCTACTTTTGGATCCCCTTACTCTGATCTACAAGCATAACGGGGTGATTAACCTCTGAATTCTGAATGATGATATGATCTAACTTATCAAAGCATAACAATCCAGTGTGCTTGCAAGCTATTGCTCGCTTCGAAATTGCTCGTATGATCCCAGCCGGCGGCCACATATCATTTGCAGATGTGGCCCAAAAAACAGGGCTGGATGAACAGATTATCACTCGTATCCTTCGTCATGCTATAACCATGCGAGTATTCGATGAACCTCAGCCATGCATTCTCGTCCATACCAGGACATCGAAGATGCTAGCCAACTCAGTCGTAAATGACTGGCTGAAGGTCGGAACCGAGGAGATGTGGCCTGCAGCCGTTAAGGTTAGTGTCCAATGCTATCACTACTATCTCATGTGAACCAAGACTAAGGGAAATTCACAAAGATGCTGGATGCCCTTGAAAAATGGCCGGGCTCTCAGGAGACCAATGAGACAGTAGGTCATAGAACTGTCATGACTGAAACGACAGGTTGCTTACCTCAAGCTACAGGGATTTTCTTTATCAAACAATGCGATTGAGCCCATCTATACTCTAGTTGGGAGCAGTCCCGAGCGAGCGGTTCGTTTCGCAAACGCAATGAAAGTGTTCTCCACAAGACCGGAATATGATCCATCTTATATTGTTGAAAACTACGATTGGGCTTCTTTGGGGCAATCTCAGGTCGTGGATATTGGTGGGGCTCAAGGTCACACAGCCATGGAGTTGGCAAAATGTTTTGAAGGTTTGAACATACTTGTTCAAGACATGGATAAAGTTGTTGAGAATGCTGAATTGGGCGTGCCTGAAGAGCTGAAGAAAAGAGTGCACTTCATGGCGCATGACTTCTTCGCACCTCAAACTGTTCAGGCTGATGTCTTTTACTTTCGATGGATCCTACACAACTGGGCCGACAAGTATTGTGTCCTCATCTTGAGGGCTCAGATACCTGCATTGAAGCCGGGCGCAAGAATCATTATTCAAGACACATGCATGCCAGAACCGGGCACCGTACCGCTATGGAGGGAAAGAGATCTGAGGTAGGTCTTTCAATTGAGATTCATTTCAAATCCTTGCTGACAGAACTTGTGGTCCATAGGGCAGAGGATTTAAATATGGGAGCCGTGTTCAATTCACGGGAGAGAACTGTGAGTGAGTGGGCGACTCTACTTACAGATGCTGACCCGAGGTTTTTGCTGAAGGGCGTTACTCAGCCAAAAGGTTCTGCTCTGGGAATTATCGAGGTTATTTGGGATATATAGTTATATTTTGCTGTGATGGATATCAACGAGACCAACTGAGAAGTCTAGGGGAAATGACTACTTGGGGAAGTTTTTAGAAAATGATGCTCTGTGATTCGACGGATGATTTGGTGTGGTTTCAATCATTTTCAAAGGCTGAGCGACGATCACAATAAGAATGTGGTTTTATAGTGACATCATAAACCTATTCAAATTGATCATTATTTTTGTCATATCCTATGAAATAAATTGGACAACCAGTTTGGCGGCAATTTGGTCCTTTATGAGGATGTGATTAACCATCCACATATTGCGAGCACTATATTCAACACCTATACGCACCACGCTCTAGAAACCTGTATTTTTATCCATAGAGCCAAGATTCAATCATGTTGGAGCTAGGCGGAGATCGTGCTTTGACAAGGCACGAGCACTGGGCGTGAAGGTATTCGCAAATCGGCCTCGAACCGGGGACTACCAATGGAGTGCAGATGGAACCATACAACGATCGATGAGCGGTGATGGAAATATGAAGCATACTGGACCTTTACGAATCTACACCAAGTCTAGAACCCTACTTTCAGACCACTCTTTTACACCCAAAGTCATCATTTGCACTTATGAATAACTTCTTTATTCATTGATGTGATTTCTTTAAATTTTTATTGTAATCTGTTAAAAGGAATGACCTTACACAGTGTTACGACGGCTTCGGATCTCGTATCATGTGACCAATTATGTAATCACATGGTCCCTTCGATCCCCTCTCTTGATCGAAGGGACCGAGGGGACCAAGGGGACGATTAGCATGAAGGTCTATATAACCAAGATGGATTTCCTTTGTATAGAGCTTCGTGCTCAAGATCAATTATTTAGTATATCCTACTATTAGTTACGAATTGCATATCATTATTGTCATTACTTAAGTCCCTGCTTGACGCCTAGTTATAAACCACCTCGAGAGCCTAGAGCACTTCCACGTGATCTAGACGGCAAACCTCGTAACACACAGGGAATAGTGGGAAGCTGATAGGGCAGAACTGAGGCTATATTGGTCTTGTATATTAATCACACCGTTATCTAAGTTCTACGGAAGTGCGAAGCTCTCCTACAGAGAGCTTCTCAATCTAGTCCTAATAGGACTAGTGCCCTGTGCACGTGCTACGCAGGAACCATTCACTTTAACAATAATTTTAATAATAATTATAAAATAAATACTATAAATTATTATATTAAGGTAGAATAATTGTTGAATTATTAAGATTTAAAGTTTATATAATGATTTTTTTTAAATTGGCTCATATTAAAGATGTTCTAGAAGTAGAGTATTAGACTTAATGTTACGCGTGGTAACAGGAAACTCTCACGTGCAATCAATATCACGTGACTGGCTCAGTGAGGATCAGTGAGCTCAGTACTGAGCCGCATTGATCCTATTGAGCAGCCAGAACACGAAGGTCTATATAATGAAGATGGATTTCCTTTGTATAGAGCTTTGTGCTCAAGATCAATCATTTAGTATACTCTACTATTCGTTACGAATTGCATTATTGTCATTACTTAAGTCCCTGCTTGACGTTTAATTATAAACCACCTCGAGAGCCTAGAGCACTTCCACGTGATCTAGACGGCAAACCTCGTAACACTTAATTATAATTTCAAGATTTGAATTTTTTTATTATTTATTAAAAAGTTACTTAAGATTTTCAAGGTTTTTTTACTTTTATATAAAACTTATGAAAATTTCAGCTTTTAATAATTTACTATTATATAAAAAAATAAATATAAGATTATGTTAAAGTGAATGGTTCCTGCGTAGCACGTGCACAGGGCACTAGTCCTATTAGGACTAGATTGAGAAGCTCTCTGTAGGAGAGCTTCGCACTTCCGTAGAACTTAGATAACGGTGTGATTCTCATAACAGCCAATATAGCCTCAGTTCTGCCCTATCAGCCTCCCACTATTCCCTGTGTAAGGTAATTCCTTTTAACAATTTTTAATGTAAAAAGGTGACCGGAAAGTAGGGTATTAAACTTGCAGTGAGATTTAAAACTAATATAAAAAATATTATAACAACTTCAAGTATTGATTCTATTATTAACTATTATATACTTTTTCAACGATAGGTTAAGGCAAGATTCAGTGATATATTTCTAATATCTTTTTTTGTTCTTTTGTTTATCTTTAAACGGTGCATCATCATAGTTCTGTAGTTTTTGACGCCATAATCAACCGGCCTCTAAGCCTTCGCGTTAGCATCAGAATATGGGATGCATTCCTCTCTGTACGTCGTATAGTATACGACGATTACTGGAGATATGGCAATGGTTTGTCATTATTTCTAAGTATGGCCTCATTCTCTTTTCGGCCCGGTTACTATGACAGATCATAATATTAACTTTGAGGATATCTATCCAGTGTAGGGATGAGTGGGTTACATATGATTATATAATTTCAAGTCATTGCCCTCTTCAATTATACTAAACTGTATCAAGCCTTTATATTGTGAGAAAGTGGGAATTGTAGGCCATAAATATTAAAGTTTTCCAGCTAGTTAATTATATGATCTGTTAAAAGGAATAGAAGTTACCGGTACTAATCACGACACGTGATTAGTAATACGGTTACCTAAACAGGCTAGATTAGACGAACCATAAGCAGGCATATTGGTCCCCTCCGAGGATACCAAGAGGATATCAAGATGCCTACACATGTAGTAATATAGTCAATATAGAGGCCTCTTCCACCCAATCTTTTAATATGATCTCTAATAATTAAGTATAAAAGAGTAACTTTATTATTTTCTTTCCAAAACAATCAATCTTTTATATATATATTTTTGAATATATATAGTTTTCGATCCAAACTTATTATAAAATTCATTTTATTTTCTAAATGATATATTACAATGTAATCTAATCAACTCTTTTCTTCATTTCCTTTTCACAACATATTATCAGGATGCACGTATCTCGACCTACCTCTTTTACAATATGTACATTGATAGTTAATCAGATCTATAGAATAGATAAAGTGGATCGGATTTTGATAGCGTTTTTAGATGAGTAGTCAAAACGTCTATTTGAGAAAAAAATACATTATACTGTGCTGACGAGTACATGTGATTACATCATCATTAGAAATCACCCATCGCCTAATCGAGTGGGAATTGAGCATCCACATTTATGTTTGATACGTCTGTGCACATTTCAATATTCCTCAACGTCGGTACCATTGAGCTGTGTCGCTCTACACTTTGCGGCCCTTCTCTTCTTGACTAGAAGAATTTTCCTGGTCTTGATTTGACACTATTCCAGGGGATGAAATCGTCCGGATCTTCCCGTCGGTCTTTAAACGGCGACCGACCTGTCCGGCACTTAATCGGTAGAGACAAATTGGGGAGCACAGACAGGCAGATCCTGGTGTCAAGGTTCTTTCGGCAGTATTATTTTGTTGTTAATGTGGCTTTGCGGATATCACAATCGAGTGATTGACGTGATATCGTGGATCATGATTCTTATCTCATGCAGGAACCACAAATTTGATGGACAGCATAGTTACTTTTCAACAGTCTCGGGCTTTAAGGGTTTTGTTATGTGGACAAAATGATTTAGCTGGATGGCAGGACCACAGCAGTGAAACAAAATTAAAGCCTATCTCCGCCGGTATGTCCACTTTGATACTCGAATTCGGAGCATCCCTTCACAGCCAGCTCTAGATAAGCTCTCGACTATGTAATCGATTTGAGAGGAATCATTATATAAGTTCAGGTAGGATCTCAAGCAATCTATCCTACTCAACATCACTGCATTCTTTCCTTTTCCCAATCTTTTACTTTTCTACTGCCTTCATCAATGATGAATCGTTTACTTCCTGCTGTTGCGTTAGCATCCTTGGCTGTTGCCAGTCCCGAGCTTAACCTGGCTTATGATTATGTTATCGTAGGCGGTGGAACAAGTGGACTAGTCATTGCAAACCGGTTATCTGAGTTGAATGTCACTGTGGCCGTGATTGAAGCAGGTGATTTGGGCTATGAAAATGTCAATATAACTAACCCGGCCGGTTATGGATTGGCTTTCGGGACCAATATCGATTGGGCATACCAATCAGTCAATCAAAAGTATGCAGGGAACGCTACACAGACTTTACGCGCCGGGAAAGTCATTGGGGGTACTAGCACAATCAACGGTATGTTCTATTCATCTTAAATTATCGCATGAATTATCTAACATGACCAGGGATGGCATATACCCGAGCTGAAGATGTTCAGATTGATGCTTGGGAAGCCCTGGGAAATGATGGATGGAATTGGGAGAATCTCTTCCCATACTATAAGAAGTCCCAGAGACTTGAACCTCCTACTGCTGCTCAAGCTGAATCCGGTGCCACCTACGATCCTTCAGCCAATGGAGTCGACGGGCCATTAAAGGTTGGCTGGCTCAACAACTTGGCCAATGATGACTTTCACATAACTTTGAACGATACCTACGCTTCTCTCGGCGTTTTTGCGAATGAGGATGTAAACACCGGTAGAATGGTTGGTCATAATCGCTACCCAGCTACCTACGACAGCACTTTGAACGTTCGCCATGATGCCGGACGAGCATACTATTATCCAATTGCAAACCGCACCAACCTTCATCTTTACCCAAATACCATGGCTCAGCGACTTACTTGGAAATCTGGTGCCGATATCCCAACAACAAATGGAGTTGAGGTCCTTGCCAACAACTCAAGCATCCCATACACCATTTCTGCAAATTCAGAAGTTATTCTTTCAGCTGGAGCTCTAGCGTCCCCTCTACTCCTCGAACTTTCTGGCATCGGAAACCCTTCCATCTTAAACAAGTACAACATCCCGGTCGTGGTTGATCTACCAACTGTCGGAGAAAATCTTCAGGATCAGACGAACAACGGTCTTGCATACACGGTTTCAGAAGACGCCTCCTTCTCTGGGGTCGGTACCTTGGTCGCTTATCCTTCAGCAGCCCAAGTCTTTGGTTCTGAGATCCAAAATATCTCCACTCATGTTCTTGATTCCCTCCCTTCATACGCCGCACAAGTCTCGGCTGCTTCTGGTAACATCACAAAAGCCGCTGACTTGTTAGAATTCTTCAAAATTCAATATGACCTGATATTTTCATCAACCCACCCTATTCCCATGGCTGAGATCCTTGTCATGCCATCCACAACAGGTTTCACGACAGAGTATTGGGCTCTACTACCATTTGCAAGAGGAAATATACACATCACTTCTTCGATACCAGGCACCCCGGCGGCAATAAATCCAAATTATTACATGCTTGACTGGGATATCACATCGCAATTCACTACTGCCAAGTTCATCCGTTCCATCTACGCTACCTCTCCATTGTCCAATCTAGTTGGCTCAGAAACTAAACCAGGTTTGGAGACAGTATCAGCAAATGCTACCGAGGCGGAATGGTCTGAATGGATCAAAGCTGGCTATCGTTCCAACTTTCACCCAGTATCAACCGCTGCTATGATGCCAAGAGAGGTTGGAGGAGTAGTTGATTCAAGATTGAAGGTCTATGGGACATCAAATGTGAGAGTTGTGGATGCTAGTATATTGCCCATGCAAGTTTGTGGACATTTGGTCAGTACTTTGTACGCTGTAGCAGAGAGAGCGGCAGATTTGATCAAGGAGGAAATTTAGATGGTGTCGACTGAGAGAAGAGCGAGAAAAGCTTCTGGAGTTGGACTCATTCTAAAATCACCATGACCGTGCACCACAAGCACGATAGTCATGATTCTCAATGTATATAGTTGTTCAGTTTTACTTGTTTAGATTTCGACTTATTAATTAATTATTGGGTTTCTTGAGACCAGAAAGAGCATCAGATTGAATTGATTGATTCTCTAGCTAAGCAGTTAAGCTGCGAGTATATATTCAAAAAATAAAGGAATAGGGTTAGGTATTCGGCCCTCGGAATTAAAGTGCTTTGAAATCAAAATATTGAAAGCAAACAAACAGTATACCAAAAAGAAAAGAATGAATTAAAAGTTGAGTTTTGTTTGCTCCTTATATGCATCATGCAATATATATGCATATGCTGCCAAGATCCCAGGAGGTCAACATTAATTGATCCCTTCACCAGCACCCAGCTCACTGGTATCTAGTCATAAAGCAACTTACTTCCTTAGCAAAGGATTTTAAGTCATGGGATCCGACATGGATTACGGTGCACCGTGGATGCAATCTTTGAGTTCTGCCATTTTGAATTATGTTTTAGGGCCAATATTTTATAGTGATCCCATCAGTAATTGTCATGACCTCCTTCTTACTAGGCTCTTTGTTTCAAGCAAAGCGTTTTCGAAAACATAGACACCCTGTCAAAAAGCAAGAACTTTTGGCACATCAAGTATATATTAAAAGCAAATGAGCTAGTTTTTTCGCTTCAGATATCCGATACTTTTCATGGGGTACCTTCGTTGAGATACATCCTGAAACTCTTAATTTGTCCCACATCCCTAGGATATTTTCATTAATTCTTCTTAGTTTCCCCTCCTGGCTTTTAACCATACTTGATGGAGTATATGATTAAGCCTTAAGCTTATAATCGAGGATCTATACTCTACAATGGATAATACAGCCGGTCTAGACTGCTTTTATGTCCTTTTTTACTTCTTCAAGAATGTTTTGTGCTTCTTTTCTGCACTACTTTAACTACAGCATACTCCAACCAGCTCCTGTGTTTAATTGAAAGGATTTATATATTCTTTCACAAAGAAATCAAAATTAATTAAAAGCATTTATACAAAGTAATTATTTTATACCTTTCTTAAAGAGAGATATATTTCGATTGTCACACTCAAGAATACTGGGTAAAGTATCTTGTATTAGAAAATACTAAGCTAAGGAGAAAAAGAAGAAGGAAAACAAGAGTAGAGATTGATTGATTGATTGATTGTGTTTATCGTCATAGGCCGTAGGCCGCGCGTGCCTTGGCATGTGACAACCTTAGCCATCTATTCCAGTTTTGGACAAATGACGCTCAGAGGAGAAGCCTCTGAGTGGTTTACTAGCTAGCTAGGGGGAGTATTTATATACAATTTAAAGGGGCTAGGGCAGGGTTTACATGATTGCCTTCGCAGGGGGGGGGGTTGGGCCGGTAGGCCTTTTGGGGTTGTAATTGTGGTCATCCTCGTCCACTAGATCACTACCTCTTGATCTCTCTCCCTGTCTCCTCGTACTTGTTTTGGTTGTTTGTGTATATAGTCGTTTTTTTTTTTTAAAAAAAAGAAGAAAGGTGAGAGAGAGGAAAGAGAGGAAGGAAAAGCACCCTTAGAGACTTATTAACTCCGTTTGAATCCGATGAAAGAAAGAAAGTTTTTATTTTATTTTTATATTGCACCTGTGTGCCATGGGCAGATTTCTGTGTAGAATTTGGTGTATTCTAGCCATTCGGCTAGTTTAGCTATACCGGTGGGATTGCTTAGAAGCTAGGGGATAGCTTCGGAGGGGGGGCTCTTTGTGAGTGCTTTGAAGGCTTTTCCTTTTTTGCAAAAGAAAAAGTGTAATGGAGTTTTCCTTTTACCACACGAGCAATGGGCGTGGGCTGTAGTGTGGTTGAAGCGTTCATGGTATGCTGCGAAGTCGCCATGCTGTGATCTGATAGCGAGAATATGGTGGAGTGTGGCTCTCTTCAAAGAGAGGGTGTCTGTATTAGAAGTGTGGTTGAGTTGGAGATCTTTGTAGTATTGTGGCCTGACTGTATTCCATAATTGTTCGTTTGCTTTGTTGGCTCTTGTTCTGATCATTCTTTTTAGGGATGCTAGCGTACAGATCGGGTTGAGGGGAAAGGGGAGTTTTGTTCCTTCCTTAGCGGCTTTGTCAGCTATTTCGTTGCCAGGGATATCCAGGTGCCCTGGGACCCATCGGATGCGGATTTTCCCGGGGGAGGTGTGTGGGAGCCTTGGTCTGACAGCCCAAGCCTGTGTGAGCTTCAGAAAGTCTTCAAAGACTCTCTGTGAGGAACCGTTGAAGTGGGATCCTAATCAGAGAGCAGCCTCGTGGTTGTCTAAGAAGATCCAGAGATCTGTAGCCAGTTTGGTTGATGCTAGAGTGAGGGCTTTTGCTGCCCCTGCTACTGCGGCTGTGGCTTCTGCATCGAACACTTCTGCATTTATACCTAATGAAAAAGAATAATGTGCTATCTGAATATCGAATTGTGAGATTACGAATCCGCCCCCGGTTGCGCCATCCTTGCTTTCACTTTTTGAGCCATCCGAGAAGATTTGTATATCGCTTCTTGGGATCTTAGCGTGGAAGGCTTTGAAGTCTTCGGCTGCTTGTGCCTTCGTTCTGCCCATCGGACCATTGATACGGGCCTCGGCCTCTGCCCTCGACTCTCTGATTTCCCAGGGGGGGGAGGCCAAGGGGTTTATGTGTTCAGTCTCCGGTAATGCTGTGATGAGCCTTGCGAATCTTGTGTCTGGGATGCGGTTCTGTTCTTTGGCTTTGGTTATGTTCTCTGCTCTGATTCTGAGAGGGTGGTAGGGGTCTAATCTGGTGGTTCGTGCTGCATATGATTGTGAGATCTGGTTTAGCTCGATCTCGGATGGTCTGAGTTTGGCTTCTTCGTAGAGTACTGCTATGTTTGTGGTTTTGTATACTGGGAGGATTGCTCTTGTGCAGGTAATTACCACTTTATTGAGCAGGTTTATATGGCTATCCACTATATTCGAGGTCGAGATCGGTTTGTTTAGAGCATTCTTCTTTGATCTGGTTCGGCCCGGCCACCAAGTTTCCGAGGCGAAATAGCACTGTTTGAGTATGCAGGCTTCAGCCACTCAACAAGAGTAGAGAGTTTTCCTGTGATTAAATACAAACGGGGCATGCCACGTGACCCGGAGGTGTGAGGCGTCACATATTTAATCAATGAAAAATACCCCGTTACCACGGATATACCCTACCCTCTACTCAACCCTGCAAATATTAGCATATAGGGTGGATGAGATAGTTAAATAATCATCTTTTGTCAGGTTGGATCAAAGAAGGTGATTGGACATGATCAATTTAGTCTTATGCGTTGAAATCATGTCAGTACGAATAGGCACAGGCAAGATTATTCTTAGTGAGGGGAATGAACTCAGAAGAGCAGTAGAAAAAAGGCGGATTAGGAAGATCAAAGGTGTCATTTCCATGCATCCCTAGCCTTCACTGATTCGGACTCGGGCGAATCTATAATCATGGAGATAAATGGGCGCAGAAAAGAGCTTATCACTACTAGGGTGTGAACTCCAATTTCACTGTAGACCAAAACGGCTCTTATAAATCATGATGTGTGGTGTATATGGTAGGGGATGAGAGGTATTCATGGGACAAATATTCCAAGCTTGAAGCTTTGTTGTATATTGAGAACTCTTATTAGTATTTATTCAAATCATTGAAACATTATAAAATTAACAAAAATATATGTACATGTGTTTCCTGTGTGTATGTCATTTATATAAGTATTTAGAATTCAGTTTGTATTTAAAAAGGGAGAAATCATAAAATATTTAAAAAAAAGTATTATTCTACTTAGCTTCTGTATTATTAATAATGTTACATTAGAACAATTAAGAGATATCTATTAATTTACTTAAGAGTTCTGGGCTCTACTCACTGTACAGCATAACGCTTTTCATCTAAAACTGTTACGTCGGACTCCACAAGCCCCTTACCACGTGATTACATCACGTGATGGACCCTACATAATATGCACGAAAAATAAAGGTCCAACATATTCTTAGATCCAGGACCTTTCGAGGTCCTGAAGGTCTATAGCATGAAGGTCTATATAATGAAGATGGACTCCATTACCGTAGAGCTTCGTGCTCAAGATCAATCATTTAGTATACTCTACTATTAGTTACGAATTGCATATCGTTATTGTCATTACTTAAGTCCCTGCTTGACGCCTACTGTGACGGAAACCCCTGCTTTCCTCCCACCTTTATTATATAAGAAACCTCAGGTACATTAACCATGTCCACACATGATACGATTACTCGAGATTAGTATGCGATTTAGGTGACCTGAGGATCAGATCCGGACAAGTACTAGGTATCAATGGTTATCGGTAAAGTAAGATCATTGGAGGAATAAATATGACTTCTTTTTGCCTAGCCATTACGGCTAGGCCATTCATTTGTGTATATATAGAGTAGCTATCCTGTTACGTCCAAAACGATTAGTATGTCACATGACCATAAAACATGTGATGGAACGGTGAGGAACGAACGTTCCTAGGAACAACCAGGAACGCTCGTTCCCAGGAACGACGATTCCTAGTTAACCATAGGCACGAAGGACTATATAATCAAGATGGATTTCTTTTGTATAGAGCTTCGTGCTCAAGATCAATCATTTAGTATACTCTACTATTAGTTACGAATTGCATATCATTATTGTCATTACTTCAAGTCCCTGCTTGACGCCTAGTTATAAACCTACTTCGAGAGCCTAGAGCACTTCCACGTGATCTAGACGGCAAACCTCGTAACATATCCCCATCTACAGGTGTTCTTTACCTGTAGATTCTAAGTTAAATACAATTGCTGGTCTATAAACACCCTTTTGGTCACACCTAGTTATGAACCACTTCGAGAGCCTAGATCACTTCCACGTGATCTAGACGGCAAACCTCGTAACAAAAACCTTGATTTACTCATTTTTTCAAATCCCTATTAAATATTTATATAAAATAAAATAAAATTTTTATTAAAAGATTGGGTGGAAGAGGCCTCTATATTGACTATATTACTACGTCTGTAGGCATATTAATCTCCTCTTGGTATCCTCGGAGGGGACCAATATGCCTGCTTATGGTTCGTCTAATCTAGCCTGTTTAGGTAACCGTATTACTAATCACGACACGTGATTAGTACCGGTAACTTCTATTCCTTTTAACAATTTTTTATTTTTTTTTGAAAAAAATTTGAAGATAATCAATTAAAATTGAAGACAAAAATCATAAAATTATCAAAATTTTCGTTTATTTTATATAAGAAAATATTATATAATTGAAATTTTAATATTTTACAACTTTAAATATTTATAACTTTTGAACAAAAATAATCAAAAATAAATTATAAAATTTCTCAAAATTCCTTTTTAGTTAAATATTATATTTAAAGATTTCAAATGATTTGATTCAACATTAAAAAAGTTATTTGATATTTAATTTTACATGAAAGATTGTAGTTTTTGCAGGGGTTTTGTTACAAAACGTCACGGTGTACGGTGAGTAAAGTCCAGAACTCTTACAATTGTCTCTTTGTTTTCAAATAAGATCATGATCTAAAAGACAAGGAACTCAATCAAGATATATATTATCAAAGTTATTAAAGTCACATTTACAAAATCCGAAGAGTTTTAAAGGAAAAACATTTCTTTAATTTTTTGAGTCCTAGAGACGCCTCCTGAGACATTTTTTACCTAGTCCGAAATGATTTACATAAGGAAAGTGTTTTTTTTTTTTAGGATGAGTTTTTCTTTAGGAAAGAGACAACTCCTGGAATGTACTGACTTACTTGGCAATCTAGCAAATGAAAGAAGAAAGAAAAGGACAGAGAACAATGTACTAACTGATCTAGCTGTCTAACAAATGAAAGAAGGAAATGAAAGGACAGAGAACAATGTGCTGACTGGCCTGGCTCTCTAGCAAACGAAAGAGAAAAAGGAAAGGATGGAGAACTGATTGCATGATTTACTGTTGACTATAACTAGCAATGCACCTGGTGCATTCAGGACAATACTCAATCCAACAGGGGTCTGCTCCGTTCCATCTTGGAATTGTCATTTGAGTGAAGCAAGTTGAGCAGGGACCCCTGATGAGTTGAGAAATGATCTGCCCGCAGGCGCAACATCTGACCTGTTCGAAGGTGCAGAACTCACAGAGGTTTGTGACCTGATGCGTTGTAGTGTCCACTTGTGGATGGTCGTCCGACATTTTTGGTTGTGTGGTGGTTTGAGTTTGTCGGAAGGTGTGGATGATCTGAATATTTCAAAGTTTGTGTGTGTGTTTGAATATTCTGTAAGATGTGCAGATGATGGTGAGAGAATATTTTAAACATAGAGCGCAATTTGAATATAAATACATCTATGAGGGATGTTGTTTGGTAGTTGTTCTTGGGCTATTTTAATTGTACGAACAATACTTATTGTAATGCTCAATCAACCTCCTGATGTTCAGGAATTGTTCAAAGACTAACTTCTCGATGTTCAGGAAGTGTTTAAAGTTTGAACTCATGTTCAATTATTGCTTGTGAAATTCCCGAACCGATCAGTTAATCATAATTCTTCAATCTATCGTTTGTAGACTATACAGAAATAATCTGAGCTCATAGATACTGATAAATAGTCAGCCTCATAAATTATTCATGGAATGTGCCATGAAGACTTCAAATTTCATTAGCCTTGTTGTCAATACCTTCACTAATATGGCTGCACCATTAAACTTATCATGCTCGCACCATTAAACTTATCATGCTCAAATAAGTCTTCCCTTGGTGTAACTCATTCCGTCTTCTGAATTTCTCCATCGGTGCATTGATATTACTAGTTCTGGAGAACCTCAGCCTCAAGGATATCCTGAAATACAATGACAATGTTTCAGTACTTTTGTGATATAACTGTTGCAGCTATGCAAAAAAAAAGTTCTCGAGGTAATCGCACCTGAACGTTTGATGACTTGAACTTCCAAGTCATTGAAAAGCCCATGGCAATCAGCCAAAGCGCAAACACGAAATAAATAAAGTCATACCGTGGAATTGGAAAAATTCATTGGGGTCTCGCAGTACTGATGTACAATATTCAATCTTCTGCCATCAACATATAAGCTTACTCTGCAAAGGCCTTCAAGACTCATTGCCCAAATCATGCCCCAAGTTATATTTTAGGCGCTTACTGGTACATCCATTCAAGCCCGCCTCCCTAGAACCCACCGCCCTAGAACCCACCGCCAGCATTTAAAACCTCACTCAAAACCTTCCCCAGCACACCCCTAATTCTATCTTTGTTCTCCCCCACACAAGTAAAAACGACTGCTGTTCCCCAGGCGAAAACGACCTTCTCAATCCACTGCTCCTCCCATCTATATCTCCTCGGCAGCAAAGTCGCCAGCGCCCTCGGGGCAACAAATAACCCCATTTCTTCCCTTCTCTTTGCACTTTCTATAAGTACACTCCATCCACACATCCAGCATCCGGCTCCTATACAATAACCCGAGTCGATGGCTTGACAGGCGTGCGGACAGGTACCGAATACACGCGGTCCCAATCTCGTACGAGTGAGGCAGATTCCGTAGTAAAAGAGCGTAATGAATGCAGAAAGGAAAGCCGAAGAACGAGCCGATGATTTAAGGGCATGGACGAAGGCTTTTCTCGAATTTTTTGGATTACGGAGAATAAGTGCCAAATTCAGTGGCAAATACATTGAAGCAGACCAAATGAATGATTTATAGAATCTTGACACGGCGTGAAATTCACAATTCGGACCTGCACCCATGTGGACTAGTTCACAAGGAAATGGAATAGATTTTGTTGGATCTCCGTACTCTTCTGGTAGACCATAATCTTTGCACATATCTCCTAGAAGGTGTGCCTGGCCCGTTTCGACGCCATATTTTAGTTCACCATAGCGACAATAGCGAAGAGCTTTAAGTAAACGAGAATCCACTTGAGCGGCGGATTTAATCCATTTGTTGTAGGCCAGGGGAAGACGGGCGGGTGTGTAAATGAATGCCCACATGATTAGAGCGCAGGAGCTTGCGAACAGGGTCGGGTCAGTGACAGATGATATCATCCCATCTAACTATTGGGGTATTTAGCCTTTTACTTAATTCATATGCTGTTGGCGAGTGAGCAAAAACTTACTCTCGACCACTTCCCAGAGGCTTGTCGTCGACTCTTACGTTGAGCCCATAATTCTCCGACGACGCAATCAAGAGCTCGAGTGAAAGCAAAGAGAGTCAAGTCCAGAGTTCTTCCCGCAAACCTAGTGGGTCGAAGTTCCACGCCATTCTTCGTTTCGTGGGGAAGGTCTTCAGTGAAGGTTTTACTTGGACGTGATTGGAGGAGTTGCAGACCGAAGTAAGCCGATATGAACGTTGATAGGTATCGAGTGAGCCTGGAAAAATATTTGTTAGGACGAGGACTTTAAAAATGATAGTATGATTTCTACGGCCCAAAGGTGCGGGTAGAGGGTGCCAAAGCCGCAAAATGATGCAGACATGCAGTTCCATTCTAGTTCCGTTTGCTCTTTACCTCGCATTCGGTATGGCTTATTTTACGTAGATAAGACTAACATACCTCAGCTGTGTGACTATGGGCAGATTCCCCAATAATTTCTCAAAAACCGCTCGTAAAGGAATCTAGGCATCAAGTCAGCAACATGCGCGCCTCCCATAACGAGCTCACGTGCCTGTAGTAAAGTACTTCCACCAACCAGGGCGGCACAAAATGTTGGAAACCTCTGTATTTCTAACCCCCCTTTCAAAATCTGAACGAACGAACTCCAAAAGTAATCTTCCCCTACAGGTCTTGGATCAATATTCTTTCGATGTCGGCTCAAGTGGATCAGGAAAAGGGTTAATAATCTTGGTCCTGCGCTTGATGCATAACCCAAGATATAAGCGCGAAATAGTGGTCGTAATATTATCGGAATCGCTTTATCAAAACTTTGATTCAGAGAAGCTTTCCTCAGTGGTAGGTTTTGCATTGTGCAGTAGACAGTCTTTGGGCACCAAGATTTCTACCGGTGCAAATCAACTGTCCAAGATCAGCATTAGCATCCCATGAAGCAGACACTAGATCTGCAGTTGTCGTCAACAAACAGATTATATCATCGGATGACAAAATCAAGTGACGAATGGTTTCGCCCTGCAAAGGCCTTGTCAAGAAGAGGTATTTACCAGCATCGTGATGTAGGTATCATTTTCCCTGCGATGCTGCAACGTCCTCGAATGCACAATGGGGCCGGCTCGGTAATAAGCAATGTTGGAAGGATATCATGAGATCTTACCTGTGAAATTTGAGTTTCTGGTGGTGGCTGAATTATACCTATTGTGGAGAGAAGTATCCTGTTTTAGGAACTCACCCCGGAATGAGGATCGATAGGAAATGCGGAGGAAGATGGAGAAGGTAAAATCCCCGTGCCGTGGGTATTTTTGGTATTTTTACCTCGGTGACCAAAAAGAATTAGAGAAATTAAGGAAGGACTGGGTTTAGGTAAGTGTATTATTGTGGTGAAGATTGAACAACGACTCCTTGACACGTAAAAATGGCGGGGATACGGTACTCGTAAGATGTTGAGAGATCTTGGTTGTTCCACGACAGGATTGAAGAATGTATCGTAATGTTTAATGCATTTGTTGACTTTGCTCTTTTTGCTTTGGTGCCGAATGGATAACCTAGGTTGAAGAAGGCCACGTTGGGAACATGCAAAGTGATAATAAGTTTGATTGGAAAGTAGAAGTTATTGACACTTGATCGAAATCTAGAACTGGGAAAATGCCGAAACCACTCAATGGAACGAGTCTGTAAGGGTTGAGATGTAAGTCTTACTTTTTACTTAACTATGAGTGAGGTTCAGGATTTGAACCCTGCAGGTGATGATGATCAATTCGCAAAACAGAAGCCGTGTCCGTTGCACCAAAAAGATGGTGAAGGCAAAGGAGGGGTCGTTGATGCAGGTACAATGATACAATGATAACCTTACAATGAATGATATGCGCACCAGGCGTCGTAATGTTGATAGGATGTGATGGGGATGGAAGCACGTGATTACTCTGGTGCTGTGATCTTATACTCACTCACCTTGACCAACAGATGTTTCGTACTCTTAAGCTCTAGGTACTCACTCTCACTTGCCATTTCATATTTTATTTCATTCCCCTTCACTTCACACATACATACCTAGGTATTGTACACAGTTATATATCTAACAAACAGTATTAACAAGGATTTAGTTTGGCGGGGCAACCATGAGAGCGGCTTATTATTATCATTACTTGGATGAAACGGTCCCACGGCAGTAATGAAGAAAAAAGACCGGAGAGAGAGGGAATGAGAGGGGAGAGAGAAGAAAGGAAAAAAAAAACAAAAGATATTGACATGTGATTGTTCCATGGACCTTCTCCCGAATCAAGCGTCAAAAGAAATAAAGCAGTAGAAGCTAGCTACTAGCTAGTAAACGGTAACAAAATGCCTGATGAACCTTATTATTCTTTCTTTCTACACAATTAAATTACAGCAACTGCCTCGATATCTACAGACTCTACAGACTCTAGAGTAGGTACTAGGTACTGAGTAGTTGTTATTACAGTACTAACTAGGCTTATACTTCATTCAATAATACCTACCATACATCCCAATCCCCTCTATAATATCCTACCACCAATAATTCATCCATCATAAATGTTCATGGCCCCTCATCTACCACTTTCAATTCCATTCCATCTAAAACATTTCTCCATTGTAAACACCGGTATTTCTTCGTCTTCATTCTTATTTTTGGAAACTCTATAATTATACCGAGTACTCTGTATGTGAACCAAGATTATAAAAGGAATTCTGTTATTATTCATTGTCCTTTTTATTAGTTCCCTCCTAAACCTTACCAAGTAGATCGAGACCATCTTGTAGATCAACGGGACATTCCCTCTGCTCTCCTTTCCCCTCCCACTTCCCCTTCCTTGAACTTCCTTCCTAAAAGAACCCTTGAGAGGGACAGAGCTAAAGAGGATGAATACTTTGACTACGGAGCAGAGTACCTACTAGTTAGTTACTGTCATCAAAAGTTCATAAGTTCATTGGTCTTCCCCCACCACAAAAAGGCCCCATACAATCATCAAATCCATCCATCCATCCATCAATCAATCAATATTATTATTAGTGCAGGACCTCCCTTCCCCTCCCCTCCCCTCCCCTCACCCATCACCCTCAATCGGAATACTCTACCGGTACCTACCAAAAGGGCGCCAATTTCGAGGAGGGAAAGCTTTCCCCAACATTCTTCAAATCTTAAAATCTGCCAAACCTCCAAACTTTCAAACTTCAAAATATTGGAGAAAAAAAGATGCAGTTCTGGAATAAATTCAATTTCTTAAATATTTAATTATTTGCTTTCCCCCGGATATTAATGTTATTCATATATTTCCCATTCCTTTCAAAAAGGATCATGAAGGAATCGTCTTCCCCTTTCACATATTAATTTTCCGACTTCCATCAAGCCCTTTCACAAGGAAATCACAAATCAGAAATCAGAAATCAGAAACTGCTGAAAATATCAATGATTATCATAAGCTACCACCAGTCACACAGCTATTTATTACACAGCTATCTGATAACACCGATTCGCAAAATCTATCATCTTGTACATACGAAAATACCTACTCAATCCTCAATACTCTTCTGAAAAAATATTTCCAAGGTCCTGTCACGAATCTTCCCGTTTCAATCAATTTTCTTTTGGCACTCATGCTTGCGCTCCAACGTCCAAATATGGGTTCGTCGAAGCCACCCGACCTCGATATGCCGTTTGGCTGTAAGTACCTTTATATCTACTGTTTGAGACGCGGTACAAAATCCGTGTACTAATAATATATGATGCGTCAGATGCCTTTGATTCCAATTCCATATTCCCTTTTCCGTCACCCACAGCTCCAGCACCGGGTCCTCCATTACTCGACGATAGCGAATCCAACCTTCTCGACAGCTTCTTCGATGGTGTAAGCTCCGATCATTTTAATTACGACTTTTTCCCCAATACACATGATGGAGGGGAACTTGGTGGAGGCTGGGAGGAACTTCCTCCAACATTTATGGGAACGAGGGTGACATTTGATCAACAACCTCAACTTTCGAATGAAATGTCCACCAATTTTAGTGACAGGAATATCGGAATGCACCCCCCGCTATCTCAAGCCCCTCTACCTCCTTCAACGACGTCTGCCGATGTTTTGGCAGCTGCTACCGTATTACAAAATGGTTCAAATGCGCGATCGCATAGTCTGCATAGTCTGCATAGTGAAACATTATTTGGAAATCACGGTTTGCAATCGCACTCGTCACATCATCATATCAGACCACAATCCATGTCACATTATCCTACCCCAATATCGGGACTCGATAGGCCACGCGATGGATTTATGCGCGATACCTTATTTACAGAAATGATGTTTGGTCCCAATCATGCCGGTCCGGATTTGATGCGAAGACCTAAACCAGTTCCTCAAAAGGTTGATATAAGATGGGGCTCGGATGCAGGATTCGGATCTCCACAAGGATTTATTCCACCATCGAATACGCCCAAGATTGAGGAGGTGGAAAGCAAAAGATTACAAGCGTTGGATGAATTTATTGGGGCAGCCTTGGGGGCGGAGAGCAGTGCCGAGACCACGAGACCAAGTAGTCCGGCGATGCAAAGAACTTTACCAACACGACGTCGCCAAAGTTCAGGGATTGTTAAAGAAGAAGATGTGGAACCACCAAAGAAACGACGGAAAAGTAAATTCACTCTTACGGAAGATGGAGGAGAAGATGAGGAGGAATCACAACCTATAGTCGACGGGAGAAAAAAGAGGAAATCCATCGTGAAAGGTAGTGGTAATTCACCCGGACCATCCGAGGCAGGTCATAAACGGCGGAAATCCACCTCGGCTGCTGCAAAACCTACGAGGGAGAACCTGACGGAAGATCAAAAGCGTGAAAATCATATCAAAAGTGAACAAAAACGCAGAACCTTGATTCGAGAAGGATTTGAAGATTTAGGAGAATTGGTACCAGGACTACGAGGTGGTGGGTTTAGCAAGAGTGCAATCTTGGTGATGACGGCGGATTGGTTAGAGGAATTAATGCAGGGGAATGAAGCTCTGCGGCAGAAGATTGACGCCGCAAAAGGGAGATGAAATGAAAGGACGTGTCAACGATTGATATAGATGCTAATTAGCGGCAGTGGATTGAAATTTTGAAAGAAAATCTCACGGGTTTTCGGAAGTGAAAAAAGGTGAGGACACGAAGTGTCCATGGAGTTTGGAGTTTGGTTTGATGGGTTGATTGCAAAGGTAGCACCCACGCACGTGGAAATGGCTGGCTTACTGTCTCGGTAGCATATGGGGGGTTTTGGAGAAAGATAAGATACCACGCGCAAACTAAGGAAATACTTTACGGTGCTAGTACTACAATCTTCCTGTGAAATGAGGCAATGAAATGCATTTGGTAGCGATGATATCTTTGGTATACCAAGGGGACGAGGGGAATATACGGCAGTATAGGATTGGAGCCATGAAGTCGTATGAGATTAAATAGATACAAATCCAACCTATGCACATACATGTCTCATTATATGCTATGTATGATATGAACATATCGTAAATTGAAAGTCTTTCCCTGATAATTTCCTTGATTTGACATCACCATCGATTAAAGCGGAACAGAAACCACAGCTTTTCCATTTCATTGGCTTCGTATAATGGTGACGAGAGAGGAGGTAGTGATTCATATCTACGGTATTTCTTCTCCCTAATTACTTCATTTATAAGATATTATTTCTCGAGATAGTGTAATGCTGTGCAGTAGTGCAAGTATACTTACTTAAAGTGTTGTGTGCCTACTGTAGCTAGTTAGTTAGTAAGCAATGATAAGTAAGTAAATGAAGGATAAAATAGATAAAATATTGGTATCTTCCACGGGTCACAATATCGGTGGTGTCTATATCTTAATCTTAATTCTATTGTGGATATAACAGTGGAAAGTATAGTATTATGTAAGACTTCTCCCCCGCCATACTTCTTTACCTAGGTGTCTATAATTAGTGGTGATTCTTCCTAGAAAATATTCTGAAGCCAGAATATTAAGTACTCGCTCTTCATTCTTTTATGCAGTACTTTATTATACACCACATTATAATCATTCGATTTTAATCGTTCAAGGAAAAGTTCGAATTACTATAGTTATACAAATCTCTAAACAAATTCTTCTTTCCACCGAATGCCTTCCTTCACTCCGGTTCATTTGTTCCCCATGCATTACCGCAATCTATCTAATATACATTTATCATGCTTCCATACTTCCATGCTTGTAGCAATATATGTAATAAACATATCCCTCATAATGTCGTCTAGTCATTCCATCCATTTCCATTCCACATCTCCCATCCGTCCAAGAGACCCCGCTCTTAAACCCTCCTCGGCGGTAAACCCCAACCCGAAGATTTCTCATCACCATTTTCTAAAAATCCATAAGAGCTAGTTGCTCTCATCTGCGCATCATCCGCTTCCCATCCCTCTCTCCCCTTCTCATCTCTAACCCATGGTCCCCTGTTAGTATTTGCTCTTCCACCGGGAACTACCCCTAACCTCTCTGATCCCATTTCAGTTGTGACAGGCGCAATAGATGCTTCGTATTTTGGAGCCGGTGCACCATCATACGGAAGATCATCCGCAGCTCCATCGCCTCCAAACGGCATTCGTATTGTATCTCCACCTGCTCGCATGTGCTCTTCATGCCAGCCATCACTTGCATTTGAACCGAATTTTTCCTCTCGGATCACAGGTAGATGCTGATGAGGAAATCCATTACGGTATAGTGTGCCAGGTCCCGAACCGCCTTCCGCCCGGGATTTATCTCTTCCGCACATGCCAATTACCACGCGGACGAAACCAATGAAAACAATCACGAAGTAAACTATGACGAGTGAAGCAGAAATAAGAGCTTCTTGTTTAATGACAGCTTCTAATTTCTTTCCTACCTTCACCACTGCGTCTGTAATTTCGTCTGTGGTGGAAGTAGCCGGATTGGCGAGAAAATTGTCATCTGCCGTGCTATTTGTGAGAGAAGCAGCGGCACCAAGTGAGAAGACGTCGGGTTGGAATTCAGGAAATTCTACATGAGCATGATCGCTAACCCATGTAAGCCCCTTTTCGATACCAGCGACTTTGAGTCCAACCAAGCATTCGAAAACGCCCATGATTGGTTTATAAAGAATGGTTCCACCAAATGTAACGTTGAGAGCTTTCGTCATCTCATCCGTAAAGACATTCAATGTCTCGTTGATAGCACCTGTTGTTGTGTTGACCCATCCAAAAACGTTTTCGTTGATGTCCGTGTTTGTATTGTTGATGACAGAGTTCGCTCCCAAGGCCCAAGCCTCCGATGCATTATTCAAAGCTTGGACAACATGTTCGGCAAAATCTCCAACTTCTGCTGCTAGCGCCGGAATTTCTTTCTCGATGGTACGAAGAATGATAAATTGACAGAGACAGGTAAAGAGGCCAGCCATGCCGAGGGCTAGGACAAAAAGTGCTGGGATAGATGTAGCATATGCGATGAACCATCTCGCGAGTATTTGATTCTTCTGGCCTTTAAATCTCCTTGACAGTTTTAGACCGAATTGTGAAGTGTAGGGGCGATGAGCTTGGTATAGAATATCCAACTCATTAGTATAATTGTGAGCTTTGAGCAGGGCAGCCCGTCTCTGCATGCTTCTCCAACCCCAAATCTCACGGTAAGCCATGGGGACACAAGCGAGGATGGCGGCAATGATGAGGACAATGAGCATGATTTTCTTGGCGATGTTAAGCGTTTTGACGAGACCGATAAAAAAGTCTTGGATGGCGGTGTTGTCGGAACAAAATGTTAGCGATTTCTTTTGAGGGACCGGAAAAACGCTATCATCGAACTTGTAACCAATCTTTGATTCGTTGACAAGTTTCTTCACTTCTTCGAATGGAAGCTTGATGATGCTATCGGTGAAATTTTGCACTTGGTCAAAGGTTGGAAGGGAAGCGTTGAGTTTGGCAAGATCGGCGTCCATGGTTGAGGGATCAATCTGAATAGAGTTAAGTTTGTTAATCTCACTGCTCAAATCGATTTTCGGTGGTGAGGTACTGCTTCCAAAGATACCACCGATGTTAATCTTAGACAAGAAACCATTGAGGTCATCTTCGAATGATTTAAGACCAGATGACATGTCGCCGGTGATAGTATCAATTGACTTGTTCATAAAGGCACCAACATCTTCAATCATTTGAATGGCAACTTGAAGACTACCAGTGATAGCCAACGTGATGAGACACATGTACGTTGAGGTCATCATGTGAATGACAAAGAGAACGATTTCCTCGACTCCAGTAAGAGTCAAGTAAAGCATTTCCATCATACCATTAACAGCTTTTGTAATACCAGCAGCGGCCATACTATTAACACCTTGAGACAGATAATGAGGCATAGAAGCCATGGCACTTCCAACATTCTCAACACTAGTACATGCTGACAATGCTTCGGTTTTTGCGGAGGCTATGTCTCCATTGATAGTGGACAAGGATATGAGAAGTCGTACGATGATAAGAAGTAAAAGAATTGTCCATCTATTAATCCAGGTTTGTGATAAACGTGCTCGAAGGCCAAGGTATGGTGTATAGTAGTCATCAGCAGGTGCGGCGTTTGTATTGGGATGGGCTCCGTAATGATGCATTTCGTGGTCGCTGTGGAAGGGGGGGTTGTTGGAGGCGGCTTGATTATGTTGACCCTTTTGGGCAGCTAAATAACCTCTAAAAGCGTCCATCCTAGTGATCTATCGTGTGAATATACCTCCAGGGTATTAGGAATTGTGGTTTTGGTGTTGCAGTAATGCAGTGTAGTCTGTCTATGCAATCTATGCGTAGGTGATAGCTGATTTGATCTCCGAGTAGAATGAGAGTTCGAGGATCCACAAAGAAAGTCTAAAGTCTTTTGAAAAGGAAGGTTGAATAAGTTGTAGGAGTATTAGAGTCGAGTTGACTATGAAAATGTAAGGTTGTGGAAGAATAGTATTGTGAATAATTAATAAATCTATTAGGGGTCACAATGAGTACTTGCTCGATTGTTTCTATTGTTGATGTCCGAATATAGCCGAAGCGAATGATTAATGGTATTTGTTGCAAGGACAATAGAAAAAAAGAAAAAGTAAAGTGAATGACTTCTGTATAGGAAAAAGAGAGAAAGGAGGGGAAGAATGAACAATTTTGGCGAGGACATATACTTAATACAAGAAATATGCACATAAGACCTGTAACCCACGAGGACCACGAGTGTCAACCAAGGAAACTATTTTGAGATTTGAGAGGTTGAAACAAAGGAAACCGATGAATAATACTTTGTTTCAACTTCACAGCAAAATTAGTTGTCATGGTCATCCGTTGATGCGCTGGAAATGTCAAAGAAGAGATGTTTGATGTCTGGTTCGTCCTTGGTGATTCCTGATCTTGGTACGAGAGTACAGGCGATACCAAATGAGTGGTTGATTCAGGTGAATTAAGCGCCGCTCCTCTGTAAAGATCTCCTGACCAGTCGATTGATAATTCCATGTATGACTGACGCAATCTTTAAAATTTTGAAAAGGTAAATGTAACTAATGACTTCAAAAATAGCTCTGGCGGGTACACTTTTGGTGAGCTATTCGTTGCAGTTCTCACAATACCTCGAAAGGATTGGTATCTGTTGACCGTTCAGGTCTTCTTGGCTTCGGAAATCTGATACTGGTATTACTGAATAAAAACGTTTGGATATGGATATATATACCGTAGCAGAATAAGTTATCTATGGAGTAACTATAGCATCGTAGAAAATGGTGTGAACTTTGATGGTATGGGAGTATTCCGTAACACGAAAGTTGCACCTCCGAGATGAAATATTCATGGTGCCGGTGTGAATTCTCATGTCTTGACTTCAAAACTCTCCTACTGTCAAATCATTATTTATTGAATGAAGTCGGGACTCCTTGGGAGCCAGCGATTCAGCAATCTGAAACTGAGGCTTGAAGGAAATCCAATTGCAAGACATGATAAAAAGAGGACGAGGAGGAAAGGACCACAGCAAAGGTAAAGTGTCTTCCATGTATTAGCAGATCTCTTTTACAAAATTTATGCAAATTAATAATTCAACCGAATTAATTTCAGAGGATGAATTGATGTCCACTGTCCAGTGAAGTTAAGAAAATAAGGGTCGTGAGAACTTACGGAGCAGAGCAAGCAAATCAAAATCTCAAAGAACTCGTGACTGAGACACTAAAACACAATGCATGAAAGATCCGCCGGTAGATATATATAAACCCAGCAACAACCAACAAATCTTAATCATCGCAGATCTACGTATATATAATTAGTAACAGATTTGCGCAATATGATAGGTACATGGATTATTTATTTACCATGCGATAATTACGAGTACTAATATAATAAACGCTCCACGGTAAATTCACCCAATCAATTCATCATGTTTCGATATCCAGTCTCAACGTCAAATCTTATTGGTTTTCAAATTCATCCTCGTTTAGCGCTTTGCCATGGCATGTGGCCTAATTTGGCCTTCTCCATAATACCCACCACGGCACTGCGCGTTTAGAAGGATCATGGCTTCATGGAGAAATTACTTGTCAGCTATATGCATCTGCATTCCACAAAGCAGGTCGGAATTTGGGTGGTCAGAAACTTTAATCAGAGCTATCACCTGTGTAAGGTTGGAAATAGGTGTACATGGCAACGGTGAGGTTACAAGATGGTTCTTTCTTTACATATACAATCCGTGTCATCTCTCCTCGCACAAAATTTATATCTCGCTCACAAGAGTCTTGACATCTGCCACGGCTGTCCTGGCCATCTTCTTCAGGAATGTCTTCTCATCTGCTTCTCTATATCTCTCCCATCCATCAAGTCCTTCTTTAGCTTGAATACTCAACGTTTCATACCCCTGTTTTATTACCCCCGCAACTTGTACACTCGTAAGGTGTTTCTTCTTTCCTGTCGACCCATCTGTGAGCAATTGGTTGTAGTGTGTGCTGACACTTATCAATGTATCGATCGAACTTTTCGGTCGTTTCCCAAGATGGTAATTGTCCCGGAACTTCACCAATACCTCCCCAGTCTCCACCAACTTGTAAAACAAGTCATCGTATGCCACCGGACTGGGCAAGAATGCTTCGCCGGCGGATAGGGATAACGCAATCAGATTCACCACGTCATCGAGTAGTGTTTCGATGTTTAAAAGGTTCTTTAGGTCCGTAGTGTAAGTGGTAAGAAATCGTATGAGTGCTAGTAGGGATCGGAACAGTTCAGACCAGTGATATGTAAGCCGTGTCCGAGATCGTGAGAGATGGGAGATGATTCGTAATATGATGCCAACGCATAGAATGTAGAGATCTACATCTAATCTCTTTCTAAGATTATGATTTATACCATCAATGGCAACATCCAGTACATGAGCAGCAAATATCCTATCTGCACGGACCAGAGGTAAAAATGGTTGTCTTTGCCGACATAATCGGACGGGCATCTTGCTCTCCTCACTGCAAATCTTTTTGCATAGTACTTGATCTTCTATTAAAATTCGGAGGACGATGAGGTTAGTATGCGCATAGAAACCCGTTCGAGAGGATAGATGGGCGTGTTGCAATATGTATGAGGTAAATGATAGATAGGCACTGAGAGGATGTTCGACTCCTTTCTCCACGGGTATCGACACCAAGTTGAAGCAGAATAGTTTATTTGCATGCGCAAAGTCGTACGTGGCTAATAGAACGGCAGCTTCACTGCCAGGCCTATAGAATGGTAAGCATAATCCGAAAAAAAGAAACCTTCCGCTTCCATTAACCTACAGTTTTGAGAACATCTCCTTTGCGGCATCTGGATCAAGGGTTGGAGTAGTCGGTTTTGAGCCAGGAGCGATTTTGCCAAGACCTATCATACTCAAAGTGCTCCCAATTGACCATCCTTCTGGTCTATCATCCTGGATCGCAATATATCTAGCTCTCGATGTCGTACACGTATGACCCACCGAACGTATTATCTTTTGTATAGTTCCTTCATTGACAAAATCATCGAGGCGTAACCTGTAAGGGTTTTGAAATTCGAATTTGTTATAATTAACTAGAAGTCCGAGGAGGGTAAATGGTTCAAATGCGAGTGAAGTTGTATCTGATTCTTGAATAAACTAGGAACGTCAGCTTCGTTCCAAAATTCGGAAGAGGAGACCATACCTTCATAAGAGAAGGGAAAAGATCCCGATGTGTAAAATAAGAAAGTAAGCTAGTTTGATATGCGCCAGATGTTACCGATAATGCTGCTTCAACAGCCTTCCGGCGTATATCCACTACATAGGTAATGTCAGCATATATCCTCTCCCTTCTGAGTGGTGGACCCTACAACTCCTCCCAGTTCGAATTGTGACATCCAAAGCTGCAACAAAATCCGTAAATACCGCATCCACATGATCCAATCCTGCAAGAATACTGATGATATCTGAACTTGGATTTGTATATTTCTTTGAAAGAACGGCTGCGAGAAAGGCTGTGGTAGTCTAAATCCGTCAGCCTCGTCAAACAAACTAAGGGATGCCATCATACATCAAGCGCATGCGCATCTGCTGGATGATTTCCTGCTTTTATACATCCAACAGCCCTTAGAAACAATTGCCTGGTTTGTATCTATCACAATCAGTAATGGCTCCCTTGTTTGACAACCAGGTTCCACTCATACCTGAAGATGTAGCAAGTCATCTGCACTCAATTCATTTAGAATAGTTTGCAATGTAGCTTTATTCGGTCGCAACAAAAAGAACTCTTTCCAGAATCCTTCCGACTTCTCGGGTTCATCTTCATCCTATTCCTTCATCAGTACAAATACAATGCGACACTATGTGCTATGCGCATCATCAGCCGAACCGACCTTGAGCAGAGCCTCGTACAATTCTACAATCTTCTGTTGGAATACTTCAGGACGAGCTTGTTGAGTAAGAGGAGAAGGCTCCATACTTCATGGCAGCAATTGATAATTCCTCAAGGTCAACGAGAGAAAGGGGAGACTGTAAGATATGGATGGTTGAGTGTGTTTCCTTGCGTCGCAAATGATTGAATACTTGAGTCCCCAGGTAGCTTAAGGTTAATTAAATTATTATGGATGGGTTTGGGCCTTACGTAGTCAAAGCCCTTGTTGGCCCCAGATCTTTGTGGTATAGCTCCTTAGCGGCGGCCGATTAGTTCCAACGCTAATCATAAAGGGAATAGTGCGAGTCTCATGGGAATTCATGTCTTCTCATTGGTGATTCAAGCTTTCTTTATAAAAGTTGAGAAGATTTATTTAATATGAGTGAGTTAATAATAAATACTTACCTGGGTAGGTAATAATAGAATCTCTTCATTACATAATCATCTTGTGTGTTCTTGTCAGCTTTTGGTGAATCTTGGTCATGTACCGGTACCTAGGTATCTAATGTCTGCATATGCTGATTTGTGGTTTGTGATATTAGTGATTGAATCGTACTGTTTTTGCATTGCTTACAATAGATGTGCAGTTATTGGCTCGGCAAAACCATATTCCGAACCCCCGACGTGAGCCGACTTTGTGAGCCCATGATTTCTAAGAATATACCCTAGAAACCCTTAACCATCACAAGAACTCTACAAATATAATTAGTATCCTTCTGTACAACATCCCAAATCCTCCTTGTCAATTTTCCATCAACATCCTATTACCTCGACGTCAACATACAATAGATAAACCTACCTGCAAAATGTCTTTACAAAGAGCTGCTGCTCCTCTGACATCATCAGCGCCCGTCGTTTTCAGATTTGCCTCTTCACAATCATCAACCTCTATGCGAGAATGTCGCCATATCTTTCGTCAATTCTCATCTTCTCGAGTCGCAAACGCTGAGGCAAAACGCAAGATGCAGACAAGTACTTGGCAAACATATACCCTGTCTACTCCTCCACCACCACCGCCAGCCCGCGAAGCCGCTGTCCCGGAAACATCCATTACCGGGGGAATTCCACAAGTTCATGATACCCGACCACCTTCTATCAGCATTACAGAAGCTGAAGCACAAAAGATGAAGCCCGTGAAAAAGAGACCTCGTTACAACTTCGTTCCTCTTAAGAAGACCATTTCCCTCACTCCACGAGCCGTGGAAGCTCTGCGCGACCTGAGCAACCAACCCGAGGCGAAGCTCATCAAGATTAGTGTCGCAAATCGCGGATGTAGTGGATCAGCATATGATTTGAAATATGTTGAGAAAGGGGCCCCAAGCGATATCGTTCATGAACAAGATGGAGTTAAGGTGTTGATTGATCCAGCCGCACAACTTAAGATCATTGGCAGCACTATGGATTGGGTCGAGGATAGACTAAGCGCAAAGTTCGTTTTCGATAACCCAAACATTGGTAAGTACTATTATAACTTCCAACTCATATCATCTGCTCTCTTGGGTATGGCTAACAATGCACAGACAAATCATGTGGATGTGGTGAATCATTCATGACGAAAGACGAATCGGCCGCACGAGAAGCAGAAAAGAAAGCTTCCAAGGGCTTTTAACTATATGATACGATAGACACAACAACTTTCGAACTTGTGATATAATGGGTATAAAGCATGGACAATGCATTGGGCGGAGTTTGATCGGCGTTGAAGGATTGGCCTGCACTAGGCACGCTTTGGTGGGCATGTTTTATTATAGGCTTAGCAATTAGGGACAGCGATACCTCACAGGCAGGATAGATTTGCATACAGTTGTACACCATACTGATACCTACTTAATGCAAATAGAACTTCACGATAATGATGTGCCCACAGTGAAGGTGTTCTCTTTTCATGCTCTGTCTCATCTGGGACTTGCTAAGCACTAGTCAGTCATGGATCTCCATATTCCTCCTCCCAATCACTAATAAGCATGACAACCGCAGTCTTGAGGTCAATTTTTGGTCGACGGACCTCTCCTCTCTGGACTTCACGTCCTCGTTCCTACTTTGAAACACCTAACCTCTAAAATACACCCATCTCATAATCAACAACCCTAACATTCTGCACTATGTCCCCCGCTTTCTTCACAAAGTCCAGACGTGCTGGATCTTCATTCAAATAGTAATCCCGATCACTGGTGGATGCGAAATGAGATACGAAACCGTGGGAGAAGCCGCCCTTGAAAGGGTGTTAGCTGGATGTTGCTCGTGGAAAGTCTGGGGTAGGAGGGTATGATATAAAGAATGGCTAGATATGGAAATAGGACTGCAGAAGAACTAGACGGGTTGAAGAAAAGGTGTGCAGGGTAGAAGAGTACTGTAGAATGGTAATGAATGAGAGAAAGATATAAGGGCAGGGAGTAACACTACTTGATGGCCCTCTGGTGAATTATCCCTTCCGCCAGAAGAATCTAAAATATATGGCTTTTTAGACTCTGGATGGATACAGAGAGTGGATAGCGAGAGCATGTGTTTGCATAGCTTTTAATTTCCAATTTGTTAGTTTATATTCTTTCATAATTTTGCGATCATGGTGCTAGACTGGATGGAAGGGAGAGCCATACATCGTCTATTTGATCTTTGTGGGTGTTGGGTTTGAATTCAAAGAGGACTATGTGAACGATTGTCATATTGGCGGTGGGATTGATTTTGAGTATAACTAATGGCAGAGGAAGAGGGAATTCGAAGTATGGCAGGTCACTCTTATCAGCACTTTTGCGGGGTTGGTGAGGAGGTCGGACTGTGATTGGGTGATGTGTAAGGATTAGTAAGCAGATAATAGTGGGGTAGACAATTGTGGTGATGTAACGTTTGCGTCGATAACTTGTAAGATTATGATAATTATTAAGAACGAATGTGTGAGACTATTAGATAGTTTTATTGTTTGAACAAGCTAGAGAGAAACATCTAAGGCTTGATGGCGCTTTTAGGTATGAAGGCAATGCCTGTGCTATTCTTCAAGCGGAGAAAGTTCATACAACACTGCCGTGTCCACTCTTACCGCACACAAGTCACACATTCTGGCTCTTCTCCAATTTCAGTTTTATCACAGTATGGAATATTTTGAGTTATAACAGGCGATCTCGTGCTTTAGTCCTAATTTTATATCATTTGCTTTGCTACTGGGAGACTCGAAACCGAAAGCCTATCTAGTAAAGAAAGTCCAGTTCTGACGTACCAAGATTGAATTTTAGGTTCAATTGTATTGTCCTCTTTGATTCCGAAAATGCATGCAGTTTATTTTTGTCCTTTTCTTACGTGTGCGAATGTTGTTGGAAGTCCAAAGTATATACACCTGCAGTGCTAAACTAATCCCTCAAGCTAGATGCGGTGTGTCCAATAGGTTTTTCGTATTCAGTCCTGATGGACGTCGAAACGGCTAGTCTGTGATTTTATTGGATTACATGAATTATTTAGAGGAATTTTAATATAAAAAGTCTGGACTAGATAATCCAAAATTCAAAAATCTAGATTACAGTCCGGACTTTTGGACTTAATTAATAATGATGTCATATGATATCACTTCTCACATGTTCTGAATATTGTACAATATATTCACATAATCGAATATCATACATATAATATCATTATTTATATGATATGAAGATCGCATAAACCAAATGTCATGTAATATGGTTATTCAATAAGAAGGTCTAATTTTTCTAGATTGCAATTCAGCTTGTTGGGGATTTATGTTCTCCTGAACGAACTGTTTAAGTTCTCATCAGCGTGAACCTCAACTGTTTAAGATAAAACATCCAATCCGTGCTGCGCTCCGCGAACTATTGGACGCCCTGGCTTGTTGTCAGAAGGAGCTAGATGACTTGTTGTTTGTAAATGTTGGGTTTCTTAAGACCAGAAAGAGTATCAGATTGAATTGATTGATTCTCTAGCTAAGCAGTTAAGCTGCGAGCATATATTCAAAAAAATGAAGGAATAGGTTGGGTATTCGGCCTTCGGAATTAAAGTGCTTTGAAATCAAAATATTGAAAGCAAACAAACAGTATACCAAAAAGGAAAGAATGAATTAAAAGTTGAGTTTTGTTTGCTCCTTATATGCATATGTACTATATATGCATATGCTGCCAAGATCCCAGGAGGTCAACAGTAAATTTATGAACAAAATGGAAAGTACTACTGAGTATGTAGACTGGATGAACCATTTGAGTGGAAGGAAGAATGTGGTAATTAAACGTACGAGTAGAAAAGTAGATTGGCGGAGTGGATCAATCATCTCGAAATCCGAAAAGCAACCAAAATTTACATTAGAGGATCAAGAACAGACTATACATTAGCATCATACGAGCTTCTGAGGAGCATAGAATTAGTCTCTAGGACAGTGAAGTTCCACAAAATAATATGTGCCATTTTAGCGAGGTATTCCCCTGGATACGGAGGACGCCTCAAAAACTGATGTGATTATAGGGCTTTACACGGTATTAGTACTATAAAAGGCCTATAATTTTATACCTGGACCATATGACTAACACTAATTAACATTTAGCAAATTTATAAGAATTAATGTATAATAAATTTTATCTAATTCTACTTCTAATCGAATAAAATTATAGGGCTAAAATAACTATCAATTTTCAGGGTTCAATCCGAAAGGTCGAACTATAGTGTATTATAGTACTAATACTCTGCAAAGCCTTATAATCGTATCAGTTTTCGAAGCGTCCTCTGTATAATTCTCCACTACAGGTTACTGTCAAATACGAGGTCTTCATGTACCAGTGGAAACCCTACAAAAAAGGCTACTCGCTATCTATGAGTAGTAGATTGTTAATATGTTCCAGATACGTTCGGCAGCAATCCTCATGATGTACACAGGCCTGCCAAATACGCAGGTCGGCACAATATGCGAGAAGTGTTATTAGCTGATTATTTTTCGATTTTAAGTCTAAGTCTAGTACCCCACTTCTCGTCCACCCCTAATCTCGGCCACTCTTTTATACAGAGAATCATGATTTTCACCTATTAATATTTCAATAATTAATGAATAAAATTAATTGAAATTTAAATTATAGATTTATTATATAGATATTAGTAAATATTGATAATTTCAAATTTTTCTCAATTTTATTGGTTGAAATATGAATAACTGAAATTATGATTTTCAATTTGTATAGGATTTGTATACAAGTTTGAAAAATATTAAAATTTAAAATAACCTTTTAACAAAAATTATTAAAAATAAATTATATAATTTTTTAAGTTATTTAGATTATAATTGATCAAATAAATTGATTTATTTTAAAAAATAATTTACAGAAATCCTATTAATCAAAATGTTCTGATTTTTAATCTCCATAAAATCTAAAAATATCAATAAATGATTTTCTATATAATTTAAAATTAAAATTCTAATCCATTATATTTCATTTGATTTGAAGATTTCAAAAAATCTTATAATTTATTTTTAATGATTTTTGTTGAAAAGTTATTTAAGGTTTTCAAGATTTTCAAATTTGTATATAAATTTTATACAAATTGAAAATCGTAATTTCAACCTTTAATTTCTCAACCAACAAAATCGCGAAAAATCTAAAATTTTCAAAGTGTATTATTATATAAAAAACAAATTCAAAATTGAAATTTAAAAGAATTACATTCATAAATAAGAGTTATAAAAGTCGATTTTCGTCATTTTTGGTGAGGGAAAGTGGCCGGAATTAGGGGTGGCCGGAAAGTAGGGTACTAGACTTACAGCTTACTCTCTTAATCTTTCTTTATGCTGCATTTCGTGCTTTAGGAGAAGCACTGAGCATGTATTTGTATCTCTTGACTGTCGTATGCTATCATCGCTGTCATCAGCCTCTGTTTAACCTCCTCGTCTAGCATTTCCTTGTTAGTTCTCTGATCGTTTGTCCTCACCTTCGCTTTACTTCTCCTATCATTCCCCCAAAAACACCTTTCATGCGCAACAAGCGCTACACACCTTCTTTAAACCTTGAAAACTACAATAATCACGCACAAACTCATACACCCCTCTCGGTCTCCACGCCTTAGACGTCCAATAACTTCATTTTCAAACCACTAAAGCTTACAAGTCTCCAAGTCTCCAAATCCCCAAATTTCCCCTTCTTTTCTATTACTAAAAACAGGAAATAACCATCTGCAATCTCTGGCACTGCATCCATATCACATAACTGGTGTTAAACGCCACCAAATGCAGCATCACTAAACTCTAGGAACAGAAAAATAGGAATTCATCAAATCTCAATTTATCTTCATGTAATACTTTCAGGGGCTTAAACATCAAAGGAATGGTATATAACCATGTGGTCCTTTTGAGAAATTGAAGTCCTAGAAATGACTTTGTTCTCAGTAACAATTGCGAGTCAAACACGATATCTTGCTCGAGCTCCGGTATAGTGGCGTAATATTCTAAATTATCATAAAATACTCGAATAACAGAGAATCTTCACCTCAATCACTAGCAATGATTCCTCTCAGGGAAGCTATTGCTTGGCCATTTTTAACTACCGCTGAAAAAAGTACCGCTTGCACCCCACGGAACGTGCTGTTAAGTATAGGCTGTGCTATGAGCTAGGAGTTTAAAATATAATAAGCTATTGCAGATTTCCTCCTATTAAATTCAGGTCGGTTAGTTGGAGCATGGTATTATCTTGAGGAAGCATGTTTGATTTATGGGTAATAAAAGAAGAAAGACTTTGTGTACATGGTCAGAACTGGTGAATGAAGAACCCACCGTTCTAACGGCTATTATGTGCTGTACTGATCCTTTATGATGGAGATTAATCATGACTAATCCACTGAGTTATGAGAAAATTGACAAGTTAGATTCCCCAGCCAACATTGCGTCCTATTCAGCAGCGGATGGTCATATCCTTTCACATAAACTTGTAGTATTCTGCTAAAACAAAAACTCAGACATATCAAAAATCGACTAGAAGAAATTCTCTGACGCCTAGGCGAGGAGTACCTTTACGATGTTAGAATTTTCACTTAAAATACACATGAAAACTTATGTGCTGGCGCTCCCAGGAAGAAATTTAATGGGTAGAAGGAGTTCATTGGGAACGGTGTTTGGGAGTAGGAATGAAGAAAGGGGTAGATGAGATCAAGTGGGATGTTGATAAGGGTTTTGAGATTAAGCGAGAAGGTAATAGGGGAGAGTAGAAGTAGGTAATCTTGGAAAAGAAGGAAAGAAAAGAGGGGAAAAAAAGGTCAGGGCGTGTGTAGGGAACATAGAGATGGTTATACTATCCTTATAATTACTGCGTCTTTCTTCGAAACGTGACTTTAATCGTTTTCTTCTACATTCAATATTCGCGAATACTTAAATTGAATAACGATTAATTCTCAAATTAAGTCTAGTGCTCTACTTTTGGACCACCCCTCTTTTGGAACACCTTTTTACACCAAAAATCATGATTTTCACTTATTAATAACTTTACAATCAACTGATGGAATTCGATAAAATTTGAACTATAGATTTATTAAATAATTATAATTCAATTCTAAAAATTTTAGATTTTTTGAAATAAATTTCATTGAGATTTATATAGGATTTATATATAAATTTGAAAAATTATTAAAATCTATAATAACTTTTCAACAAAAATAATTAAAAATAAACTGTATTTTTTTTTTGGACTTTTTGAATTAGAATCAATTAAATAAATTAATTTATTTCAAGAAATAATTTACGGAAATCCTTTTAATCAAAATATTATGATTTTTAATCTTTGTAAAATGTGACGCCTCACACCTCCGGGTCACGTGGCATGCCCCGTTTGTATTTAATCATAGGAAAACTCTCTACTCTTGTTTTCCTTCTTCTTTTCTCCTTAGCTTAGTATTTTCTAATACAAGATACTTTACCCAGTATTCTTGAGTGTGACATAAAATTTATAAATATAGATAAAGATTTATTTAAATAATTTAGAATTCAAAATCTGAATCTGAATCTATTTGTGACGGAAATCCCTGCTTTCCTCCCACCCTTATTATATAAGAAACCTCAGGTACATTAACCATGTCCACACATGATACGATTACTCGGGATTAGTATGCGATTTAGGTGACCTGAGGATCAGATCCGAACAAGTACTAGGTATCAATGGTTATCGGTAAAGTAAGATCATTGGAGGGATAAATATGACTTCTTTTTGCCTAGCCATTGCGGCTAGGCCATTCATTTGTGTATATATAGAGTAGCTATCCCCATCTACAGGTGCTCTTCACCTGCGGATTCTAAGTTAAATACAATTGCTGGTCTATAAACACCCTTTTGGTCACAAATTGATTGATTATTGGGATATTAATAATTGAAAACCGTTATTTTTGGTGTAAAAAAATGGTTCAAAAGAGGGGTGGTCCAAAAAAAGGGTATTAGATTTATGGAACGGAATTTCGCAAGGCTACTTATATTAGGGTTTCGCAGCACTGACGACAGGAATTATAGCGGCGTCACATGTCTGGATTGAGAGGTCAGGTGGCAATGCTGCTTCGAGTTCTGGAAGTCGATGACTTTGCCAGGATATGAGTGGAAATGGACTTAGATTAAGATTGCTGTTAAATTTTAAAAGATTTAGCTCAAAAATGTATCTATTTAAGGGTATTACTGAAATCAACGATGAAATATAGAGTAGAAATGAACTCTAAACAATCACATACTTTTTTCCCGATAAATACTCCTCGAGTCCTATATATTTGACATTCCATCTTCTCCATTAGATATGATGTAGAAATATAAAATACCACGCTGTAGAAGAAACAAGGAACTACGAAAAAAAAAAAGAAATCATCTACATCAACACAGCCACAACTTATACTCCCTCCTCTCACTTCCTCATAAACATCTTCCCACTCCCCATCTCAACATCGCTTCCGGCACTCTCCCTCTTCAAATGCCCCACGCCTTGGTTCTTACTTCTAAATTTAAAATTTGCCTCCATCCAAGCTCCTTTCATAGCGATTCCCGGATGCAATAAAGTAAGTGCTCCCGTCGCTAACACAATCATAACACCTTCCAGGACCATAAATTCCGCTTCATGGCTCACAAAAAGAGAACCATGGAAACCGCCAGATAGTTCTATACATCTATAGATGGAACGGATGAGGATTGTGATAGTCGCCAAGCAAAGTCCGGCGAGGAATGATTTAAAGAGTGAGGAAGAGACGAGATGGATGTAGCGAGTATTCCAGGTACCTTCTGCGCGGTGAACTCTCCATGTGAAATCTGCGCAGAGAATGGTAAAGAGGATGAGAGAAAATACTTGGAAGGCGAGACCTGCTAACATGATGTTTTTTCCCAAGTTACTCTGACTAAGTGTATTGGCAAGTGAAGCGATGGCCCCACCAACGGCTTGAAGCACTAATGAGATGATATCGCAGGTGCAGAAGATGATGGTATATGTTCCTGGTCTGAAGCGAGAGATTTCTTGGCCATATAAGATGACGATTCGAGATAGACATAGGTAGATTGCCGCAGTGAGGAACGCAGGGGCGATGGTTAGACAGATGAGGTACATTAGGAAGTAGTTGTTATCGAAAGGAGAATTATGAATAAGAATCCTGGCTATGTAACCGATGATTTCTAAAATCTAAAGTGTTAAGATAGTTAGCATTTTGATTCTTGTCATTCATTTGATTGAGCATCCATTCCTTAATAGAGTGTAGTGTAACGAGAAGGCCGTGAGTAGAGTATAGAACATACCAATCCAAACATCATAGCAACCATGTATCCCCATGTTTTAAACTTGATCCCCAGTCCCAATTGTGCAATAAAAAAGATCCCAAACAAAACGGCGTAGATGGTATTTCCAGCAACATTGGGCAGGTACTCAAAACTTGACAACGAAAGATCACAAGTATCAAGTGTGCATAGGTGGGGGTCCATGAGCAAAGTTACATTACCGTAGCCAGCTCCATGGCCATCGGAATGAGTTAAGTTTGTCATTTTGGGACCGCTTTGGAGTGAAGAAATGCCAGCCAGGAGTAGAAATCGGTATGAACCGAAATGAGAACGGGAAACAGAAGAAGATTAATATTTGAGAATGATTGAAGTTTGTCATTTTGATATTTGGAGAATTTCACTTGGCTTTAATATTTCCAACATCAGGCAGTGCATTTCACATAACAATGTAGAAGTCGGCACCACGGAGTTTGCTTCGCAAAGAATTCGTTGCGAAGCATACGACGACCATACGGAATTTATCACGGCCCTACCAATGATGTTGCATTGACACAGACAGCGATACTTATGTCAGCCTTTAGTCAGCAAATTAAGAACTACGATTGGCTCAATCGTAGTTATGAAGGATGACTAGTAGATGGACTTGGCTACATCGGCATCCCCAGCAGCTCCAAATTTAAGCTTGGCTTTAATCCTTCGAAGCGTTCAGATGGAATGGTTTCATGAAAATATCCGTGAGGATATTTATTTAGCAAGGCTGAAAATGACGAAACACGTGAAAGAACTGCTCTTCAAGAACTGAAGCGACCCACAAATTTTAACTGGATTGATTAAGAGATTGGGACTGAGCCAGCATTACCATCCTCTTGTGAAGGCTTAGGAGCGCTTGCTATTCTGTTTCTCGCTAGCTAACTCCCGCCGTTGACCTCTTCTCGTAAATACGCCGTTGTTACTTGGCAGAAACGTGGAATGAAATGCTCATTCTAACCGCTGATTATAAATGTATGAAATGCGCAACAAGTCCCATGCTTCATATGCGATGGATAATCAATTCGTCTTTCCATCATTCTCAATGAAATGAATCAAGATTTAGGATTGGGAGGCTTGACTTGTTGGACTTCCGCATACCATAAATATTGATACATCACATATGGTCACCTCCTCCTTGTGTGATCTCTCACAAACATGGTGATTTGCGGAAAGTCCAACTATAAGGTCATTGGCTTCGGAATTTGGATCTGAGATCAGAGAAGACACCTGTGAGAAAGCTCTTACGAAATAAACCATGGCAAATGTAATATGATCTCTTGCTAATTGGCCATAAAAGGAAAAGGAAAGAAGAACCAATCAGTCACTACCTAATAATACGAAGTTGGCTGGGTGAGACGATAAACATTGTTGGCTCGACTTTCAATGAATCTTCTCCAACATGGACGACGGTGACACGAGGACTTCCAACATCTTGGCCTGTGATATCACGGAAGCACTATCTGACGGATTGGGAAAAGTTGAGTTGCGGTTTAGGGGAGTGTCAAGTTTTCGATATTAAATTTAAGTTGTAGATAGATGCTCCCCCGAGTTCCCGAGGACACGGAGCTAGAAAGAAGAGACGACATCATGCAGTAGTAAGGTATGTATGATAAGCCAAACGAAAGGGCGGAAGTACGAGGACATGGATCAATTATGACAATTCAAGTTACATGGAGAACTCCGTACAGAAGAAAATCAAAATTCTCCTACTTGAGCCACATTAATAATAAGTTACAAAGCGTAGCTCCATATATACCTAGTGCTCTGTACAGCAACAAAAGTTGCACATCTTCTTTCGCATCACAACCAATCAGTCAACATAGAAGTATATTCACCGACTTTCAATGATGTGCCAGCGTAGAAAGAAAACTCCATCTCACGTGATGTCAATCAACAATTTGACGAATCTTACTAACCAATGAAAATCTACTGGTCCGATTTCGCACTTCACTTTTCGCAGCATTCACACAACACAAGAACTTTATGCAGTGATGTGCATAATGCATAACACCACACACCACCAAATAATCAAAATTCATAAAAAACAAAAAAAAATCAAAGAAGAGCGTCAGAGTCATACCTACCTAATACGTAGATACCTCAAAAGATCTTCCTTGGAAAAGCATAAATACCGGTCTGCGTCTGTTTATGAGAAATTTTTCTTTCTTCTCTTGTTTGAATCAATTCACTTTCATCATCATATCAATTGATCTTTTATCAAGGGGATCTTATCTCTTCTCTTCATCTTCTTCTACCCCTTAAATATTTCTCTTCCATCATCAAGAACTCCAATTCAATTCAATTCAGTTCAATTCAAATTCCTTTGAAAGGTCAACAACCCACATACGCACTTCCAAGACTCTTCTCTTCCCTCAGTCCAACAAATCACCCATCACAAACTTCTCAATAACCACACAATGTGTCCTTCCTGCGAGCCCGAGCAGGCTTTAAATACCATTGCCGCTCATGCGAATGGCAATGGCTCTACTTCCAATGGATCAGGCGGAGGTTCGCATTCAACCCTCAATTTCCATGCTTAGTATCATCGCTGACTTTCAATTCTAGCTCATCCAGGATATACAGCAATTGAGACCAAGAAGAACCCACACCCAGCAAAGAGAGAGAACCCATATCAACCAGTCGGCGACTTCCTTAGCAATATTTCGAGTTTCAAGATTATAGAGAGTACACTGAGAGAAGGTGAACAATTCGCCAATGCTTTCTTTGACACCGAGAAGAAGATTGAAATCGCCAAGGCTTTGGATGATTTCGGTGTTGACTACGTGAGTCATTGCTCTTATACTGACTTCGCATTGGAACAATTTTACTGACATGAGGTCCGCAGATTGAATTAACTTCACCAGCTGCTTCAGAACAATCAAGAGCTGATTGTGAAGCCATCTGCAAGTTAGGATTGAAGGCTAAGGTTGGTACCACTAGCTTTCGCACAATCAATGGCATACGCATACTAACTTCTATAGATTCTTACCCACATCAGATGTCACATGGATGATGCAAGAATCGCAGTTCAAACTGGTGTTGATGGAGTGTAAGTTGCGCTATTACTATAGACAAATATTTTTTTCTAACATGTTTTAGTGATGTCGTTATCGGTACCTCATCTTATCTCATGGAACATTCCCACGGAAAGGATATGACCTACATCAAGAACACCGCAATTGAAGTTATCGAATTCGTTAAGTCACACGGCATCGAAATTCGATTCTCTTCAGAAGATTCCTTCCGTTCAAACCTCGTCGATCTCCTCTCGATTTACTCCACCGTTGACAAGATTGGTGTTAACCGTGTTGGTATTGCCGATACTGTCGGATGCGCTTCCCCAAGACAGGTTTACGATTTAATCAGAACTCTTCGTGGTGTCGTTAGCTGTGATATCGAAACACATTTCCACAATGATACTGGTTGCGCTATCGCAAATGCATACTGCGCTTTAGAGGCTGGTGCTACTCACATTGATACCTCCGTTTTGGGTATTGGTGAGAGAAATGGTATCACGCCTCTGGGTGGATTAATGGCCCGTATGATTGTCGCAGATCGTGAATACGTCATGGGCAAATACAAGCTTCACAAGCTCAAGGATATTGAAGATTTGGTTGCACAAGCCGTTGAGGTCAACATTCCTTTTAACAACTACATCACTGGTTTCAGTGCTTTCACTCACAAGGCTGGTATTCACGCCAAGGCTATTCTCAACAACCCATCCACCTACGAAATCATCAATCCAGCCGATTTCGGTATGACCAGATACGTTCACTTCGCATCAAGACTTACTGGATGGAACGCCATCAAGTCTCGTGCTAATCAATTGAACATCGAAATGAGCGATGAACAGTACAAGGAGTGCACTGCTAAGATCAAGGCTCTTGCCGATATTCGATCCATCGCAGTTGATGATGCTGATTCAATCATTCGTGCTTTCCACAGACAAACCAAGACTGGCAAGGCTGTTGAACTTTTGCCAAACATGACCGAGCAGGAGAAGACTTTGTTGGCCCAGAAGGAAGCTGAAATTGCTGGAGTTCCTGAGAAGCGCAAGTTGGATGAGGTTGCCGAGGGTCAAGCTAAGAGGGCTAGAAATGATGTTTCGGCATAAATGAAGAGAGGAAAGGATGAAATCTGATTTGAACCAAGTCTGTTCTGTTAGGGGGTAGCTGAATTCTTCCCAGACAAGGCGGATCTAAAGGAAAGTAGTTGAAATCTTCCTAGATCCTGGTTCAAAGATGATGGAAATCTTCCTCGTTGATTCTTCATTTACGGAAACAAAATGGCAGGCTGAAAAGTTGCTTGAGCTATTTGATATTTCTTTCCTTTTTTTGTTTGATTCTTCCGACAGCCAAAGACAATATTCGCGACATACAATTTTTTGCGAGGTTTGCTTTGCGTTGAGTGGATATCTAGTCGAGGGTGTGTTACATCATACAGTGGGTATGAGAGGAGAGCTTATTCGATAATCTGAAAATACAATGCTATGCATGATTTACTTGTTTCTTGAGAAGTTGACTGATTGAATTGGTGATTGATTATGCTTGATGTGATGAGAATCTTTTTTTGGACTAAGGTAATAATTGACCACTGAAATGATATTGGTATTGTGCAATTGATGTCATTGAAAAACTAATTCCTACGCATTAAAGCCACATCTTGGTTGAAAGGCCATCACCTGCCTCATTAATTCTCCGACCACTCCACCAAATCATTAACTTTTTAATTCATTCCATTGAGCCACTAACTTAGAAATCCACCAACCCATCCATAATCATCATGTCATAGCAAATCCACATATCCACACTTCCCTATCCCCGCCAAATATCCCTTCCTTCACACGAAACAATCTTCCCTTCCTCTCACAAAAGAGCCACAACTCCCAACGCCGCTCCCATCAATCCTCCTACCATCTTAACACCCACCGTAGGCGCTGCGTTAGTCGTAGCAGATGTAGGTGAGCTTGATGTTGCCGAACCTGTAGTTCTGGATGATGTGGATGTGGATGTGGATCTAGATGTTGTACTTGTAGCTGAACTCATTACTCCGCCAGGATTTGATGTTGTAGCTGATGCGGAGCTCATTGCTCCTCCTAGATTGGAAGAACTTAGTGCACTTCCTGTTGCGCTTTCTGTTGCGCTCCCAGTGGAAGATACGCTAGTATTGGTGAGGATGCTGAGGACACCGCCTGGATCACTAGAACTCAATGGACTTCCGCTTGCCCCGGGCGCGCTGGTCGAGCTAGCGAGACCTCCTGGATTTCCAGAAGTGATGGCACTTCCTCCTTCTGTAGTTACACTTCCTGTTACTGCAGATGCAGATGCGGAAGCGGAGAAAGCAGCACAGAGTGCAGCGCCGACGCTAGCGGCACTTGCAAGCTCATTGGCGTTGCAGGCTGAGATGAGACATGGGGTTGCGGCGGTTTGAATGGCGGTTTGGGCGGTGCCGCATTGGCAGGCTTGATCGTTGGCTCCGCAGCCGGCGACGGAGATGGCGCTCTGGAGACAGGGGATCTGTTTTTGTGGGTGGTTAGTTGGTTGTTGGTAGAGGGGGTGGGTGAGATGGGAGGAAGAGAACGGCAGGTGGGTGGAATGAGAATGAAAGGGACAGATGGGAAGAAAACTTACAGCACAAGCAGGTTCCGCACCGAAATTCTGGGCAGATACCGAGAGGAGAGTACCTGCAATCGAGAAGGCGGTGGTGAACTTCATCTTGAGAGTAGAACTATTATTGTATTGAACCTTTGATTTGTTCTTGTAATGTTTATTTTGTGATATTGTATTTGTGTACACGGATGACTTTTGAATAATTGATTTATTAGAGAGGGGAAAGAGATGGTAAATACAGAGTAAGAAGAAGATGGGGTATTGATAATCACTTGATAAAGTAATAGTGAATTGAATTGATTGAATAGAATTGAATTGAACGTAAGATTATATATTCAAATGGGTAAATGAATGAATGAATACTCGCACTTTTAAGACAGACAGACTAGATTGGACTGGGCTAGATCTGGCTGGCTCTTTCTTTTCCTGGACCTGGACTTTGACTTTGACTTTGACTTACTTGGACCTACCTTAGTTTCCTTAGTTGCGGGGAAATTTTATTATCGACAGGGAAGAAATACTTGCCGCTTCATGATAGAATTTGACCTGTTAAGGTTATTTATTGCTTGTTGAAGTTTGTACTTGTTTGTATCGACCGTACTACTCGCGAGTAGTATAGAGTACACTTACCGGTATACGTAAGCAATGTACACGTTGGATTGGATGAAATAGGAAGCTCAAATTTGAGTTTTTGAGTTTTAACTTTCAACTTTTAACTTTGATGGCTGATGGCTGATGGCTGATGGCTGATGGCTGATGGCTGATGGCTGATGGCTGATGGCTGATGTTGGTGAAGTTCGGGTAAGGTTTCCAGGTACGAGTATAGTATAAGGTGAAGTGAGGTAGGTCTAGATCTAATAGGTTGGAATTATATAGAGGGACCTAATGAAATGAATTGACTAATAATTCATATAGAATACCTAGTTAACCTTATCAAACAGCACAGAGTTTTATTTCTCTTATTTTTCGTATTTGTTTGTCTGTCAAAAATCAATTGAATCCTTTAATTTGACTCTATTGAATCTTAACTTGAGGCTTACTAGATAACCTACCTATTGATTTGCTTTGATATCTGGGCAACTTTACTCGTCCTCCCCTTCCCCGCCACGGTATTTCCACGCAATACCGACTTGTAGATCAAATCACGATGGATCGATCATCATCATCACCCCAGTAACCTTATCACAACCACTCATCTCTTTCCTCATCTCATCATCTCATCTACACTTTATTATACCGAGTACATCATAGCCATGTACATCATTTTCCAGCCTTCCTCTCTTGATCTGATTTTATTGAAAAATCGGGAAACTCATTACGCATGCTTGATTCCTGCACCTGCTTAAGAAAGAAAGATATAGATTGGTCGTGCTACTTACTGCTTCACACGTGGCGGTTCTGGGTACTCGTAACCTTATTACTTATGCCCCCAGCCATCTTTGAGATGTGGTGTTGGCTGAAGATCAAAGTAGGTATATTGTACACCGTTGTTTTGACTGGGACCAATAGTAGGAATTGAGATGTTTAGGTTTGTTGTGTGAGTTGGTATAGTATCTGGATGATCTTTCATGATATTTAATCTTTCCGCTGAATTGGATGCATGATAAGATTCAACGTCCAAGGTAACCTTAAATCCATCGATTAACTTCAACATCTTGATCTCAAATGATCTACATACATAAAGTCATGTATAAACAGGAAGAAATTAATTTGGAATCAGTTGTGCAAGGGAGTGTTCTACATATGAGACTACCCAGCTTGAATATAAAAAGTTATTATAGTCTAGTAATGATTTCAGTACCTAAAACGAAACCAACACTTTATCGCCTTTAATACGGGAGTATTTCACGTGACACGAACATCTCAAAGAGTTTCAACATCTCAAAATAATATCAACCTGTTTACATCTGAAATGTTCTCAATACCTAATCAAAGTCTCATAATGTACGATTACGATTCAAACTATTGGAGACAATTGTCAAAAGATCCGATGAGAACAACACCACCGAGTTGAGTAAGCAGTTTCGTATTATCTCTCTCTCTATCACCGCTTCTTTTTAAGAATATATACAAATTCCAACTTCGAGATCGATTAATACTTATACCACAGTCGCCAGCCAACTATCTTCTATCCATCCTACACGTAACTAGTTGGTAAAATGTCTTTCTCTACTTTCTCGCCTCTCCTCGTTGCAAGCACATACCTAGTATGGACAATATCTGCCCAGCTTGGTTCCAGCTCTATATCTCACTCAATCGTGATAACAGTTACACAACTTCATAGTTCCATCATCCTCGATTTGTAGCTCTACCTTATCTTTTTTTTCCTTTTTTCTTCATCGTCAGTTTCTTTTACAGGTTGATCATTTTAGCCTCAATAGATACCTAGGTAGTTAGAAGTTTAACACACCCAATTACAATTCCATGGCACTTCCCACTTCCCGAGTCCCTTCTCACTCTCCGCCAATAAATACCATACTCTCTATCCTTCAAGCTTAGCATTAGTTAACATATGAACACTTCCCCCTCATTTCGCATATACACGAATATTGATTTTCATTTTGACAACAACAATAAAAACATTGACATCCTTCATATTCCCAATATTACTCTCCAGTTAGACATTTGGATTCTACTTTTGCATTTCAACAACATCCTTCGAGACTAATAAGACCCGGCCGGCCGGTAAGGTTAAATCTCCCCGGAAACCTCATTATCAATCATCCTATTTAATCAATCCCTGTTCATATTTGATCTCTTTATCAATAACCAACTCTACATTTTGACTCAAGTTTTCTTCCCACTTCTCTCCCTCAAAAAAGAAAAAAAAAGAACACATACCTTTACCATATATATCAAGAACAATCCAAGCAGCATAACACAAGATCCTCACATTATCCTAAAACTCAATCATATCCAGGATCGACATCTCATCTGATTATTGAACCGCCATATCTAAGATCACCACCTACACACCTACCTAGGTAATTAATACTGGGTGATCCTTCTCTGAAAATTCAACATTAGTGAATGAATAATTTACAAGTATTTAGTAATCAATCAATCAATCATCATCATCATCATCATCATTATCATCATCATCATATAGCGTTCTGAAATCTTTTCTTCATCCATATCCACCTTGCTGTCTACCCTTGTTGATTCATTGTGACATTGAGGTTTTCTTTCGTCACGGCTAGTAACTCTTGTTCCCCTTCTGAGGTTCCAACCGCGTATTTGATTCATATTTAGGATATTCGTTTTTTGGGTGGGGGGAAGGGGGGTTTCGCTAGTCAATCCAGAGTCTCTCTTTTAAACAAAACTTGCATTATGATTTAGGATATCCGCTAGTTGTGTTTGTTGAAGGTGTGGAAGGTGTAGAAGGTATCTTTGAAACATATTTTCATTTGAATATGACGCATCTAATTGAAAGAAGAGGTAAAATATTATTAGTTGAATAAGTATGTGAATGAACGCAAAACCAAAAATCTTCTCCAGCTCTATGCCAACGAGATAACGATTTTCTTAGCAGAAACTCCTTTCCTCTGCATTTTCATCCCCTTTTCTACGAGCCCCAATCCCTCTCCAATTACCATCGCCTCAGGAGCCGCAATATAGCTACCCTTCTCTAACGCTTGTGGCAAAAATTTGGAATACACAGCCTCGCCAACCTCATTCATTACCACAGTTGAGCCATCGACGAATTTGTTATTGATACCTCGGAGTACTTTCTTGATCTCATTGGAAATCGTCCAAAGAATGAACGTAGAAATGAACCTCGGGAATATGAATCGTTTCGGTGGTGGTAACATTGGATAAGAAACCATCGCAACAAATTTCTTACCATTGCATTTATCGACGATATCCATACATGCATCTGAAGCTCCTTTCCCGATAGACATTGCACCAGCACAAGTCTTGCCTCTGAATGCATTTATAATATCAGGAACTGCCGATTTGCTGTTGTAATCAAACACTTGACTTGCACCGAATTTCTTGCACAGCTCGAAGTTCTTGGGAGATGAGGTAGTAATGACCTCGTAACCAGCTGCGACGGCTAACCTGAAGTTTATAATTAACGAAAATTCATGAAAGAAGTCCTAGATCCACAAAGAAGACTTACTGAATAGCATTGATGCCAACACTGGTTGAACCACCCCAAATAAGCAAAGTTTGCCCGGCTGGTTTTGGGGAGACCGACGGCAATCCTAGTGCCAGGTGATCCTTTTGAAATAGCCCAGCAGCAGCTGTAGAAACTCCCAGAGGCAAAACGGAAGCTTGTTCATACGACAAATTATCCGGAATTGGCGAAGTCATATTCTCCAACAAAACAGTGTAGAGCTGAAAAGCACTTTGCGTAGGAGTATTCGATGGCTCTGTGGTTCCCATTGCCATGCCCACGACACGATCTCCAACCTTAAACCGCGTAACACTATTTCCAACTTCAACTACTTCTCCAGATACATCATATCCAAGAATGCATGGATATTTCACCCAAGGGAATAGCAAGCCATCCAAATCTTGTTTCATCCAATCTGCTGGGTTAATAGCAATAGCTCCATTTTTTATAACAATCTCATTCTTCGAGGGCCGAGTATAAGGCGCGGGTTTGACTTCTAGCTTCGCAGATTGATTCAACCATACAGCGGAATTTGGGGAGAGCTTTGCCGAGGAAGACATGCCGATTGGAGGTACGGGCGAGGACGCGAGAGAGGTGGATACTGGGCTAAGACGTTAAGTCTAGATCCGCGATGAGGTGATAGAGGTGAATATTGACTAAGATGATAAGTCTAGATTTGCGAGTAGGTAACGAGAGCTGCAAGACTGAGAAGTGAGGAACAGATGTGCTATGAAAGGATTGCTGTTCTCAAAGTGAGCTGAATGAGATATACTTATACCCAATACCTACCTACCATTGCTTCACACGTTAAAGAGAGAACATGGCATGGAGATATCATATTCATTTTGTCCGATAATTTCATGAAGTTTCGAAGCTTAGATTGAGATGCTTTGAACATTGTCGATAGGTCATCGCTGCCATCTTCTGAAAATGCGAGATGAAGTTAGTGTTCGGTAGATTTTAGACTGTACGGAGTAGTGAAGTTGAAGTTGTGGATGGGGATGGATTCAAGTTTGTGATTACTAATAAATTACCTATCATGTCATTGGCTTGATGACTAAAGTAGGTTAGCAGAAACTTCAAATGCGAAGAGAGGTTAGCGCTCTCCAAGCTAATGCAGTCAATGTGAATCTTTAATTTGTTAAGCACCGGTGAACCTTAATCCGAAGTCCGAGGATGCAGATGAAGATGAGGATGAGGATGAAGTAAAACGTGGGAATCCACCACCATCGTCAGAGCGTCAACACCATTTGCAACCAGATCTTGCCAATCTCTGTAGCTCAGCTGTTGTCGTCGTAGTCCGGGAAAGAAAGTTGTCCGGGAGAGTCAATTGTCTGGGAAAACAATCTGTCCGGGAAAGCAAGCTGTCTTGGAATGTACAATAAGATTAATATCACAATTATAATTTCATTGCTTTTTGGTAGTAATTGCTTCAAAATTGATTATTGCATAATATTGTATAAGGTTAAGTTTTAAAGCTAACAGTTTTCACCTCTCTGGACAACAATATCAAGCGTGATAGGGAGAGGAAAATTTACTTTCCGGGATAGGTTAACTCGTTTCCAACACAACCGAACCTAAAATCATTCCCCCTTCATTTCCTCGTCAGTGTGATGTGTCCACCAAAACACCGCCTCGGAATACTTATATCGTGAGCATTATTGCCAGTCCAAATACTTTCCTTTCTTATCAATATTCGCGCGACCCTTAGGATAACTTAGAATTCCACCACCCGTTTGTGAACTTCCATCTGATCCAGAGCTATGAGCGCTCCCCGCTTGATATCCGAAAAGGGGGACAATCGGAAGATCAGGCCGCATAAAAAGTCGCGCCGTGGATGTGGAAACTGTAAGCTAAGGAAGGTCAAGGTAAGTTGGATATCTCATCCCATTCTAATGGGATTTGTTTTAACTGGTTGGCGATAGTGTGACGAGACCAGACCTATGTGCAAACGGTGCACAGAATTTAAAGTTCTCTGCAACTACGACCAAAAAACTTCAGCACTTCAGCTGCTTGACAAATCCTTTACTTTTGAGACACTTCAACACAGACTTCCCTACTCATTAAACCAAACGATGCCAAGCATTGTTAACCCAGGCTTGAGAGGCTTCCACAAGACCAATGTGTACGATTTGAGTGACCAAGAACATCTGGGGATATTGAATAGATTTCAGACAAGAACGGTTTACACAATTACGACAGACAGGAATCTCCAAATATATCAAAATGAGTTCATCAAGCTAGCATGTTTGGTATGTACGAGCATGGAAATTTACCCAAAGCTTTACTGACCCGCCACAGCATCCATATTTGATGCACGCTTTACTGTTATTTACGCTAATGCACGACCGACACCTGTCGATTGAGCAGAGTACAAGAATGTCTCCCTCGGAAACTTTTCATTGGTCTCAAAGTATATCACTATTTAGCAGAAAATTGTCACCTGCCCCAATTGAATCCTCATCAGAACGCGATGCTTTATGGGCAACTTCGATTCTTCTTGGTCTCATTGCGTTCTGCAATATTGAGTCAAGGACCCCACAAGAAGCATGGCCTCTGGTTCCACCTTCATCCTTAGATCTGAATTGGCTTGTGATGGGATACGGGAAGTCGCAGATTCTGAAACTGGTTCAAGACAAAAAAGCGAGTGCATTCAGAACATTGATAGCACCTGAAACTTCCGCACTATCCACACACATTCGCCTTGAGACATTGCCACAAGCTTTCATCACAGTTTTTGATTTGCATTCAAGTTCTAAATCAAATGATAATCCATATCGTCTTGCGGTATCTCTATTGTCAGATGTCATCGACGTCGACGTTGATATTACCGTCATCTTGAAGTTTTGTGCTTTTGTCGGCGAAACGCATCCACAATACAAAAGATTGCTCTTCCAAAAAGAACCTCGAGCTCTCTTGTTACTGGCCTATTGGTTTGGAAAACTTTGCCAATTTCCACATTGGTGGATTTGGAGACGTGCATCATTGGAGTGCCAGGCAATCTGCATATATTTGGAGACTTTTCACAAACATGACTTGGATGTTCAGACTCTTTTAGTCTATCCGAAAATCATGTCTGGGCTTTAGTTATTGAATTTGATGTGCTATATAAACTTTGGTAGTCAGTGCTGTCATGGCGCGATTTGTCTTTGATGGTCAATGGTCATGTGTTACTATCACTCCTAGCACCTGATACATTTTGAACACCACTAGAGGATTGACTCAATTTTGCTGTCTTTATCTCACCACAAAACTTTTCCCTTCATCATCTGCCTCATTCGTTGTGTTCCTGTACATGTCAGTTTCTCTTCCGCCACAGGGCGTATCCCAAGAAATAGTTCTCTGGTATTTGTCTGCCGTAAGGCTGTTACGATCTTGAACACTCTTGAGAGTTCCTTTTTGGCCCGAAGGGTGATCCGTAACATTTAAATGGCATTTTAATGTCGATGGACTAGGCGCGCAAATAGAACGAAGCAAAATTTTCGCATTTTCTTCATTGGCCTCTCTACAAGTTTTCATTCGTTTCCAGCAAATGTCCCTTTCACTTCCACACAATCAATCGCCAATATTCTGAAATCTGAAGCGCTTCTACTTTCCTTGTGTTTCGGGCGCATTCAAGATGAGGGGTGTTTCCATTAATCCTCCCTAAACAAAAGGAAGATCAAGACAAGGTCAATTTCTTCTAACCTACACTTTTGTCGCTCGTTCTCAAGGCGATTGCTCATTGACATCTCTTTGTTTATCACTGTCGTGCCATTGTCTCTCCTTTGTTCTCTTCCCGGCTTGTTACATAAATATACACTATCGTCTCACCCAACAGCTATATCATCATCAACTTTACACCATCAAAACCTAGGAACCCTAAGCCCAAGCTAATAACAAGCATAATCAACATCGGCATCAAGCCAAGATCTCGTTAAGCTATTCCCGCAAACATGTGTTTCAGTGCATGCAAGCCTTCCATCAGCTCCTGCAAGCAGCCTGATACTGGAGAGATTAATGATCAATCAGCCCCTGTTATTCAAGACTATATCAATGGCTGGGTGTGTTGTTGCTGCAGCATGGATAATTGCGGTAATTATGTGTGGTGTGCAGGCTGTAATCATTACACAGTCAATTGTATTTCTTGCTTTTCCTATTAAGTTACTTTGGGGACAGCATCATGTAACATGTGCCATCGCAATGTACTAGCTTCTGAGTTATTGCCTTGGTGTTTACCTTTCTATACATCCTAACAATCAAGAATTATTCCATGCGTTTTAAAAAATACTGCGTCATGATACTGCAAGTGAGTAAAATACCCAAAGTGATACTGAGAGTCCAAATTAGAAGTGAATGTTATTATTGATCGCTATGATTTTGTACAGAGTATATATTTATGCATGATCGAATATGCAAATAGTAGCTGGGAGAGAATTCTACAGTAATGAAGCGAGGGATGATGATGCGGATGAAGGGCAATGGGATAATTGGTTTAGGGACACAGCCCGTGATCTTGGATATGAGTTGCACAAAAAGAATGGGGAGGTGTTTATGATTGTTTATTTGATTAAGGAAATTTTGATGATGTTAATTGGGTGATGAAGGAATGGAAGATTCAGTAGAGGTATCAAGTCAAGATGATCTTAGTGATAGTGAAAAAGGTTTGACATCTTTATTCAGAAACTTTTATGTTCAATCGACATTTTAGTAGACATTATCGAGAATTAACCCGTGTATCCGTCCTCTTAAATGAGTGAAAATCCTCCAACATTAACATATGCATAGCCTCACCGCTTGCATAACCTCTCTGCTTCATAGATTGTTGCTGACAAAATCAATGCCCAAAAAGACTAAAATACAAAAACAATTTTGAGGTAGTGTCTCTCAACCAGTGCGTCCCATATTTATATCTGCGGCCTTCTTTGCGGCCTTCTTTGTTGCATCCGCAAAATCGTCTTGATTGTCCGCCCACTTCAAAACCTGTCTGGTCCAGCCAGATAATCTTCTTTCCCCGTCCAAAACTCCTTCCAAGGGGGGAAGTGTTGGAAAAAAGCAGTCTTCTCGTTCGTTATTTGACAGTAAATGCCAGTTTCGATAATGCACATTGATCTGGAGTGTAAAGTCGTACAGAATAATTCTCAATTCAATACAGGATTTTCGGACAACATTTAATGTCTGAGTTCGTGCCCGGTAGATGGATAATTGCTCCTGTCTTTCTTCATTGCCAACTTCATATTCTAAAAGGCTGCTTCTTTTCCAAGGCATCCATGCAGTTCAGGTTACAGCCGGCTCATCATTCATGTCGATTTCTCTTTTAAGGTTGTTCCTCTCTATTTCCAAATTTTGAACTGTTCGCTCAATGCGAAGTATAAAATCCTTAATATGTGATCTTAAAATCCCACATGCTGTCAATGTCTTTCATGCTTGCCGAAGAATCAGTCTCTCCATGTCTGCTATATCACCAACCACACCCATATGTAGTGAAATTATGTTGGATATGAGCTGCATGGTAGCTACCTCCGAATATCTGAATAACTGTCCCCAGGATTGTGTCTCCCGATTGCGTTGGATAATTTGCTCAAGTGCGATGATCTTTTCTTTAACTTCCGTTGCTGTTCTATTTGTTGTGATACTTAGATTCGTGCATGCCTGGAATGAAGTATCAAAAAATGAGAGCACAGTCCTTTGCGATAGCATCATATTCTAGTAATTGAACTAGAGCAGAATGTAGAACAGGTGATTGATCATAGATATCTGGAAGAGATTCCCCAATGTACATCTTCCGGTCTCTTGTCATGCCATCAATATTTACAAGCATTAGGCCTTGAGCCAAAATACCTGGTTTGGCATCTTTACAAGGATGGTGGTTTCCAGTTTGTTCGAAAGAGGGTGATCCATGGGGTTGGTATCCTTCAACACCACGTGAAAAGGCGAAATGTGTTATTTCCCACTCATACAGGAATAGGGGTAGGACGAAGAGTGCACCGAAGACTGATATTAGCAGAACAACCCCAAAAATCCATCTAGGTGTAGATTTTTTCTACCAAAAAGCTTACATTAGCCCCCTCCTACTTCCCTAATTGTTGTTCTTGTACATACCTTTTGCAGTTGTTGTTTTATTGGTTCCAGAACTGACGTACCGCCATCTCCTGAATGCTCTTCAATACCTGCCATATTATTGAATGACCTGCGACTGTTGAATGAGTTAAAGTTGAATGATATGTTTCTGAATGAAATTCTTTTGAACACCATGTTTTTGAATGATAGGGTCTCGAATGATATACTGTTTGGATAATTTGCTGTTGAAAATGATACGTCACTGAATGGTTTGCTGCTGGATGATCTGTTGTTGATAAACTATCAAAACGAGTGTCTTTATGGATACAGTCAATACTCTATCCATATTCCGCACAGGTCCAGAGTCTTCGGCTACTGATTTACTCGAGACAGGTTTTAAAACTTCATTAAGCTCCAATTGAGAGTCCTTGGCTTCTGATTTATTCGGCTTAGAGTTCCAGACAACGCATAAACCATCAAGCCCGAGACTTACCTGGCCTCAGATGAAGTATCATAGCATCAGAGTCTTCTGCTGTGTCGGAACCAATATGATATGAAGATCTTTTGGAATCAATAGATAGCATAGCTGCTGACAGCTCGACGTTCTTCACGAAAGGTTTGAAAGGAATGGATGAGCTTCTAGAAGGTAGAGAAGGTATCATGCCTCTGAGGTACTTTCTGAAAACAAGGGGTATTCACAAAAGAACTTCGCAAGAGACTTGTGTGTCTTTGTCAGCAACACACTAAGGTTCTTAAATACGAACAGGAATTTGCTAGACAATAAACCCTGCTCAATATAGAAGCATCGTAAACTTACTCAGAGACATTACAAACTCATATAACAATACTACAAGCACGCTAAACAAGACCAAGCAGCCTGAGGAGGAAACTTGGACGGAACTAGGGCTCGTTCAATTCACAGTAAGCCGAATAGGAGACGATTTTCTCATCTAGTTAATCGTTAAATAAAGGCGAAAGACTTCCGAGTGACTTTCAAGTTTCTTTGGAGGTAGTGATGAGGGACATACTGTTCCTAGCACACTCTCCACAGCTAATTCACCAAAGAAATAGTTCGTGATGTCACCACTAAACATTCTGGCTGCTACTAGCAATGAAATTAACTGCCGGGCATCGTGTTTATCATGCAAGTCATTTCCAAAATTCGCTTGCTAGCACTGTCTCTGGAATGAGAAAGAGCAAACTTGTATTTAAAGAGGAGGGTATTTTGTCAGGTTCTTATAGTTGGTTGAATGAATGTCATTTCCAAAGGTCCTAGCATTGAAATATGATCATGTGAGGGACCGATATTTTATGGCACATGGGTTTAACTTCTCGGTATCAGGAATTGATAAATAATACAAAATTGAAGATGAAAGGACACGATCCAGCTTGTTCTACAATCAACAAGGAATGGAGGCATAGGAAAAGAGTGAACACAGTATTATGATTCCTGGGTGTTCTATAGGTGTAGAATTCATCTCATACCTGTTGCCGATTTCTACATGTTGTGAGAAAGCTGACTTTCTGATGGGTAGTAGGTAGCTAGTCTATAGTCATATGATCACAAAGTCCTTTGCCATTAGACCCAAGGTCAGGGCTCCTCCTTCCCTTCCAGAAATCAATTGTTTATTCATCTCTTGCGTACAACCAATTCCGTTGTTTTCCATCATCTTCCCTCCTCAACTTTACAATTAGGAAAGCTATGGTTATAAAATAATGTCGAGCTATCATCACGAATTTGATTCTTCCTCCCGAAATAGCAAGTATTATATAAGATTAACCTTGTCTGAAAAAGAGAAAGTATAATCTTAATACTTTCTCTTTTCATGTCACGATTCACCATTAGGATTAGTGTCCTGAGGCAAATAGGAGTATCACGTGATGGATAGCCTGGATAGACCAGTCTATCCAGGCTATCCAATAGCATTCAGAAGTATATAGTCAGAGTAGTTTCATAGTATAGGAGCTTGGTGCTCAAATTAGTTATCAATTAGTTTACCTACATTCTACTTGATCTAGTAACGAATTCACTTTCAAGTGAATACCAATGATAAAGCCTTAACCTATAACTACCAACCGACGAACCTTAGGCAGCCGCTGCCCCCAGTACAGAATCGTTACATTTCACTCCCTCTTTACTTCTTTAATTATTTCAAAAGAGAGGAAGTTCAATTGTTTTTTAATTATTATATTTCTTTAGTTGTTAATAATATAATATGTTAAAATGAATGGTTCCTGCGCAGCACGTGCACAGGGCACTAGTCCTATTAGGACTAGATTGAGAAGCTCTCTGTAGGAGAGCTTCGCACTTCCGTAGAACTTAGATGAAGAGTGATTGACACACTAGACCAATATTACCTAAGTTCTGCCCTATCAGCTTCCCACTATTCCCTGTGTAAGGTCATTCCTTTTAACATAATATAATATAAAATATTTATATCCCCAAGCCTCTAACTTTTTGTTACGTAGTAACAGTCAACCTGTCCATATGAGCTCAGACCCCGTGAAAAAGCAAACCGATTCACATACAAAATTTTATGGTAATCGGTTCGTAGAGTCTCCCCACCTTCAGCAAGCACAGACATATGTTCTGATTGAAATCACGTGATGGATCTAAGGATCTAGAGGATCTAGGGGATCTAGATAATTAAACTCTAGATCCAATAGATCCAAGGGATCCAAAAGAATACAGTAGAATATGAAGTTCTATATAAAGGGATAGGTTTTCATTTGTAGAGCTTCGTGCTCAAGATCAATCATTTAGTATACTCTACTATTAGTTACGAATTGCATATCATTATTGTCATTACTTTAAGTCCCTGCTTGACGCCTAGTTATAAACCACCTCGAGAGCCTAGAGCACTTCCACGTGATCTAGACGGCAAACCTCGTAACACAAAGATAGACTTGTTGCCTCAATATTTAGACCACAAGCTCTTTTCCCTGCCTCGCATCCCTATCTCCAAGCTCTAACAGAACCCGCCTATAACATACCCCGAACTGACCCGAATATGTAACTGAACGCAAATGACCATAATTAAGCATTATCTTTTCGTTCTACTACCAATTTGAACTACCATTCTACTATCACGTGTGTGTGATAATTGCATGTTCTTGTGTAAAACTTGTTTGTAGGCATGATGATAATGCGGCGCAGCTTTGCACCAGCCATTTCCATCTTAAAATGAAACAATTAGAGCTTATATTTCCAACATTTTGGCCACGCGATTACCCGATAAGCCTCACCGATACTTTTGGATCCCATTCGTTGGATTCAGTAACATGGGATGACTTTCCCACAATGGCGATGGCGATGGCGATAAACAAATGAGTCGTGAAGGATTAAAACTTTGCGAGATGGTGAAAGCAGCACGATGTATTTACTGAAGGAGTGCGCTCGGGACGGGGGAACTTGGGTTTTGATGCGGCTATAGGGCGTTACAGGATCTTATCACTACAAGAGGCCTGTAATCTGATACCTGAGCCACCTAATCAAGGCTAAGCGAGCTCATAGGCACCGACCCAGTGTGCCAAATGGCAATTTTGCTGGGGTAATTGTGGGGATTTTGAAGAAACTTTACTGGGGTTTTGACCTCCATGGGGTAAAAGATAAGGCATGGATTTGAGTTGACGATCTTCATCTCATTCGGTGACTTAACGTGGAGTAGCCTCAGTAGCTCAGAAATTCGCTGAAGGATGCTTCCGTCAAGCGTTATAGAAATGCCACAGTACACTACTTCACTGCACTGATCTTGACAAATCTTCTTCCCCGTCAACTTTTAGTAATAAGCAACCGATTGAGAGTTTTAGTTTTCTTTTGAACCCGCCCGAGATGAGTGTCCGACCTTACCGACCAGAACGTTTTTAGTCCGTAATGGACCGACGATCTTGTCCGTGAAGTCATAGCCAAGGAAGATGATCCTTCTCATGCTCGTGTACGTTCCTTGTACACACATAATCTCGTACCATGGGGTCCATTAGTTTTTATCGTACAAACAAAATTCTTATTGAGTATGTTCCAAATGTCATTCATGACTTTATGGTAACGGAAATCAACAGTTCATAAAAATCACTTGTGATAAAATAGAAATATCAGATAAAACCTTTTGCTTACCTCCGTCACTCAAGTATACCTACAAATATCCTGAATTAATTCAATTTGAAGTGTTACAGAGAATGTCATGACCCAATATAGAACTCTGTAGACCACGTGCTTCTTCATTAGAACAAGGTTCTTCTGCGGAGTAGGTCTTGCCGATCACTACAAATCGTAACTATTCCCATTATCAAACCAATCTGACAGTTTTGAATTATTTATCATGTAGGTATCTATTTATCTAGTTATAGAGATCAAGGAATGAATTCGTAATATTTTATATTCATCGCTCAAAATATTATACATTCATTTTTGTACACCTGACATGAAATTATAGGATTGGAGTTAATTCAAGAATTATAAGCATTGCATATTCCGAAAGCTTACTAGTGGTAGTCCGTTGCTTTGGCTTATTAAATCGCGCCACAATCTGAGGGCTGACTGGGGGCGCGCGCCATATCTATTTGAAATTGCTCTAGCTCAGCCTAGTGAATGTAACCTAAGCTTGCATTAGAACTTCAAAATGGTATTTTTCCCCATTTCCCGTGAAGATTACCTCGGAAATTCTAAGACTGGAGGTTAGATTCCTGGGGGCACTTTATCATGTTTTTTCTTCTCGGCCGTGCCGACTCTGACTGGTGATCTTGTACTAGGGTTTCATAGTTTTGGTTGGTCAACTGTCAACAAGAACGTGGTATTGCTGTCTACCTTGCATGCATGCACCGTACAAGGATGTAACCTAGGCAGATGTAGCTACATTTTGAAGGAGCGGAAGGTTGGATGATAACCAAATCAAGAGCGCATAAGATTATATATAAGGCTCATGATTTCCCCAATTTTCTTCTACTTGCTTATCCACTTCCCCAGCTTTCCCCAGCTTTCCCCAGCTTTTCCCTAAGTCCTTTTTTATTTTGGCTGTGTTTCCTTTCTTGTCGGCAAAATGACTTCAGCGAAGGATCAGATTGACCATGTCAATACTGTTGAACATGCTCACCCAACTACCCATGTAGACTTGAATAAAAATGTTACCGCCAAGTAAGTTTTGGTCAATTATTTCAGTTCCCGTGTAACTGGACCATTCGCTAATTACCCACTTATAGAATACAAAATCCTTTAGCTGGATTATCAGAAGCGACTATCATCCGAGACGTAGGAGAATTCGCACAAGCCAACGATCTCAACGATATCCTCCCTTTGCTCGAGAAAGGTGCCTTGGTAGCGGCTGATCCAGGGAGTTTCGAAAGCGTAGAGAGATTGGAGGAAGAAGAGAAAGTGGCTTTACGATATGAAGCGGCGCATAGATGGAGTCATCCAAGGACGCTTTATTTGACAATTATTACCTGTTCTCTCGGCGCCGCGGTCCAAGGTTGGGATCAGACGGGTAGTAATGGAGCGAATCTTTCATTTCCAACAGAGTTTGGTATCGGTCAGGGAGATAACCCCGCTTCTCCTCACCACGATCGTGATAATTGGCTTGTGGGTTTGGTTAACGCAGCTCCATATATTGGGTCTGCTTTTTTGTGAGTCAAGATTATGCTCATTTGACAGTTTATCGTGACTAATTTGGATATAGGGGATGTTGGCTTAGCGATCCTTTCAATGCCTGGTTCGGACGTCGTGGTACAATCTTTATTGCAGCTATCATTTGTGTCTTTACTCCCATTGGAGGAGCTTTTTCAAAATCTTGGGGAACTCTTTTTCTTAGTCGTATAATTCTCGGCATTGGAATGGGTCTGAAAGGAAGCACGGTGCCAATTTTTGCCGCGGAGAATAGCCCAGCTATGATTAGAGGTGCATTAGTTATGTCATGGCAAATGTGGACCGCTTTTGGTATTTTCTTAGGTTTTGCTGCAGTAAGTAGTAGCTCGTTCCAACCGAACGATGGATCATTTAGCTGACATTTCTCCAGAATTTGGTCGTCATTAATACAGGAAAGATTGCATGGAGACTTCAAATTGGCTCTGCATTTATTCCAGCTCTGCCTCTTGCGGCTTTGATTTTCTTCTGTCCAGGCAAGTATTATCCTATCCTTAAAATTCTTCAATTTTTCAATCAACTAACAATTACCACAGAATCTCCACGGTGGTTGATGAAACGAGGAGAATATAGAAGAGCCTACGATTCTCTTTGCCGACTTCGGAAGCACGATCTTTTCGCTGCTCGTGATCTCTACTTCATTGACTGTCAGCTCAAAATCGAAGCAGCCATCGTTGGTAAAACCAACTACGTCAGTAGATTCATCCAACTCTTCACCATTCCCCGTGTACGAAGAGCAACGCTTGCATCGTTCACTGTGATGATTGCCCAGCAGATGTGCGGTATCAACATTATTTCGTTTTATTCTTCGACTATTTTCAAGCAGGCTGGTACTAGTGAAAAGAACGCTCTGATTGCAAGTTTTGGATTTGGATTGGTTAATTTCGTCTTCGCGTAAGTCTTTCTGAAGAGTTTGCCCAAACCTAATACTTCAGTAGCATGATGCTAATGATGTGCCCACTAACTAGCTGGCCAGCTATTTGGACTATTGACACCTTTGGTCGACGCTCTCTACTTCTCTTTACCTTTCCACAGATGGCTTGGTCTCTCCTCGCAGCTGGTCTCTGCTTCCTCATCGATGAGAAATTAACTGCGCATATTGGACTCATCGCGACATTTATTTACATATTCGCCGCATTTTACTCACCAGGAGAAGGACCTGTTCCTTTCACATACTCAGCGGAAGTGTTCCCCTTATCACACAGAGAAGTAGGAATGGGCTGGGCCGTTGCAACATGTTTATTCTGGGCAGCCGTTCTCTCAATCTCTTTCCCTAAGATTTTAGAAACATTCCATCCCGTGGGAGCTTTCTCATTCTACGCGTATGTTGCTCCCCATCTTCCCCAAAATACAAAATCCAACTAACACGACACCACACCAAACAGAGGACTCAACATCGTCGCCTTCGTAATGATATTCCTCTTTGTCCCAGAAACCAAACAACGCACCCTAGAAGAACTCGACTACATTTTCGCCATCCCAACCCGCACGTTCATGAAATATCAAATCACCAAAACCCTTCCATATTGGGTTCAACGATATGTATTCATGAGGAAAAATGCAGTACTAGAGCCACTCTATCATTTTGACGAGACGTCTGATTTCAGAACGCCCGATACGAAAAATTCGGGAAGCCCCGAACAGATTGAGAAGGTGGAGCCGGATAAGAGTAGTGGGAAGGAAAGTGCCGAGATCAATACTTGAGACGATTTATTTAATGGATAATAGAGCGGAAGCAGGAATTTGTGGGGACAGCGTATCTATTTTGGGGAGATAGATGAAGGATACATATGATTGCAGGAAGATGTAACGATGCTGTACTGGAGGCAGCGGCTGCCTAAGGTTCGTCTGGTTGGTAGTTGTGGGTTAAGGCTTTATCACTGGTATTCACTTAGAAGTGAAATCGTTACTAGATCAAGTAGAATGTAGGTAAACTAATTGATAACTAAGTTGAGCACGAAGCTCCTATACTAAGAAACTACTCTAACTATATACTCGTCGTTTCCTTGAGTGCTAGCTATGCTAGCTGGCTAGCAGAGCTAGCATGTCACGTGATCTCCTATTGGCCTCAGGACACTAATCCTGGGACAATTCGTCTCCTGGGATAATATAACTCCTAGGATAATTGTCCTGGGACAAATATTATCCTAGGACGTTTATCCTAGAACGAATAATGTCCTAGGACACTTGTCCTAAGCCATCACGGTTGCCTAAATGGTTTGTCCTAGGATGATTATTATCCTGGGACACATTTTATCCTAGGACACTTGTCCTAGGATTCCTTATCGATAAGGACCTCCTCGGAAACAGCGGCCCAAACCGCCGTACTTGCTTTTATTGTGTTATAATAATCGTGATTCGTGACAGAAGAAAAGTTAACCTATGCCCACCCTACCAAATTATTTCTGTGGTGTATTTTACTTTGTGAAGAGTGAAGTTTGAATTTCGAAGCGAGAGTTTGTTTATACCGGAGTGTGAATCTATATCAAAAGCACGACAGTAAACAAGGACACAGGAGCCAGCCCAACAGTTTGAATTGTAAATGTGCAGCATGATTCGTATATTTCAAGAACACTTGTTATATTGATAACAAAAACCAATTATAAATAACTGACTGCTCTCTAGAATTTCAAAATAAACTTCGTCACTTAATAGAGATCTTATTAATTAAACAAAAATATTTAATATTTTATTCAAAATTTGTTTTTAAATGTTACGACGGATCTCACATACCTAACATCACGTGATTAGCATCATGTGATATGAGGATCCCAGTAGGCTCAGCTGTCCCAGTACAACTGGGACAACTGGGAGCACTGGGACGCATGCCACGATGGTCTATATAATCAAGATGGATTCCCTTTGTATAGAGCTTCGTGCTCAAGATCAATCATTTAGTATACTCTACTATTAGTTACGAATTGCATTATTGTCATTACTTTAAGTCCCTGCTTGACGCCTAGTTATAAACCACCTCGAGAGCCTAGAGCACTTCCACGTGATCTAGACGGCAAACCTCGTAACAGCGATAAGGAAAGTCCAGAACTCTTACAATGATAGGTGACTCAGTCAAAATCTCACGTGTGAAACATTTATATAGATTGTTTGTTGTTACCAACCACAAGAAAGATTTATAGGGGTAGGAAAGTCTTCAATTTCACACCCCTTATTCTCTCAAAATGCGCATTTCCTCCTCATCACTTCTCATTAGCTTAGTTTTCGGGTACTTCTGTGTCGTATCTAACTTGCGCAGGGTACCCTATGTACATCTCTATATCTCTGGGAACCAATACCCTTTTAAGATTATAGATTTGCTTATGAGAATACTTTTACAAGACAGTCACATCAATACTATTAGATAATAGATAAAGTGAAAAGAGGTACATAGACACTATGATTATTTAATTTACACCAAAGTTCCTAAATATACATAGCCATGTCACTCCACGACCTTAGAGTTCACAGAGTCGTATATCATTGATTGTATTGTGACTTCAGTTAATTTCGTTCTGCCTTTACTTTTTTGTCCATGCACTTCCATCGCACCTTTTCAACAGTCCTTCCTTAATGGGCACCTTCAGCAATTTATCTGCCAGCAATCCCCCTTAAAGTATTCTTACTCAAGTAATAGTCTAGTAGTACCTCCATTAAAACAATTTTCTCCGTAACCTTTTGTCTTAGAAAGGTGGTTGAAAGCTTTGTAGGTATCTAATCCTCAAAATATTATGTTACATTGGAATCAACGTGAAAATATGAGGAACTGCGAAGAAGATATTAGAGTCGATCTTGCATCCGGAATATGAATCTAATCATATCATGCGGAACTAAATCGGAGTACATATGAGTTATGCGTAAACAAAAGAGACGGAAGTACCCTAGCCACACTGCCCTTGGAAATGCTGTTATTAGCGAAGTGCTGGATGCTGGTACTCACCCCAGCTAGGAAATAAATTAGTAATACTACGAGTCTCAATCATGAGCTGCGGTTTGGGGACCAAGTAGTCACTCTGAAAATTGAACAGCCATTGACCAACACCAGGGACCTTGATCCTTGGTCTACCTTCCTTTTCGGCTGCTATATCCTTAATCTTCTGGTTAGGATAAAGTTCGATAATCTCATTAAACCCCCTTCTAGCGGCTTTTTGGTCCAAATGCTTGTGCCCCCCCCTCCCCCCCCCCGTAAGAGCGGGAAACGAGATTGGAAAACCTCAACGGGTCCAAATGATAGTTCTACATCAGTGTTCAATCTTTTGATTGTGATGTAGTAGAAAGTTTCTTTGACATCTGCGCTCCATTTCTCCATACTATTCTCCTAAATCTGCCACGTGTTCAATTTGAACGTTGAGAACTCCGTGCTGTAGTCACTGATTGCAATCTTCGAAAGTTTAAGGATAACGAAGAAGAGTTTAAGACAGACTTCAAAATTTTGGGTGGTACAGTGCCCAACAGAGCAGAAACTGTCGATTGCCGATTAAACCAAAAATTGGGATGGATATATTGCACCATGAGCATGTTCAAATTTGAATTTGGTACAACAGCCCTATTCAAGTAGAAGCCTGAGATTCACGGTCAATGTTCATATCATGGAATCAACCTGGAGCGAAGTTAAAACCCCTATTAATAGCACCAAACTACAATATACGGTGTAGATCCTACGGAATGAGTGGCCGAGCGAGTTCATTAACTCCTTGCTTAGAGTCAAAATACCCAAATCTCATGGTCCTTTATCGTACGTGACATGCGAAATCATTCAAAAGCCTTGCTGATACTGCTTAGGATTATATAAAACATACGGTGTCCGAGTTAGAACATCTGATTTGATAGCACTATACCTTAGGGTAGGAAAGATGCTAAGCAAATGGCTGCGCAGGTTCATGAACCCCTCGCTTGGTTCAGAATAGTTAAAACTCACAATTAGCTGTTGTATATAATCAAAATAGCGACAAAAACTCATCAAATACGGCGTTTTTGCCCCTCTGGGGATTATGCAATACGTTCTCGATGAGTAAAGGTTTAAATAGATCTTAGAGTTACCTGTTGTCACCACCATCTTCTTTGGAAATCTTCTTCCTAAAACATACTTGGTACCCTGATAAACTATCCAGATTCCATTAGATAAACGAGACTCCTATTACTGTCGTCGGGGTCACAAAATTCCTCTAACAAGCGGCGTTGATCCTAATCATACTTTTGACCATCACTGCCTTTTCTCTCTTCCTAAAGCAACGAACAATAGAATAAAAATAAATTCCATCGAAACCCAAAGTGCAACCCAGGTTTCCCCTCCACTTTCACCCCCTCAGATGTATCATGGCCCTAATCCAACGACAATGCAAACCATACCACTAGAGTTGTTCGAGAAAATCTGGGAGACGGCAGACACCGGTGTACCTCGAAATGTACCTGTAAGCTGCAGGGTTGTCGGAAATACCTTCGAGATATACAGTGCACAAGCAAAGTCAAATATCACAGCATTGAGCGTTCATTGGAGATCAAGGGAATGGGAAAAATCAGAGAACAATTTAGCCAAGCTCTTGCGGCATAAGGGATGCAAGGGACCTTTCGATCAGATTCAGTCGCTTTACTTCAATCCGAGATGCGACCGAATCTGCCCAGTAAATGAGATGTTGTGGACACCTGAAGCTTTTGAGCTTTTCCGCTGTGTCATGAATGCTACTGGAGTAGAGCGAATCGCCGTCAGTGATTGTTCACACTCAACGGCCAATCTCAATAATCCCTGGGAATTGTTCTTCTGGTGGTCTAACACTGAGAAGTGGTGCTCAAGTTTCAGAGAAATATCGATGTACATAACGAAGTTTTAACATTGATGTGAATCAAAGGACAAAATTTGTTCGATGGACTGGGGTAAATCTCGAGCTCAACCTATACCAGAAGCAGCGTCGCAACCTTCAGATCTTAAAGTCTCTAATTGCCTCCAGGAAAATTCAAGATGCTAAGGAAAAACAAGCCTTGGAAGATGATATCGCGGAGAAAGAAGGAAAGACTAGAATAGAGTTGGATGAGGTGCCCACTTGGTTATACGAGAGTTTACATGAGACAGGCAATCTCAATATTCAGATGATGGTTGAGGTCGGCTCGCTTGATCCTCGGGCTCCAAACATCATAGATGATGCCAGTGATGACGATGATGACAATGAAGATGGAGATGAATATGGAGATGGAGATGGAGATGGAGATGGAGATGGAGATGATGAAGACGGTGAAGATGATGATAATGATGATAATGATGACGACGATGATGATGATAATGATGATAATGATGACGACGATGATGATGATAATGATGACGACGATGATGATAATGGCGATGATGGCGAAGAGGAGACAGACGTTGACGAGGAGCCAGAGGAGGATGAGGGAATAGAAGACGAGGATAGTGACGATTATGTTGAGGAGGAAGATTAAAGATGTTAACAGAGGTATGAGGGCAGGAATTGATCCGCAACACAAATGTATCACGAGCATAACGAGCATAACGAAAAATAGAGAAACTACCCCAATATAACTAAAGGATATTTTAAAATCATTAACTTCGACATCCATTGAAGGTTCCCAATCATGCGAGTCAGCGCCACATTTATGCTCTATGGCAGCAGTAGTGTCCGAAATGATCTGAATGGGACGATGCGCAAGAAATATTTTTAGGAACAGATAAAAAAAATCAAGTTGGAGATGAATCAAAGACATGTAAATATGCTGCCTATCGTGAAATGCTGGTGAGTCTGTGCCTTCCTCCATAAATTTCAAGCCACACAAGTGCCGAAAAACCAATGATTGATCAGCCACTGCCATATTGAGGCTAGAATCCCCATTCAGAGCATTTCTTCAAATTGTGTACATGAGACATCCTTACGACCCATATCCTCATCAAGGTATGACTATTGAAGGTAGTTGAGAGAGCTTTGGAGTCTTACTTAAGACAATAGCTAGCGGACTTCCGCAAGGGTTTCTTTCTTGAAGTTATATATATGTGTGTTTGAAGTTATACATATGTGTGTCTGGACTTCACATCAGCAAGCAGACTTGTGAAAATTTCCTTTTCTAAAGTTGTACTTGTTAGCTACGACTCCTGTTAGAAATTGTACGAGGTTCCTCTTTTCTTCGTCATTGATCCTAGATGACAAAGTAAGATGCAAATATGACATTTCAATTTGAGTAGAAAGTCTGCTACCGTGGATCATCGACTGTTGTGGTGTTCTTTAGTGGATCTTGCCTTGCGTATTTCCCTCGATCATACCGATGAATGCATGGGCACAAAATGATCACAACACGCAATTATCTTCCGGAAGAGAAAGCATTTCAGGACTGCTAAGCGGTCTGAAATTACGATGAGAAAGAAGGCATCGTTGTAAAATTGAGAAAGTAAATACCAAAGGACTACCAAAAAATTCATCCGTATTACTAAAACTGAGGTTAAGCCCTACCAACCGTCCTCGATAATTTCATCACGAACTTTCGCTTAATGCTACGATCTACCTAGCTCCAAACCACAAAACAGGAGATTGGTGTAATGGTCTACACCCATCAAACTTTTGATCAATAAAGGCCACTTATCGAGGAAACCTACCTGGAAATTTTCCAAATTCACTCCAAACATTTCCGAATTTATGTACAAAAACTTTCCATCTCAATTGCAACAGAAACGCGTCCTATTGCAATCTCATCTTTCTTCTAGCCATGCATGTTTAACGTGATTATATCTAGTTAGACCATGCAAAGACCAAGGCAACTTACCCCAAAATTTTCTTGTTCTACTTACTCGAAACACATTCATTATGTTTATTTCAAACCTTTTCTCACTTTCTAACCAAGATATTGTCGGACTCTGAGACCCGAAAGTCCTCAAGCTTTATATGAGGGCAATATCCATGCTCAGCACCAATGGTTATGGTAAACTTATTTGTAAATGTACAAGATAATGTAACATTCACCCAAGAAACCTTCAATTAGCAAAGTTCAAGCACGAGGCTTGCACTTGACATATACTTCAATGCTACACGTCTTTAGCAAGTATGTGCCATGATAGTCTTACATTCAACTGAGTTATCTTGTTTGCGTTTAAACTGCACCGAGAGCACAGTTCTTAAATACAATCCAGCTTCGAGCAGACCAAACCACTGAAAAAAGCCGGATTATCACGACAGTAGGTGAAGATATCACATACAGTACCATATCGCCCCATGTCTGCACTGATTCTAATTTCTTGAAACCTATCCGTGATGAATAAAGTATGTGCCATGATATTACTGTATTCCGTAGGAATACTCTTTTGGTTGGAATTGAAAGCGCAATCCTTAATCCTCTAGAGACTGTAGTATGTCTCTGTATTAGATGTACCCTGCAAGCCTCTATCTTCTTTGGGCGAAGTGTATACCGTGATATTGTTAAATTTGAGGATATGATGTTGTTTTGTTCGTGAAGCATAAATCCAACAACCAAAAACCAATTCCTTCAATCCGTTGTTGCATCTTTCAAGAGGCCTGCTGTGATGACGGCCGTATGTATGTGTATTATTGACGAACGATTTCCCGTCATCTGTTCACCCTAGTCTCTTTCAATACTCTGAAAATACATCGATCTTCAATTCTTTCGATTGATACAGCAAGTCGAACGGTATTGAGTTTAACATCCATTGCAGTGTGATAGCTACAACACCCGCATATCCATATGTCATTTGAAACAGTCAGTGGCCACCCCGCACTCATTGCCACAGCACATCCAATTCAATCGATCTTCGCATCTACACCACATCACAATTCGAAAGCTATATAATAGAATAATTTCTTATCATATCATTTTTCATCGATTTCAACATTCCCGTGATCACAACTCTACACAGTATTTTGACTAATACTAATCGCATCCACCCTCATTCCCGCTCGTTTTCATTAGCGATCCCGCGACGATTTCCCCAACCATTTCTTCATTTCTTCATCCCTTCATTCCCACCCTTTAAGAAGAAATCGCCCAAACACACTCTTCAAACGGCACACTCTCATTAATAATCGCCTCAAAAACACCCCTAGCGATCTCCTCCGGTAATCTCGGCACCGTCTGATTCGCCAACGCTACCGCTCCATCAATAACCTCCTGATTTCTACTCGGCACATTCACATCACCCAACGTTGCCTTGAATCTCGTCGCTTCTCGTACATATGCAGCTCTTTGAGCTAGGAGGTCAACGAGTTGGGCGTTGATGTCGTTAATTCCGGCGCGGACTTGATCAAGGGAATCACAGCATGTTGTTCCATTAGGAAGGGTGTAGGAGGGGGTACCCCATGGAATGGTGCGGTTCGTGTTGATTGGTGATGGAGTGGGGACTGGAGAGTTGTAGCATACAGACGCGGGGTCGGAGACTTGTGTAGGGGTTGTGGCGGAGATGGCGAGAGGAGAGAAAGCGAGGAGGAGAGTTTGGGAAATGGTGGTGAATTTCATGTTGGGTGATTGAAGTTGGTAGGTTTAAGTAGGTAAAGTTAATGATTGATTTAGTCGATGTTCGCTTTCTTTGTTGAACATTGAGGTTGGGAGCGTACTTATATGACAGCCACCAGAAAGGAGTGAGACAATGCGGCTTACAGGGTAAATCATGCTGTTCTCTCCCCTGTAAACTTTATGTATATGCTCGAAACAAGCCTAAACAGCCTATAATGGTTAGAATACATTAAATAGAGTTTGAGTTGTTCTCCGATTGGATATTCAGGCACTAGTCTACAGGCCTTTATCTGCATTTGTTCGATCGAAACTCAATTATAGTGGATTACAGCATCCATACCCCTAGATTACTCGATTTTTCAACAACTGACGATGATAGCATTAAGAATACCGATAAAAGCAACAGAACCTTATCACGAACTTGCAATGTGGATTACGATATGATTTGTATAGTTAAGAAGACCGAAAACTTTGATCTGGCATAATATACGGTGAGATGTCTCAGCATAATCCTTGGCAAGTACAAAGTAGGTTATAGAAATTCTTGCAGTAAAAAAATATAACCATAAGAAAGCGGGGTTCATTTCTTATTTATTATACCGATCTTCATATGTTCAATATGGATAGTTGAACTCTAAAAATCTCACCAAAGTTACTTGAAAAAATAATATCGTGGTTATTCTTAATTCTAAAATTTCAGAAAGGAAAATAATGATTCTATTAGGATCCTCCTTGCACAAAATAAACTCCATGAATCACTGGAGCCCAACGAATCGTTGAGGCTTCTCTTACCAATAGGGGTTGGAAGCGGATCTTTTTTCGCTCATTTGTTCATAGCTTTCGGGGTTGGTACACTCTGCACTCAAAGCTTGAGAAATAGTTCCATATATCTGATCCTCTTTCCAAAGATTTGTTTGCGCGATAACCTTAAAAGATGAAGAAGGTTCAACCGTTTTAATATTCATTTTACAGTATTTAAACATTGTATTTATCCAGCATCTTTTTTTTTCCCCTAAAAGCATAATCATGGTGGAATAGAAGAAGAGTAAGTTTTTCATACATAGCTAAACAGGCTTCTAAATAATATCAATCGTTTATCATAAGAGTCAAAAATCACCAAATCATCACTCATGCATAGATGAATTTTTCTTGCTATATGCCAAGATAGGCCAAAAGGTATATTTGATCTATCTAACATGCGGTGAACGGACAACAGTGGCCCTGTATTTCCGTTACCGTACTTGAACCTCTGATTTGTAGTAACATCAGGCTTAAATAAATTCGAACCTGAAATCAACTCCGAGGTGCTTAAGGTGGTGGTGCGGTTCCATTACCCGGGCCACTTCCATTACCACCCCCATGACCTCCACCACCAAAGAAACCGCTACCAGTAGAACTCTGGTGTCCACCATCAGCTTGGAGAGTTGCAGCAACACTGTAGTAAGAATTATTAGACCAATCCGCCGTTGTATTAATACCAATTTGAATCCATGCCAATAATCCATCCGTGACATCATCACTCAAATACATGAATTCGGGAAACGGATCGAAATCATTCTCGGCTTGGATAACGGACCATCTGTCATCGGCGTTGCTGGTGACTTGTTGAGTATTAGTGTTGTACGGATATGTAGCCTCGACTGCGGTACGGAGAACTTCGTTATAGAAAAGTTGTCCAATGTGTGTTACGGCTCCTCCTTGAATAGTGTTGTTGGGGAAAACAGTAACGTTGGTGTGGGCGAGCAAATGAGTGTGGGTTGCGCGTCCTCGATAATGGCCTGGGAAAATGGTATCGAAAGTTGCGACTCCATCGGAATCAGTGGCTTGGATTCCTCTCAGGAAAGTAGAATTCCAACCTCCGTCGGCTACATTTCCTGTAACGTTGATACCGCCGTACACACCGGTGGCATTCGCATTCCAAATGTCGATGTAGATGTTTGGGACGGGCTCACAGGTTGTTATGTCTATGTATTGCACTTCGAGGTGGAGGGGGACACCGGGTTGTCCGTCGGTCACGTTTTGACGGATACTTTCGCCGAGAACATAGTAAGGACCATCCGTGTTGGCAGGAGTTAGAATGCACGAGGTGTTAGCCGCAAAGATGGTGGATTCGGGTGTGTCAAAGTTGTAATCGAGCACACCAGTTTCATTGTGGTTGATAGCTTCGTAAACCTCAAGTGTGGCGAGATCACGACGGAACTTCTTGGGCACTATTGCCTCAGATTAGTATTGATCGTCGGTAGAATTTAATAGATGTAGCTTTCAAGTGGAACTGTTGCAAATGTGTTTACTCACAAGTCTTGATGTCTCGCTTAGCTCGAAGAGAACGAGCAGCCTCTGCACGACGAGCAACGGATCGTGCCGCAAGTTGACGATGCTTCAAAGATCCAGAGCAAGAGTCGAGCGACCTTTTGGCAGCAGAAGCCATTATATCACGGGCGAAGATTTCTCGCTCGATAGCATGGTCATCATGGTGTTCGCCTGGATGAGCAATGACAGATGTAATGCAAGCTGCTGAAAGAGCAAGAGCAATTTTGGAAATTTGAACCATATTGATGATCGATGTGAATCGAAAATCAGAGAGAATGCTTCTATTCAAGTTTGAAGTGTGAAGTGGAAGTGAAAATGAAGAGGATGATGATGGCAATAAAGAGAGATCTCAAGGTCTTATTTATGTTCTCGAAATACTGAGTCTTTCTTCTGAAATCATACGATAACTATGAATACACCATTTACCATCATCACCATCAGTTTGACCCCTCGTCACCATGAATGTCACTGATACCCACCATCACCAGCATAGTCAGTAGTCCATACAGTCTTGGCAATGTAAAGCCCTGCGGTCTTCGCAATGAACTTCGTAAGCACAGTTCATCCCAGTCGAGCAGTTTCGAAATATCTCATTCATGGTTGGTTCAAAGACACTCAAATATATGGTTGCCGTCCACCATAACCCCTTCTTCTTCCGGGGCCTCGATGATGAAGAATTCCCCATGGGACATATTACGTCGCTTAAAAATGCACATGCACTATGATGGGGATAACCTCATCAAGAACCAGTAAAAATAGCTGTAAAACCAATATAATTCTTGGTACAGGGCCTGTCAAAAGGTCAGGACGCGCAAGTATTATCCGTGAGGGGGGAAGTTAACTGAGCTTGTACAATACTACTGTAATTTACCGACCTATGTACCCCAGTGAGGCCAGTGCCGGAGGTCAAACAATAAGTCGAGACTTTCAGCAGATGTAATATCTAAACTCCAATCTAAATCACACCTGGCTTCCTCAAAATGCATAGAGGAGTAAAAGCCAACATTACTTTGCAACAAAAGCACTAAGATAAGCCTTGCCGAACAACATCCTAATCCATGTGGTATAAAATCTAGATTTACCAAGCAAAACACCATTCTAGGGAATCTATCGAATATCCCAAGAAAAACCAATTCTAGGCCGATTCTAGCCACAACTACCCCATATCCACCCTAGGAAGCCCATCCATCCAACGCAAACCAATCCTCTCCAAAGCGTCGTACGCAATCCCCAAAACCACCAACCCAAACTTCTGTACGCATACCCAACAACTAAAAACCCCACGAATATACAAAGAAGGAGAATAAAAATCACAAAGTTTCATTGGATGAAAGCGGGGTTGTCGTCGCATGTCTCTAAATGCCAAGCGATTGAACTCGTCATCTCGCGAACTACCGGTCTCCACTTTTGTACTCCACTAATTGTTACGAGGTTTGCCGTCTAGATCACGTGGAAGTGCTCTAGGCTCTCGAAGTAGGTTTATAACTAGGCGTCAAGCAGGGACTTGAAGTAATGACAATAATGATATGCAATTCGTAACTAATAGTAGAGTATACTAAATGATTGATCTTGAGCACGAAGCTCTATACAAAAGAAATCCATCTTGATTATATAGTCCTTCGTGCCTATGGTTAACTAGGAATCGTCGTTCCTGGGAACGAGCGTTCCTGGTTGTTCCTAGAAACGTTCGTTCCTCACCGTTCCATCACATGTTTTATGGTCATGTGACATACTAATCGTTTTGGACGTAACACTAATGAGGCTGGTTTCTGGTACTTTGTGCACATGAAGATTCTTGATGAGTTCTGGAATCAATTTATTTACCGCATACTATTGGAATTCGTGATAGAATTGCTGTAAAAATTTATGTTTGTTCTTTTTAATATGAGTCATTAATTGTAGTTTTCGACACTCCTGCTTTCAGATCACTTTTATGTATTAAAAACCTTAATCATCGTCTATTAATAAACTTATAATAAGTTGATTAAATAAATATAAACTTGAACTATTAAATAATTATATAAAATAAATTTTTTTTTTGAAAATATAAATATTATAAATAAAATCTTATTTATATCTTTTAAATAATATATAAATTAAAAATATATATTAATAAAAGAGTGTTTTTAATTTAGATTTTTAATACTTGTATTAAAAAAAATTAAAATATTAATAAATTTTTATATAAATATAAATCAAAAGTTTCGAAATCCATTTTTATAAATCTGAACAAAAATAATTACAGAATATTTGAAAATTGTTCAAACTGAGTTGTTTGGAAGTAGTAGTATTATTAGATGTAGGTTAAACTAAGGATCTAAGTTACAGTAATGGTAGAATTGAAGATATTCCCAATTATGGTCCGTGCACCATAATGGTCATATGACCTCAATTCTAGGCCCATAATGACCTTAATTTCAACAAAAATAGTAATTTTTTTAGAGATTTAAAGATTTTAATCATCAAATTCATTCGTTATAAAAAATTAATAAATAATTATTAGTTTTTGATATAAATAGATGTCCCAAAATAAAAAGTGGCCAGAGAGTAAAGTATGAGACTTGCTGTTGGGTGTATAGACTGAATATCTTAGTATTTACTTTTTATTTGTCTATATAATATATTATAACTAGAAGTGACATAGTACCTAGAAGAAGAAGACATGTGTCAAAAAGGAGAGGAAATATTGATTCAAATACCAAGTTGGCGAGATTTTTCAAAACAACCGACTAGAAGCAAACTACTCGATACAAAAACCTTGTAAATTTCTCCCCCCAAGTAAGTATATCTAGTAGTCGAGATATATCTACAAAAATTCAATTCATACTCCACACCTTCTTCCCCAAAATCCAAGTCTCCCTCAACTCTCCCATTTCATTCATAACCACAAAATCACCCCTCCTACCAACTTCCAGCTTCCCTCTAGACGACAAATCCATTGCATCGGCCACATTTTCCGTAACAGTCATTACGGCCTTCTGAATAGGTATTTGTGCCCATTCTGTAAGATTCCTCGCACATTCATCTAGCGAGATACAAGTGCCTACTAGGGTTTCCGTTCCGGCAATGGTAACTTTATTTCCGGTTTTGAGTTGGGGTTTTGGGATTTGGGGATGCCCTGGGTAGGTACCGTCGGGGAGTCCGGAGAGCTCGATGGAATCGGTTATTAGGATGGCTTTGTTGGGACGGGCGTGGTAGGCGAGGGAGATGATTGATGGGTGGAGACTTTTGGTTGTTAGTTGGAAATGGGGTGATAGAAGAAAAGTAAGAAATAATTGTAATAATAAAGAAAGGGAAACAAGAATGGAAGATGTGTAAAGGCCTAGGAGTGGAAAGTCTAGCTTTACATCTTGTAATTATTACCACGAGATGGGAATGGGAATTTAACACAATTGAGTCGTTTGGAAAGAGACAGATCTTAATATGGAAGTTATCACATATGTGAAGCACACTTTTACATCCATCAGAGTCAAATATTGTACCTACTGAATAGCATCGGCGATCAATGAGAAATATACAGTCCCACTTGATATAATACCTATGAATGTTTAGTGGTCAATTTCCACACATACAATTATGCCAACTTACCAGCCAAGCCAGGTTCTCTATGATGCAAAGGATTCATAGCATTAAATGTATGCGTCAAAAGCTTTGCACCAGCCCTTATACCCGCGAGTCCCTCATCGTAACTAGCTGCACTGTGTCCCATACTCACCTTGATACCATAGAGATGTGTCAATAACGAGATAAATTTCGATGCGCCAGGTAGTTCTGGGGCCATAGTCACAAGCTTAATGGCAGTGTTGAGATTGTGTTCACCATAGACACTTTCAAGCGATGATGACTCGGGAATATGTAAATTCTTCGCGTTATGAGCACCTTTCTTACTGGGAGCCAGGAACGGTCCTTCGACATGCGCACCTAAAACACTCGCACCATTGGCTGAATCAAACGGTCTTAAAAACGGTAGGACATTGTGGAAGACGTCAGGTTCAACGGTAGGTACTGTGGGGTAAAAAGCAGTTACTCCTGTGCTTGGAAGATAATGCGACAATTTCCGTACACCGTCTTGGTAATGGATAGGACTGACATATTCTGTGAAATGAAAGCCCAAGGCACCGTTTATTTGTAAGTCGATGAAACCAGGAGCGATGATATGGTTCTCGAGATCTGTCACTTGGGCATTGGGACTACACTCCTCGTTGGGGATTATCATGCCATTGTCGTCGATGGTGAGGGGAGAGTTGAGTAGGTCACCGTGGATACATTTTCGACAGTTGATGAATTGAGTGTGTCCCATAATTCGACTAATGTTGGGTTTAAATGGATTTAGCGATCAGTAAAGAATGAAGGATGAAGACGGAATTTCTTGTTTTCTTGTTTTACTGTCTTTTCGTCTGTTCTTGATGTAGGAGAACATACATAACAGCGGGGTCAATTGGACATGGTGTTTGAATGTCTACCATCTCCATATTTATATCAGATCTGATTGGTCAAAAATTCATTTGAATTATGGAGACCAATGAATGATCAGAAATATTAGAGGTTTGAAGTTATCCCATCTATTCCACCAGTTCCCTTGGTACTACGTAAGGCTTTAATCCCGACCCGTCAAAAACCTGCACAGACCACCCATCTGAAAGGGGTAAAAAGCTACAGTGGAGAATATTAGATCGGAGACCTCTCCCCGATGAAAGAATTTTGAGCTCATCGTCGCATTGATGAGCCTCCATACTAACCATCAGATATCATCCAATAAGATGTTGATTATTTCTTGTGGAATCGTTCTAGATCAAGATAAATCAAGAATTCATCTTCACATGCCCTTTTACCTTTTATCTTTTTCCCATTCATCAAGCCACTCCCGCTTTGTGATTGCGTGGCTGATGCTTGGCAAATGTCTCCAGTAAAGCCACACGATATGACATCACCATTTTTCCTTGTTATCCTCGTAGGACTTATAATTTCAAATACCAGCAATTATTTCATGATAGCTAGCTAGCTAGGTAAATGTAAAATACCTTCAATGTTTTCTTTATTTCCTTCTTCATGTTTATGATACCCAGTCAATTTTCTTTTAAAAATTCAACATCACCAAAATACTTTCAACACTGTATGTGACCTATCTTGAGAATAGGTCGATACCTTCAATTCTATTTCATATCAAAACTATACTTTACTTTGATTTGTTTGCTGTTTTGCTTGACCAAGAATCCGCCCGCATCTACCTTCCTCTTCCCACCCCGCCACCTTTCCATTCGACTTCAAATCAAATACTTCTTCACCTCTAAAGATGTCGAGCGAATCAAAGAAAGTCCCTGGAGGTCATTACTCCGGGGCCAATCCAATTCCAAATATTCAACGATTTGTGGAAAGTCTAGATTCCGAGAAGAGAGATAGGGATGCAAAGATTAATGCCCAACTGGAATCACGCACGCAAGCTCAACCGAAAGATCAAAACCAAGGACAACCAAGTGGCATTGACGGAACAAGGAAAGTCGTGACGGATCCAACAACTGGAAAGGATGTGGAAATTGAGGATGTCAATGCAGATTTCATGAAGGCGGTGGATGACCCACAGGTATATTAGTTCTGCGAGTGCTTCCTCATCTCTACAGTTTCGCTGACATTTATGAAAACAGCTTTCCGTGCCAAATGCGAATCTCAATAAGCCGACAACGAGAAAGACAGAAGCAACTCAATCTGGGGAGGGATACAGAGAAAATCAAGATACTACCGCACCACCTGAACCAGTCGAACCTGGAAGTACCTCCGATGTACCAATTCATGGAGAAAAGACAAACATTTTATTTCATCCTACACCCTCGGTCAGTTATGAACCCAATGTACAAATCTCTCGAGAATCGAACAACGGCACTTGTTGCGGGAATATTCTTGGCTATCGTGGTCTTGGGGAGATTTTTTGGTGGTGCTCTATATGGCCTCATTCCGCTGGGCGCATGTGTTGCATCAGGCGTATTTCTTTGGATGAAGGAGTTGATCAAATCTGGTAGAGCTAATGAGTGGGAGAGTGAAAGGCAAAGAGGCCAAATGGTTAGCAAATTCTAATTTACGATTTAAACCCAGAGCTAACATTTTTAGGCAACTGCAAATCTAATTCCTGAATCCGTCGAATGGATAAATAGCCTTATGGGGGTCATGTGGGGACTTATTGATCCCGATTTATTTATCTCTGTTGCAGATACTCTTGAGGATGTTATGCAAGCTTCAGTACCTAGTGTTATCGAGAATGTTCGAGTGGCGGAAATTAATCAAGGAACAAATCCTTTTCGGATCTTAAGTTTACGTGCCCTCCCGGACGGTCATGTTCAGGAAATAAAGGATGATATTCATCGACAGAATGAGAAGAATAAAGATCCTCAAAAACTGGCTGCAGATGAGGAGGGTGGAGATTATTACAATTTGGAATGCTCATTTGCCTATCATGCTCAACCTTCAGGGGCTGGAGCTTCTGAAAAGTCAAAGAACATGCATATGCATTTGGTATTTTATCTTGGTATGAAAGGACTTTTCGGGATGTAAGTTATTTCCATCTATCTTGTGGTAGCGCTAATTCATATAGCCCTCTCCCGATCTTTGTTGAACTTCAAGGCCTCGTCGGCACTGTTCGATTACGCCTACAACTTTCTCCCGAACCTCCATTCTTGAAAGCTCTAACGTTCACATTTATGGGACTCCCAAAAATTCAAGCTGGATGTACACCAATGCTTGAAACTGGTATCAATATCCTGAACCTTCCTCTCATCTCCAATTTCGTCAATTACGCTATTGGTGCCGCCGCAAACGAATACGTCGCTCCAAAATCTATGACTTTAGATATGTCTAAATTGTTAAAGGGTGATGATATTCAAAAGGATGTTGAAGCACTCGGTATTCTGTGGATCCGTATACATAGAGCTTCTGGCCTAAGCAAACAAGACCGTCGTGGAAGTGATGGTGGTGGGAGTGATCCTTATATCACTGTCAGCTTCTCTAAGTACGGCAAACCAATGTATTGCACCCGAGTTATCCAGGATGATCTCAATCCGGTCTGGGAAGAAACTTGTGCTTTGCTTGTCACTCCTGATCTCATAAAAGCAGATGAACAGCTTTCGATGGAACTTTGGGACTCCGACCGATCAACTTCGGATGATGTTGTTGGTAAGGTTGAACTTTCAATGCAAAAAATGATTCAACATCCAGGAAAAATGTATCCACAAGTTTCTAAACTTCGCGGCATGGACTCCGATAGTTCTATGCCTGGTGAACTTCATTGGGAAGTTGGATACTTTGGTAAACCTCAATTCAGACCGGCAATGAGAAGTCACGGAAAGGATATTAATCTACCCAAGGAATTACAAGACAAAGAAGAATTACAAGACGCTAAAGGAAGTCTTGATACCCCTGAAGAAGTTGCTGTGGTTCATACTCCTCCCGATCCATTGTGGCCAAGTGGCATTTGCAGTGTTATAGTTCACCAAATTGTTAATCTTGAATTACAAAATATCAAAGGTAGTGATGGTAAACGAAAGGGTAGAGAATATGAACCAGCAGTGGAATATGGGGAGAACAAGGAAGAGGAACATAAAAAATTACCAAGTAGTTATTGTACTATCTTGTACAACGATGAATTGGTATGCATCATTTTACCATACATATTTGTCTATACTAACTCCATTTCAGGTATATAGGACACGATCGAAGGTTGTCAGTTCAAAGCCTATTTTCAATGCAGGCACTGAACGCTTCATCCGTGATTGGAGATCAGCGATCATTACCGTTACAGTTAGAGATCAACGTATGAGACAACATGATCCAATCCTTGGAGTTGTTCCTTTGAAATTATCAGATCTCCTACAAACAAGTTCTCAAGTTACAAGATGGTATCCTCTTGATGGTGGAATTGGTTTTGGCCGAATCAGAATCTCTGTTCTCTTCCGAAGTGTCGAAACAAGGTTACCACCACAACAACTCGGTTGGGATGTAGGAACTTTTGAATTCACATCGGATAAAATCATCGCTACTGGTTATACTGAAAACTCAAAATTGAAGCTTCGAACCGGTGGAAGTGTTGGGAAAATCAATCGTACCCAATGCCGAAAGTTGGAAGAAGGCGACGGTATATTTTGGGATCTTGCCAAGAAAGAGGGGAAAAATAGGGTTCGTCTTCCTGTCAAGTATCGTTACCGTTCACCAATCGTTTTCGAATTGCACGTCACGGGCAAACGTGGAGCAGATGCTTATGCAGTAATTTGGCTTCACAAATTAGAAGATAATAAAGAGGAAGAGATCAGTATCCCTATCTGGAGAACTAATAACGGTATGAGACTTACCGAAAACTACATCACCGAAGAGAATTTCCGCGATATTCCAGATATTAATATTGAAGAAGTTGGACGACTTAAGTTTTCAGGAAGATTCAAAGCTGGTATGGATGAAGATCACGAAAAGTTTGTAACTGACAACGATTCTCGAGAAACCCAAGAAACATGGGAAGCATGTCATTCGGAAGGTGTGCGTGATAGAATTGTGAAGAAAGAAATTCCACCAGCTGTTCAACAACTTCATGATCAGTCTTTAACGCAAGGAAGAGATGTTCTCAGTCAAGCTAATGAAGAGGAAAAGAAAAAATGGTTGGATCAAGATGGTAACGACTGGAGTGGAGCTTTTGGTCAGGATCCTGCGCAGTACGTAGATAAGAGTGGTTACGGACAAAAGTATCAGGATGCTGATTATGAGGCTAGTATGGTACGTAAACCACGAGGACCCAGTGGATGTGTTGAAGCAAATCTCAATGAAGATATGAGCGAGAAAACCAGTACTGCATCTTCAGACTCTGAAGATTCAGATGCAGAATCCGATCTTGGTTTGAATGATGCGACGACTGCATCCACAAACCAAACTGCAGAGCAGGATGGAAATAATGGATCAAATCATTCGAATAATCCGGTAAAACAATATCAGAACTATAAGGAGAGTTCAAAGGGTCTGCATAGGAAACAAAGGGGTTTGATGCAATGGAAGCCGATGAGAAATTTGGCCTTTGCAAAGGATGAGGTGAAATTCGCGGCGAGAAAAATTAAGAATAAGACGAGTTTGAGTGGTAGGCAACCGGATGTTGAAACGGAGACTGGATAGGAGGTTTTAAGGATTTTCTTTTTTTTTCTTCGCGAGAGTTATGGATGGATGGTGTGTATGGAAAATGGGTTGGCAAAAAAAAAACAATTGGGTTTTATTTTGGGTGGTTGATGTGCTTCTTGATGGCAAGTAGGGGTGTTTTTAGTAATATCTTGAATGAATGGGAATGAGAATGATTTGAAAATGCGATATCGTATGTATTGTATCATAGGATTATGAAAAAGAAAATCGTGGTTATTTGATTGTTTTAATAAGTAGTAATGAAAAATTTAAATCATTTGATTTGTTTTATATTTTGTCGTGTTATACAGTCCGTGCCAACTCCTATCAGCCATTTTCAAAATTCATAATCAAAATAAACAATTTATTATGTTTATAAAAATCAAAATTAATATTTTAAAATAAATACATTCAATTAAAAATCTATATTTATATTTGTGACGCCTCACACCTCCGGGTCACGTGGCATGCCCCGTTTGTATTTAATCACAGGAAAACTCGCTACTCTTGTTGGGATGCGAAGACTCAACACCTGTACGCGGTGCATCCTACGAACCTCCAGCTCTCTTATGAGAGTCTGCAGAGCTAAGTTTGAGTTATTTGATGGAGTCGTGGTAATTGGAAGAGGAAGAGGCGCCCGATCACGACGTTTTTACCCGTTTGCGGTTTTTTGACAGTTGCATTATCGAAATGCGCTCTCTACAACACTACCTTTATTACGAAACAGAGGACAACACCATCATCTACGACAATACGCCACGAAATCATCTCACTTCTTAAAAGTGAGACTCCTCTGGAACATATAGTACAACTCGACATCTTTGACACGTATATGTTATATACTGTATACCTCCCATGATCGACACGACTGAAACGACAACAATTTATATACCTTCCATACGGGAACACCGGAGGAGTACTGTTGAAGGACCTGAGCTGATGACGAAACTTACTCTGCTCTCATTCAGCGGAGGTATGCTACTTACGGAATCGGGACACCCGTACAAGCCACTACCTGTGCATGCTATAGTTACGCTATATGAGGATTGGTGCTCCTTCATAAGCTTTCTATTGGCAGGATGATCAGAATGAGGACGAGGCAATCCTGACGGTGGGCGATTACAGTACGTTCTGGTATATAAGGAGTAATTGGATTGATGGTATCGGGAAGGGGATCAGGGATGAAGGGTTTTCGAGTACAATGTTTTAATAGTATGAGGGGAAGGGAGAGAGATCAAGAGCCAGTGATCTAGTGGACGAGGATGACCACAATTACAACCCCAAAAGGCCTACCGGCTCAAACCCCCCCTGCGAAGGCAATCATGTAAACCCTGCCCTAGCCCCCTTTAAATTGTATATAAATACTCCCCCTAGCTAGCTAGTAAACCACTCAGAGGCTTCTCCTCTGAGCGTCATTTGTCCAAAACTGGAATAGATGGCTAAGGTTATCACGCGCCAAGGCGCGTGGGCCTACGGCCTATGACGATAAACACAATCAATCAATCAATCAATCGCTACTCTTGTTGCCTATATAGGCGTTGCAAAGAGATCTACAAAAAGCCTCCTTCAACAACCCTGGTGGAACGAGGACTGTACGAAAGCCGCTCACGATCACAGGACCACCAAGACTCCTATATCCAAATGCTCTCTCCGAAAGACAGTCCGGAAAGCAAAACACATCTTCTATATTATGAAAGTAGATAAAGTAAAGGATATAAACGATATATATCGAATAATTAAATAGCATCAATCTATAGGCATATATCGAACCCTACCTCTAACAGATCCATCAAAACAAATCATTGCAAACACTATCGAAGAGAAAAGGAAAACCTTCGCCAACTACCTACTGACAAACCTAGCTGAGATTGATGACATCCCGTTCGATACCCCTACAGCCTCAAGCAGATCTATCACCTTCCCTGATATAGCTATACAAGATATAGAGCTAACTATTTTAAAATCAGGGAACACAGCACCTGACACAAACGAAATCCCAACAAAAATCCTACAAATCGTATAATCACAAATAAAAGAAGTAACCCTATCCTTTTTCAAAGGCTGTCTACACTTGGGACACCACTCAAAATGCTTCCGATTAGCTACCATCGTAATCATCCTTAAACCCAACAAGCCAGATTATACTAACCCAAGATCATATCGATCAATTGCCTTGCTCTCGATCCTAGACAAAGGCCTCGAAAGATTCATTGCGAAGAAGGTATTATAGCTTGCTTTAAACTACCAAGTTCTAGCGAACCAACAGTTCGGAGCTCTACCCTTGCGATCCTCAGTAGACCTCACCACTTGTGTTATATATAACATTGAGGCATCCCTAAAATAAGGGTTAAAGATTATTCTGTTTATAATGAATGTAAAAGGTGCTTTTGATACAGTATTACCAGGAAGATTAATGAATCACCTTCGGGAACAAGGATGGCCAAACAACTTGGTTAGATAGGTTCAGTCCTTCGCTACTAATCGATCCATCAAGATCCGACTAGACAACAAGATTGGCCCGGAAACAAAGCTAGAATGCAGTTTTCCTCAAGATTCACTGATCTCCCCAATTCTGTTTATGCTCTATATTATGCCTTTCTTTTGAATAAGCAAACCATAGAGCAGATTCGGATATACAAACGATATTGCGATACTAGCGACATCAGATTCATTACAGACAAACTGCGATTCTCTAAAAATGGATATACAAGAAACTCTCGAATAAGGAAAAACCGAAGGTATCACTTTTGACCCCAAGAAATCTGAGTTTATATACTTCTATAAAGGACATCGAACATTAATAGATATCTTTGCAATATATATTGGATCTATGAATATAAAGGTCAAACCTAGCCCACTCAGATGGCTCGGAGTCTACTTCGATAGGAAACTATGCTTCAAATTACATGTCCAGATCCTCGTAGTCAAAGCTCTTAAGGGAGCTAATGCATTGAGATCCCTCAATAATACACATCGAGGGATACCCCCATATCTCACCAGAAAAGTGGCTAAAGCCTGCATACTCAAACAATGCTATTTCGCCTCGGAAACATAGTGGCCAAGCCGAACCAAAACAAAGAAGAATGCCCTAAACAACCCGATCTCGATCTCAAATGTAGTGAATAGTCATCTAAGCTTACTCAACAAAGCAACAATCACTTATACAAGGGTAATCCTCCCAATATACAAAACTACAAATACAGCAGTACTCTACGAGGAAGCCAAACTCAGACCATCCGAGATCGAGCTAAACCTGATTTCACAATTATACACGGCACGAACCACCAGACTAAACCCCTACCATCCTCTCAGAATCAGAGCAGAGAACATAATCAAAGCCAAAGAACAGAATCGCATCCCAGACACAAGATTCACAAGGCTCATCACAGCATTACCGGAGACTGAACACATAAACCCCTTGGCCTTCCCACCCTGGGAAATCAGAGAGTCGAGGGTAGAGGTCGAGGCCTGTATCAATGGTCCGATGGGCAGAACGAAGGCACAAGCAGCCGAAGACTTCAAAGTCTTCCATGCCAAGATCCCAAGAAGCGATATACAAATCTTCTCGGATGGCTCAAAAAGTGAAAGCAAGGATGACGCAATTGGAGGCGGATTTGTAATCTCACAATTCGATATTTAGATAATATACCATTTTTTCTCATTAGATATAAATATAGAAGTGTTCGATACAGAAATTATAATTGTAGTAGCAGGGGCAGCAAAAGCCCTCACATTAGTATCAACCAAACTGGCTATAGATCTCTGGATCTTCTTAGATAATTACAAGGTTGCTCTCCGATTAGGATCCCACTTCAATGGTTCCTTACAGAGAGTCTTTGAAGACTTTCTGAAGCTTATATAAGTTTAGGTTGTTAGACCAAGGCTCCCACACATCTCCCTCGGGAAAATCCGCATCCGATGGGTCCCAGGGCACCTGGATATCCCTGGTAACAAAATAGCTGACAAAGCCGTTAAGGAAGAAACAAAACTCCTCTTTCCCTCCAATCCGATCTATACACTAGCATCCCTAAAAAGAATAATCAGAACAAAAACCAACAAAGCAAACAAACAATTATAGAATACAATCAGGTTATAATACTACAAAGATCTCCAACTCAATTACACTTCTAATATAGACACCCTTTCTCTAAAGAGAACTATATTCCATCATATTCTCGCTATCAGATCACAATATAGCAACTTCGCAATATATCATAAACACTTCAATCACATTATAATCTATATCTATTATTTATACAATAAAAAGAAAACTTTATTACACTTTTTCTTTTGCAAAAAAGGAAAAGCCTTCAAAGCGCTTACAAAGAGCCCCCCCTCCGAAGCTATCCCCTGGCTTTTAAGCAATCCCACCAGTATAGCCAAATTAGCCGAATGGCTAGAATACACCAAATTCTACACAAAAATCTGCCCGTGGCATACAGGTGCAATATAAAAAAAATATAAAAAAAAAATAATAAACTTTCCTTCATTAGATTCAAACGGAGTTAACAGGTCTCTAAGGGTGCTTTTCCTTCCTCTTTTTTTCCTCTCTTTCATCTTTCCCTCTTCTTTCATTTTTTTAAAAAAAAAAGTATGCATACGAACAACCAAAACAAGTACAAGGAGACAGGGAGAGAGATCAAGAGGTAGTGATCTAGTGCACGAGGATGACCACAATTACAACACCAAAAGGCCTACCGGCCCAAACCCCCCCTGCGAAGGCAATCATGTAAACCCTGCCCTAGCCCCTTTAAATTTTATATAAATACTCTCCCTAGCTAGCTAGTAAACTACTCAGAGGCTTCTCCTCTGAGCGTCATTTGTCCAAAACTGGAATAGATGGCTAAGGTTGTCACGTGCCAAGGCACGCGCGGCCTACGGCCTATGACGATAAACACAATCAATCAATCAATCAATCAATCGCTACTCTTGTTTTCCTTCTTCTTTTCTCCTTAGCTTAGTATTTTCTAATACAAGATACTTTACCCAGTATTTGTTACGCCCAAAACGATTAGTATGTCACATGACCATAAAACATGTGATGGAACGGTGAGGAACGAACGTTCCTAGGAACAACCAGGAACGATGATTCCTAGTTAACCATAGGCACGAAGGACTATATAATCAAGATGGATTTCTTTTGTATAGAGCTTCGTGCTCAAGATCAATCATTTAGTATGCTCTACTATTAGTTACGAATTGCATATTATTATTGTCATTACTTTAAGTCCCTGCTTGACGCCTAGTTATAAACCATCTCGAGAGCCTAGAGCACTTCCACGTGATCTAGACGGCTACCCTCGTAACATATAATTATCTAAACAAGCTAGTCATCTACATCCAAAGAAAGAAAGATCTCCAAAAAAAATGAAATCATATACCAAACTATCAAGGCTTATGGTTAAAAAATCGACTTCTCGAGGGTTCTGCAAGAGAATAAATGATGAATGAAAGATTGCCATCTGATAAAGCCAACCTCTCGGTTTCTTAGACTATGTTTGGACTCTGGAGCTGAAGAGTAATAATTGGAGTATCCCGACTCGAAAGATCATCGATCATCGACTGTCGAATCTAAAGTCGAGTAAAAGTATAGAAATAGATGCACCTAGATACACACCCAATACTACCCAATCCATAATCCATCCACCTTTCCATCCCATCCCATCCCATCCCATCCCATCCCATACAGCATGAATCTCAACGATCCATAAACACAAAACTCCACTCCACAATCCCGTAACCTACACAAATACACAAGCCAGGCAATTAATTAATTACTCCAATAATAAAAGTCAGAAGGATAGATCACCACATAAATACAGAAACAACGAACGAATCATCGCCGTCAAAAAACGCCTAAAATGAGGGGTAATATAATCCGCAATCAATTGAACCCTCATCTCTACCCAATCTTTCAAAGTCGCCATGTCGATTTCAGATTTATACACCATAGTAGCGAATATGAGCTTTTCCCGTCCAAAACCCCTATTGATACTGTTCGCTTCCCTATTGACCGCCTGACCTGGACTCATCTTCGTAAATAATAGAGATGTTCGAAGAACTTTGAGAGTATGTAAGTGATGGCGTATTGCTGGTAGCGATTGATTTGGTCCCGATCAGGAATGGAGGGGTATCTTTAATCGAGTTTCTAGGTGTAGGATTATGTCTAATGTGAGGATTTGGAATAAAATAGAGACAGATGGATTGGATGGAATTAGAAACGTCTGTGGTTCCTTCGACTCATAAGTACAGCCCTAAGGATGCTCGCCAAGAGGGTCTAAGCATATCACACCTGTGATTCATCTAGTGCGATGCTTTTAATTCCTGAGCTCTTTATCGATGCTAAAAGCGTTTATTGTTTCGGCAAATCATACTCGTCGATGGGACAAATTCCATCGAAAAACGGGATTGGTGTAAAATCGTGGTGTAAGAGTCGGGGAAAAACGAGTAGGTGTGTTTCGCGACCATGACCTTTTGAACTGTTTCTTGCTTTTCTCCTGAACTCTTTGCAGACACTGATCAGCGCAGGTATAGGAGTATTAAAGCGAAATCTGAAGAGTTGATATTCTTTATCTGCATGATATGTAGCCCTTCGAGTCGGTGAAGATCTTTGATCGAGACAGGTATTCTGCGTTAGTGAAAGGAAGTGAATAATCACACTTGAGATCGAAGTTCAGCTGGAAGTTGCGGAAACTTAGTGAATGTCTTTGCCCCATGACTATCGTCGCAAAATGGAGCCATCGTGTTGGTAGGAAGAAGATTCAAGCAAGGACGGTTATGTAATGAATTTTATACTATCCGAATGTTAAAGGTGGTGAATATTTGAGGTAAAAGTTTAGATCAGATGTTTTTGGATGTCTGAGGACGAATTTTTCGGTAGTAAAAGCAGAGTAATGTAGCGCATAAGTTGTCCATATAGCCAATTAGTAAAAACACAGATGTGGCAGAGCAATAAAGATCGATACCTCCACCGTACTATAACCATTCCGGAGTATCACCGTACCCTAATCCAGTTCCTATTTTGAAGTAGATACTACGTATCGTATCGTATACAAAATTCAATCAACCACCCCGTCACTCCCTCACCCCACTCCGCTAACACCCGAATCCAAACCCCGCCCCCCCATTCCCAGCACCACCTAAACCCCCCATCCCTACTCCACCACTTCCAGCCATCCAATCCCCCGCATTTAACCAATCAACTTGTCCCCACATCTCTTCCATCCCAATCCCTTCTAGATCGAAATTTAGATCCAATCCTACCGTATTCATGTTAAAATCTAATCCGCCTTGAATGTTTGATGTGAAATCTTCATTTATCGTTGTTGATGCCTGCGTAAGTTGTGGTGCGAAGTTTGCTGCTTCCATGTTCCAGTCCCGCGTGCCTTGCTCGGTTAATCCCGAATTTTCGGTTGCGCCCCTAGTTGTACGTTCCTCCATCTGCACTCGCGCTGGATCAATTGTGCCCTGGCTGTTAACCATCCTGGAATTGTCTTCCTGTCTGGCTATGTCTTTCTCCTTTTCCTTGTCAACTTCTCTACTCATCTCCCCACCATCAAGAACCCATTTCAGCACCCGTCCTACCACACCTCTCACCCTCTTCAACAACGCATAATTCCCGTCTGTATCCCTCACCCAATCTAAAAACGCCGCAAATAACGTTAATTTTTGAATCGCCATACTTCTGGAAAATCTGGTCTTCTCCTTCTCCTTTGCCCTCCTTTCATCTCCCTCCGTTCCCGTCTTCTCTTTCTCCCTTTTCTTTTGAGATCCATTCGAATCACTCATGAGTTTAAGCAACTCAACACAAACTACACCTGCAGCTGGAACGCCAAAACTAGTAACAACCCAGTCAAAAGAAAATTCAAGCCCCACTAACTTATCTCTTTTCTCCCACATCATAATAACCTTTTCAAGCATCTCCATTGCTGTATCCAATAACCCTTGATTATAATTTCCTTCTAGGTGGTTTGCTAATGCTAGACGATGTAGTAGAAATTTATTTTGTAATGTTTCCAAAGAAACAGTTAATTGTATGAAGAGCACGACACCTGTCGATTTTGGATCGAATGAAAATTGATGTGGTCGGTTTTGCGAAAGTGAGGCAGTTCGAGCAAGAAGCGAATCGATGCGCTCTCTACTGACCTGTACATCGACTGCTAGAGCTCTTTCTAATATCTCTTCTTTGACCATGTAGATTGGCATCATACTCCTATTCCAAGTTCCACAGTACATTTCGCCTTTTCGGTTCCATCCCTTTTCATCACATTCGGCGATTGCTTGTTGCATTTGTGCGCGGGGAAGAAAAAGCTCTGTTTCTGAGAGATCGGATAGTGTATGGAGGCGACAGTAGAGACGAGGTATACCAGGTGGTGTGCCATTGAGAGCTGAGCAACATTTGTCCATCTGGTAAACGGAAGCGACAACTCGTCGTTTATATTCGGCTGCAGTTGTTAGGAGGTGCGGAGGAAGATGTGGGAGCCGGTGAAGCCCGAATGCGTAGGCTGATGTTACCATGTTTTGATGACGATTGAGATTTCCGTAACCTTTGTATCGAAACTCTGTGTTAGTATTCTCTCACATAAGTGACGAACGGTGTCACAAGAATCAGCCGGGCATAAAGGACAACATACTTTCATCCCCAACAACAGCACTCTCCAAAACAAAAATAGCCACCCGAAATGCAACTACAATCTCATTGACTGTATCCGTACAATCACACATTTTTCCCATCACATCCGCACACTCATTCATTCTCCAACTAGTCTGTCTTCTATTCCTTCCATGATTTTCTTCTTTTTTAAATAATGGATTTTCGTCCGCCAAACTCTGATATGATCTTCCTATAAAACAAAACAAAAGTCCCATGACTTCGAACCGAATATTAGGCCCACTAAATGTGTTAAGCCAAGCAATACCATCATCTGGCGCTGGAGGTAATGGAGTTTCCTCATTTTTCAGTAATGTTTCGACGAATGGCATAAATTTCTCTGTGCTGCGGGGTTCAGCTAGAATAGAACCAAATGTGTCGAACAAGGTTGAGATTAAATATTGAATCATGAATTCCGGCATGACTAAAAATTCAACGATATCGTGATACCGTTTTAGAAGCTCATCGCAGCTCGAGCGGGATGGTATGTTCCAAAGTGCTTTGGTGATCATTTCACATCGAACTTTATAAGACGTTGGTCGGTTTCTTCCTAGCTTCGAGGATGTTAATAAATGATTTAGGTCGACCTTGAATCCTCGGATGGCACATAAAGTAGAATGGAATACAACATATAAAAAAGATATGAAAGGGTTTGAGGTGGCCAGGCCTAGACTTGGCCCTAAATGTGTTCTAATGCATATGTGCTACACATAGAGTAGTGTGGTTGTAAGTATTTATACAATTCGAGAGCGATAATGTGGATTTCCTCAATTTTGTTATTAATAAACTAGCATCCAGAAATCCTTTTAATGAGAAAATAAGAAGATTTTTTCCCCAAGGAACATAAGCTAAATTACTTCCAGTCACCACTTAATGATTTATCCCTCACTCGGAAGAATCCCCAATTTATCAAGCGCCGGTGAAAGTAGAAACTCAAGCATTGTTCAGGAACTGCCTGCATAGTCGACATCTCTCTTCCGGTCTACTCAGACTATCTTCTTCACACCAAAACACATCATATATCCTCCCCGGGCTTTGTTTCAGTTGGGAAAAACACCAATAGTCGGAAGATCAAAATAAAACAGAAAAAAACTACAAAACTCACCAGCGGTTGACCAAAAGGCCACGAACTAGGATTTTTCCTCCCATCCTCCCCAATATCCAACAAACCGCCAATTCCCCCAGTCCCGTTTTCATTTCCGGCTTCTCCTCCCACTTTCTTTCCATTCCTCTCCCCGTCATTTCCTTCAACTCTACCATCACCATCCCTGAACACAGCCCCAAAACTCGTAGGACCCCAGTAACGTCGACTTCTTGGGTAACTGGTTCCATTCAAATTATTCTGCATTGTCGCTTTTCCCGGATTTTGATCTTGGGAATTAGAAAGTGGGTATTTATAGGATTGGTGATACGGGCTAGGTGATACACAGCCGCGAGAAGAACGGTAGATGTTTGTCATGGATGGGGGTTTAGTGTTTTTAGTTGTACTTTGGTTCTCCGCTGCAGTTGTGAAAATTCTGCCTAGAGAATCATGCCGTGAAGTGGTGATGCTGTCGGCATTTCGGCTTCCATCTCCATTGGTTTTAGTATGTTCCGACCTCCCCTCATTCTCTTCTTCTCTGTCTCCATCCCTCATAGCCGCCGCATCAGCCAAGCTATCCAGGCCTGCGACGTCTCCTCCTTCATCTTCCATTTCTTCACGAACTCCCTCATCAACTGTCACCTTTTCACCTATCCTCCTCCGTTTCACAACACTCCCCTCACTCCTCTCACTTCTTTCACGCCCTTCACTTCTTCCCCTACTCATAGGTGCAGGATGATACCAACACCTCTCCTCCAAGCCTCTCTTAACACACCTCCCACAAACTGGCGATTCATGCCCACAGGCCATTTTACCCACCCTACAGGGCTCACACGAAGGACGTTTACCATTTCTGCGACGCGTGATTGTCGTCCCCTCCAAACCTTCAGTATCCATCTCAAGCTAAAAGCTTAGTTGAGTGAGGAATAAATGTTAAACCGTGGTGGGGACAAATACCGATAGAGTATATCCAAAAAGGTGAGTTTTCCGTGAGTGTTTCAATATCGCGATCCTAACGCTATTTCCAACCACAGACCCTTACCAATCCCGCCTTCAAGTTTCTCACATACGCAAGTCCAAACCCAACGAACAAATCTAAATATCTTCTCCTCTCCTCTCCTCATTGAAACGATCCAATCAATCCAATCAATCCGAGCATATAGTCACATATAACCACACAGCGACAACAAAAAGAATAATGTTCCTCCTTCCGTCTCCGTCTCCGTTGAGTTGAAGGAATTAAATTCTTATCTGAGGCAATGGATGACAAATGGGTAGGTTAGCCTGTCCGCGCACGTGCCAACAATCAACATTTTATTTCGTTGCATCATTTATGTCAGGTTTCGTATCACGATAGGGAATATGTAATATCGACGACAATAGGGCTATATTCTAATACAGAACTAATCTTATCCTTTTATATTCAAAGGTAAGCTTAATTTTATATAAACTATTTCTATTTTGAAAGTTTTAAATAAAGATCTTTCATTTTCCAATCAATTGCTGGAAAGGGCTAGACTCTCTTTTTTTATCATATATAAGGTCTTATAATATATTTGTTACGAGGTTTGCCGTCTAGATCACGTTGAAGTGCTCTAGGCTCTCGAGATGGTTTATAACTAGGCGTCAAGCAGGGACTTAAAGTAATGACAATAATAATATGCAATTCGTAACTAATAGTAGAGTATACTAAATGATTGATCTTGAGCACGAAGCTCTATACAAAGGAAATCCATCTTGATTATATAGTCCTTCATGCTTCTATGATCATTGGTGATCCTTCATGATCACCAGTGATCACCTATACTGTGATCCTTAATGATCCTTAATGATCACTACTGAACACTTGTGATCACGTGCCTTGGTAGTTGTGTAGCCCGTCGTAACACTTTATATATTTCACATACGTCAATATACTATAAACACATCACAATACACACAAGCACTCACTCATTCATTCATTTTCATCTGATATTTTAATGAGATTGATTTTCATCATAATACCTATACTTCCACTTCCTATTCCACCCACGATATAGCGAGGTAGAGTGAATAGATATGTATCATCAATCAATCCCCTCATTTATTTTGCCCTTAACTCGCTTTGATCTTTTATTTACTCATTCCTCTCCAAGCATTCATCTGATCAGATCTTCTCCTTTTCTTCAACCACCATCCTCTCAACTCTTCGCAAATAGTTGGATCTTGCTTGCCCCGCAAGCAAAGAAAGCATATTCTCCCATGCTGATATCATACACTTCATAACAATCGTCCCCTTCCAATTACGTATCCCCCATTCTGGCCCCACCATGCGATCACCACAACAGCTAAATGCGCGCGGGGCAAGCAAGCAACCGAATCACGGGCATCATACCAAAATAAAAGTGCAAAATGATCAATCGATCAATCAAGCTTCACTATCAGCACGCACGATAGCGGTAGTAGCTGCATGCGTAAAAAAAAAATCAAAAACTCAATCATCATCCTCCACATCTCTCCATCATCTCGCATTTCCTTGCCTTCCTGATGTCATAAATGTTTTGAAAAATCCATAAAGCATATGCCAAACATCCACAACCTGTCGGCCGACCTTCGTTATTTTTTGGGCTATCTCAAATGTCGACTTCTGGATACTGGCCCAACGATGGTAAGTCGATGGGTCGAAGGCATGATATCAAATGAAACGTCAATGAATTTTTGAAAGTATGATATTATACAACGTGCTCGTAATTGTGCGGGAAGAAAGGTAATGTACAAGTTGAGAAAGCGACTTTACTTTAGGATTGTAACAAATCCAAATATCTGGCGATGAGGTACGAGCTTCTGAGTTTGCAGCCAGGTGGTGGTCAGTGGAGGCAAGATTACTCTTCCTCAGAATCTGAAGACTCATCACCACTTGATTCCTCTTGTGTATGTCGCTCAACACTCTCAATGGGCTCTTGAGAAGCTGAACCCGGCCCTCTTTCGTAGGTTTGCATCTTTTCTTTAAGCAGTGCAATGTTTCGTTCTTGCTCAAACTTCGACATGGGCTTATTTTTCTTTTTCTGGGGAGGTTTTGCAGGAGCACGAGGCTCTTCCTTCTTGTCTTGATGTGTCGCTCTAATATTGGCCTCACATTCTGGAGCATGTTCATGGATGGCATCAAAAATCCTCCAGAGTAGATGTGGTTCGAGCTGGTCAATTTCCATTTCTAAAGTGCCGTCTTCCTCAATCTAATAAATAGTTAGTTGATTGAAGATCGTCAAACAGATAGAAAATTTACTTACCACCATTGATGGATGGGCTGATTTAACCATTTCCATTACGTCGGCAGTAATGTGGTCAGGCAAAAGGCCGATTCCTGCAGAAATTACTTCCTTCTCAAAAGTGCCTAAGTATCTCTCTTTGCGAGCTCCCCCGGATTTCTTCGAAGGTCCAGTGGTGCTTTTTTTGGTTGTGACAGCTTTCTTTAAGGGCTTAGAGGGTCTTGATTTCTTGCTTGGTTTTTTGGGAATAGCCGCCAGCTTTTCTTTTTCTTTGTCGGCGATTTCTTGAATGAAATTGAGAATTTTCCTCTGCAAGGCAATGGCATCGGCGGATTCCGGTTTCGACAACATATCGATTAACTTGGATTGTTCGATAAGAAGTCGGGCAGTAGCAGCACTTTGAAATATTTCTTGGGCGGGCTCTGGCTCATCTTCGCTCTCCTCTTCCTCCTCAGTTTCCTCATCTCTATCGGGTGTTACAGCAACAGGCTGATGATCAGCGATCCATCGGTCCTTCTTAGCCAATAATCCATTGAATACTTCCTCAAACTGTTGGCCCATGACACGAACAGGATTTCCTTCGGGGTTAAACTTGTAACAATTCTGAAATATGAGCTTCACATCCTGTTCAAACTCCTTAGCCCTTGTATAAGCACCGTTTTGAAGCTTTTCGGAGACAGTGGAGATGTCCATGGGCGATTTGATAATGGTAAAGTAGTTGGGGATTTGCAATGCGACAGGATCAACGGGAGTCATAAAAGCACTAGAGAACATCAAGTATTTCGACTTCTTCATCTCATTCAGTGTCTCTTCGCACCATTTAAGCTCGACGGAGTATTTCTTGCTCTTGGGTCTCGCCGAAGAGTAAGGCAAGTCCTTGTTCTTCGGTGGATGAATTTCACGCTTTGGCCTGCCGTCTTTAGTTGAGTCGCGACGAATTAATGGTGTACTGGTGACGGGATCTAAAGCAAACGTTGGAGCTGGAGCACTGATCGGTACAGCAGCACCAGCAGATCCGCGAGATGGTCTTCTAGCAGCAGGAGTACGAGCAGCAGTGTCGAGAGATGGCGTAGGTCGTTTAGGCTTCTTAACCTGCGCCTTGGCAACGTGGGCCGGTGGCTCCGGAGGGAGACTTCCCAGCTTAGTGATAATTGATGTCTTCACGTCATTGGCAGCGGTTGTAATAGCATTGTCAAGCCCATTAAAGGCAACGGCATTTTCGTAAAGGAGTACGGCATCATCCATGATGGCTTGGATCGAAGGGTATTCGCCAGTCTTGATCTTCTTCTCCATAGTACCTAAATCGACCTCATTCTTTACCTTCTGTGCATAAGCATCAGCAAATCCAGGCCAGAGTATTGCAACGGGAGATCTGAAGTTCTTTCCGGCTGCAGTCTTGATGACATTCTTAATGATTTTGATGATTTCTTTCGTCTCATGCTGGGTGATTGGGCGTGACAGATTAACGGTAGAAGACGAAGCACCATTCGTAGTTACTCCATTCTGGGTGGCGGCTGGAGTTCCCACATTTGAAGATACTTTAGGTTCCTCGCTTTCCTCAGTCTTGGTGCGCTTCGCAGATGGTTCCTCGTCGCTATCATCCTCTCGCTCGCGAGCAACTTTCGTGACCTGTGTTTGTGCAGGCGCATCCGTCATATCAACATCATTAAAAGCAGAATTGGAGGCCGCGGATTCTGTGGTAGGCTCTAAAGTGACATGCTGTGCTCTGGGAGAGATGTCCATATCAACAGATGGCGGCGCATTGTTGGGAGATGATGGAGGTAGATCGGCTCGCGGCGCATCAAAATTAAGGTTCATATCATCAACGCTTTCCGCCTTTGTCTCTTGAGTTGGGGCGGGAGCCTCTTGTTCCGTCAATGATTCCTCCTTTTTATCTGAAACTGGCAGAGACGGCTCGCGTATAGCTTCAGGCACTTGAGTGAGTGGGGAAACCTCGTCGCGAGTATCGGATACTGGAGCATCTACGATAGGTGGAACAGCCGTGGGCGCGAAACTATCATTTGCAACCTCGGGCATGGAATCGGCCGGTGTAGGTAGATCAGATACAGCGCGTTCTGGTTCCTCGACTGGCTTCGAAGCCTCGTTGGAGATAGTTGTTGTAGTCGAGTCTTGTAGTTGAGACACGTTTTGACTCTCAGGAGAGTCTTGGGCATGCGATTCGACTAATGAAGATGGAGGTAGAGAACTTTTGACGGTATGTGATTCTGCATTTAGATCTCCATTTACTTCTGATGTAGATGTGATTTCGGCAGATTCCGATGTGGTGATTTCGGGGGCGGGAGATTTTCTCAATTCAGCATCAGAGGTAGTTGGATGTACTTCAGTTTTGGATTCATCTCGGGTAGAAGATCTGTACATTTTTCATTGATAAATACAAGTGTACAAAAAATGAGGAAAAAGGAAAATGAGGCAAGAAACTATGGTAGAGAAGACTTACCCGTTGATATTGAGATCCAAAGCCATCGTATCAGATGATGGAACGGGTATTGTCTTTTGCTCCAAAGGTAGATCGTCTGAATGCTGGGTGGTCATGACGGCCATCAACAACCAGAGATCCTCTATTTACAGAGGGACTGCTTGTGACAAAAATGATGGAAAGAGATCTAGACTATATCTGAAGTTGGTGGACTTGAGATGAAGGCAATGCGATTAGGACGAGTTAATTGTTTCTCTGATATTTGATGGTTTGGAGAAGTTGCTTGATTTTAGTTTTAGTTGTAAGGTGGAAGATTTTGTCGCGACCAATACTTGCGACAAGAGGGATTCTTTAACTGTGAGAGAACTGTGGAATACGTCAGCTAAATTGCGCCCGCGAACTTGAGCACGCGACTCGAATACAGTGAATAAAAAGCCGAGAACAATGATTTCAAAGCTGAGCTGCACCGTTCAACCATAACAAAATAAATGTATGAAGATATAAGGTACGGTGGCGGGATAGATGAATGTTCCTAGTAGACCTACCCTCTGTTAATCCTCGGCGCAGCCTCGTCGAAATGCGACAAAGGATTTCGGGGTCTAGCCTTACGTGTTCCAAAGTAAGGATGGGTTCAATATTTGGCCACTCTTAATAAAAAGGTGAACAAATGGAGAGAGAGATGTCGGATCGGGAATTACAAGTTGATTTGCAATCCGAGAGAAATTGGCCACTCGAAAATAAGAAAAACTGAATTCGTCTTTTGAACAGGCGCGGTGGGATCAATGGTATAAGTACTGTTTTCTGTTGATATGTTGTTGCTAGTGAGAAGCTAGAAAGCTAATGTCGCCGCTTTTTCGGTTTTGTGTGGTGTGGTGTGCTGTGTTATTGTTTTGATGAAGAACACGCGACTTTCAGAATTCGGAATTTCGTTTCTTCTTTGCCTCTTTCTTTTCTTCCCTTTGATTGATTGAAGATGGATCGCACTGTGAAAAACTGTGAATCGTAAAATGGTAATTCCGAGGTTGGAAGTATATTCTTTTTCCTTTTCTTTTCTTCTCTTTTCTTTTCCCTCTTCAAGATGATATCAGTCGAAATAAGAAAGAGAGATACAGATGAGCGAAACGAAGCGCGACGCGATTTTATCGTGAGAAAGGTACAACTAGCGAAAGAGACCTCCAAAAAATCGAAACTGTCAACAACACTAAATCTTAGCCTGGACTGTTAAAGCTTTTCAAAACAGAGAGAATTATTGGTAATCAACTTGATGTCAAGGTAAATGTTGATGAATGAATGGAACGATTCAATAAAGTAAATTTCGTTTTCGTCCTTCCAATTGATCCGACGCGCGCAACCACAAAGGATGGTTGGTGGGTGGGAGATACTTCGATAAACCCGGTTTCTCTCGGCGATAATGTTCTTCCCTTAGATTCACTCTGGGGATAGAAAATGAAGGGGAAAGAGAAGAGAGAATATAAACCTTTTTTTGCTTTGCTTGCTTTGCTTTGCCTTGCCTTGCTTTTCTTTGATTATAGAGAATATCAAAAGTATAACTCTCAAGAACTGAATGCGTTTTATGTATAAAGAGACAAGAGGAATTTTGAATAAAAAAAAATAAATAAATTACTCTCAATCACAATGATATAAGTGAAGAATGAAGTTTATTTTCCGAGGTTCAACTGTTCGACACCTTTTCGATAAACCCACTAAGAATATCGTTATCGTCTTTATTTTGGTGATGCTGTAAGGTCATGTGTTGAGGTGTATTTTAGGTGAAGTTTGTTGGATGATCGGAGGTTGGTCGGTGGTGGTAGGTGCTCTTTGGCTCTTTGGACGAATGAGAAGGCTGTCGCAAATCAAACCTTTAAAAAATTTGGTTGCAAAGACGAGAACTTTCGGGGGGACATACCATTAACATATTTAAACGATAGCAAGTGATGACCATGGGGCTAAGCCTAATGCATTCTTAGTTAATTCATGACTACCTTGTACTTCCACTGCAGGTTGCCTCATAGTGACCAATCACATCATCCATACAAATGACTCAGCCCCACTACAGGTAAGGAAAGCCTGGAGAGGAAAAGATCCAACAAGGGTCAAATAAAGGTTAAGATGGATCAAGACTTGAAATGTATATCATTGGTCCAATCAATCAAATCTTGACAATAAGAATGAGCCACATTTCCATTCATGGATCCACCTTATCTGTTCCGCACTGACTTTTTTAGCTCCCAAGATAACATATTCACGTGATCAGGATTTATTTTTTCTATCTTGAGTAAAAAAAAGTTTCATGAAGTTTTGCTGATCGATAGCTTCAATGGTAAATTTACCTGAACTCATTCAACACCACCATTTGAAAGAATTGAGAATCAGTTGAATTTGTATAATCTCAGTCTCTTCATTGCGACCAATACTTATTCGAATTTCACGATAGTTTATCAATAGGCAAACTTTGATCGGTTGCCATTTCTTCAATTCAAACGAATTTCACTTTCCTCTACCAATCTTTCGTCGTACTCAAATTCTCGCTCTTTTTTAAATCATACAACCGATAAATAAATACAATGTCAGCTAAGAGGAAACTTCCGACCAAGCTTGGCCAACCAATGGTCAAGCAAGGTGTTAAATCATTTGGAGCGGGACATCTAGATGAATCAAAGACGGTGGTATCTGGTGGAACTGCAAATAAGGTGAAGACGAACGGAATCAAGAAGAATGAAGTGGTCGAAATCTCTAGCGATGAAGAAAATGAAAGTGACGATGAGATGGAAGAAATTGAAGAGGATGGGAGTGATGCGGAAGAAAATGGCAATGTTACCACAGATGTGGCAATGGAAGATGAAGGAGCTGAAGCTGCGGAGGAAGATGGAGAGCCAACATTCGGAGATCTTATCCGTGCCCACGCGTCAGAGCCTATCGATGTAGCAGCCGCTTTCGGTGATTCTAAAGCTCAAGCCCTTTCATACCCTCAAAATTCAATTCAAGCTCCTTCTGGCGCATCCCTCGGAACAGTTCTCACTCAAGCACTCAAAACAAACGATGTCGCCTTATTGGAATCTTGCTTACATACTACGGATCTCAGTACGATTAGAGCTACAATTCAACGACTCGATTCCCCCCTCGCCGCGATTCTACTACAAAAGTTGGCAGAAAGATTACATCGCAGACCTGGTAGAGCTGGAAGTCTCATGGTTTGGGTTCAATGGTCAATGATCACACATGGAGGATATCTAGCAACTCAGAGAGGTCTTATCAAGAAATTGGCCGAGGTAAACAGAGTTTTGGACGAGAGATCAAAATCTTTACAACATCTTTTGTCTTTGAAGGGTAAATTGGATATGTTGGACGCACAAATCAAATTACGAAGAGGCATGCAAAACCGACCAAGGCTAGACAGCGAAGATGATGATGAAGGTGTTATTTATGTGGAAGGTCAAAGCGATGATGAGGAAGAAGTTATCGTCAATGGATTACCTCAAAGACTTGCCAAGAATGGGGATCTCCAGGATATCTCAGATTCCGAGATTGAGGAGGAAATGCTTAATGGTTTAGTTGCCGAGTCTGATGAAGAAGAAGAGGATAGCGAGGATGATTTAATAGATGATGAGGCCGAGGAAACAGATGCAGATTCTGGAGATGAGGATGAAGTTGATCATGATGATATCGATGAGCAAGGAGAAGATGATGAAAGTGATGATGCTGTACAAGGACCACCAAAATCCAAGATGCAAAAGATAACAGGCAGTACCTTTCATAGAAGATAATAAGAGAGTTTGACTGTTAGATGCATTTTGGGTGTTTGCATGGTCTGGAGTTTTTTGCTTGCTTTCCCTTTCCCTTTCTTAGCTGGGATCTTAAAAAGAACATAGGAGGATATTTCTTTTTTGTTGTGTACAAGCATATATTGATTATACGTGCTTTTTATATGTTGATAGAAATTGAACTTGAGATAAAGCTTGAGGTAAAGCTTTAAGCTGAGGTACAAATACAATAGGATTAAATATCAATATCTGTATGATCTTGAGAAAGTGTGATGGGTGAATGTATAAATAAATATCCAGATTCTTATTCAGCTCTAGAGAGGGGGGGGGGTGTAACGATACTGTACTGGAGGCAGCGGCTGCCTAAGGTTCGTCGGTTGGTAGTTGTGGGTTAAGGCTTTACCACTGGTATTCATTTGGAAGTGAAGTCGTTACTAGATCAAGTAGAATGTAGGTAAACTAATTGATAACTAAGTTGAGCACGAAGCTCCTAAACTATGAAACTACTCTGACTATATAATGATCAATAAAGGGAGCCCCCAGGAGCTTTCTGGCTCCTCAGGGCTCCTGGGGCTCCTTATCACGTGATTCATTTTCATCCCAAGACACTAATCCTAATGGTGAATCGTGACAGGGGGATTCAGAATATAAAGTCTAGTTTTTATATTTATTTTTTTGAATTGGATGAGATGATATAAATTTAATAAATCATAATTTAAAAACTATATTATAATTTTTTAATAAATACATTTTCTGTTAAAGTGAATGTGTTACGAGGGTAGCCGTCTAGATCACGTGGAAGTGCTCTAGGCTCTCGAGGTAGTCAAGTAGGGACTTAAAGTAATGACAATAATGATATGCAATTCGTAACTAATAGTAGAGTATACTAAATGATTGATCTTGAGCACGAAGCTCTATACAAAAGAAATCCATCTTGATTATATAGTCCTTCGTGCCTATGGTTAACTAGGAATCGTCGTTCCTGGGAACGAGCGTTCCTGGTTGTTCCTAGGAACGTTCGTTCCTCACCGTTCCATCACATGTTTTATGGTCATGTGACATACTAATCGTTTTGGACGTAACACCTACTAAATGATTGATCTTGATCTTGAGCACGAAGCTCTATACAAAGGGAATCTATCTTGATTATATAGACCTTCGTATTCCAACATTGGAGCGATGGAGCTGGGGAGCGAGATTCGAATCTCGCTCCTTCGCTCCCTCGCTCCCTCACAAGACTATTCATGTGATCCTATAACACGTGATAATAGTTATAATGTTACAACGTAACAGTAAGGTCATTCCTTTTAACATTTTCAACTTTTATAAAAAATAAATAAATTTAAATTTTCATTTTTAAATAATAATTTTATTGAAAGATTGGGTGGAAGAGGCCTCTATATTGACTATATTACTACGTCTGTAGGCATATTAATCTCCTCTTGGTATCCTCGGAGGGGACCAATATGCCTGCTTATGGTTCGTCTAATCTAGCCTGTTTAGGTAACCGTATTACTAATCACGACACGTGATTAGTACCGGTAACTTCTATTCCTTTTAACAAATTTTAATAAAAAATCAATTTTTTTAAAATCCGAATTGATATAATTTTTATTTAAAATAAATTTCAAGAACTTTGTTACGCCGAGTAACAGGAAACCCTCACGTCCAATCAATATCACGTGACTGGCTCAGTAAGGATCAATGAGCTTAGTACTGAGCCGCATTGATCTTACTGAGTAGTTATCAATATGAAGGTCTATATAATCTAAATGGATTTCCTTTATATAGAGCTTCGTGCTCAAGATCAATCATTTAGTATGCTCTACTATTAGTTACGAATTGTATTATTGTCATTACTTTAAATCCCTGCTTGACGCTTAGTTATAAACCACCTCGAGAGTCTAGAGCACTTCCACGTGATCTAGACGGCAAACCTCGTAACAATACTCTGCAAGGCCCTATAGTCGCATCAGTTTTCAAAGTGTCCTTAATACAATTAGATTCTATTGTAAGATTTTAACTTCTTATATTAGAATACTGTATACTCTCCGCAATAAGAGATGGTCAACATCCATGTGCTTAGGCGGTTAGAGGTTCAGCTGTATATTTGGTATCAATAGAGATCTATTTTCAGAGTATTTTTTTTCAAATTGATATTGTACAGGCTTTTGAGTTAGTTCTACTTGGATTTTTTAGGTTTTAAAGATTTGAAAAGGTTTCAATAATATATCTACCTACCTTTACAGGAGAAGGCAGAACCTCTGATCGCTCGAATAATTATGTAGACGTTGGCCATTTCTTATTGCTGAGAGTACACGGGTACGGGACGGAATCGCTATGATGTTCGTCTACAGGAGTCCGAAATCACACTTCATCCATCGGTACCTGGTTTTCCTTCCGTTCCGATGGACTGGGCTAGCTAGGTATAGGAGGTTGGTGGTCCAGATAGTTCCGTATGCACATGGCATAATGATTATATGTTTTGTATAAATGTAATGCATAACTGTACTCTAAACCTTGGATCTTAGCGCCTTGAAATTTAAGGATAATGCTCTAGAATTTAACTGAACTAACTGACTGGGCAGAACCAAAATGGTGGGATGAACTTTTCGGCACGTACCTCCGTACACAGTACTCTGTATTATTGTTCACAGCGGTAAATGTGCATAATCTTATATGAGATGATAATTGGAAATTTCATGTTTATTGATTGAAAAACAATTGTACTTATACACTTATATATGTACATACGTGTATTTATTCACGGATAAATCCAAACGATAAAACCATTTCCTCCGACCGGTTCATGTGTAATTGATAAATAACTCCACGAATCCACAATCATTATAACCACTCTTCTCCCTTCAGCCTCTTCGCACTCTAGACATGACGTTCCCCCATCTAATAAATATCCAGTATACGTACGACGTACAACACGAGGTGGGGAGCCGCCCACACCAAGAAGGATAAAAAAGTATCCGCTTAAAGCATTGAAGGTCAAGAGCTTACGAATCCCCATTGCGCGTTCGAAATATGTTTGATGCGGTGATGGATGGTTGTGCAAGGAAGAGAAGGGGAATTTCATGAATTTTCATAACACTTTGTTGGAAATTGTAGGGGACGTATATCCTAGATGGGTAAGTAAGCATACAAATTGGGATTGGGAAGAGTAGTATTTTGGTCTCTTTTTAAACTTGGATCAGCTTGGTTGTTTTTTGAGTATCAAATCTTACTTACATCTTTCAATCTTACATATGTACATGTATGTGCGTTTGTGTTGTAAGTATTTCTTCATTCTTTCTTGTTACTCGTTCTTGTGTTATTTTTTTTATTGATATTTTGATATTTGGACATCACATCTTTATTTGATCCCTTCTCTTTTTTATCCACGAAGGAAAAAGGCAGGTACATATTTAAAGATCATCCACAACTGAAAGCCTCCCGCTTCTTGGCATACGCAACGCCCTTATCCTCTTTCCTCTTGGCATCATCATAATCCTACATTTTTCCAGGAACAAATTCAATAAGGCTGGAATCTATCAGAATTGAGGAAAATAATAGAGAGGAATTAAAACCTTGTGTTTTCCCTTTTCCTATTCGGTCGTCGCGGGACGAGAGAAGGGAGAAAGGAGAAGGGAGGATTGGTTTATTTTTCATAGCGGTTGGTGTTTTTGATTGCGACAATGCGCGCTTTTACACGATTAGGCGCTTTGGTGTTTGGAGCGGTGTTATCGTTAATGACTATCTTGGCATTGTTACCTCAATCGAGATATACCGAACATTTGAAGAAGATTGGATTGGGAGGGACGAGTATTAATGATGTTACCGATGGTTTATGGGATTGGGCAAATGGGAGTCATGATGAAGGAGAGGAGAGTGGTGTTCGATTGGTGGTTTTTGGGGATAATTGGGTGGATGATACCCTTGAGGTGAATGAGGATGGGAAGGGAAGAAGTTGGACAGAAGTTCTTTGTGAAGAGGTATGTTTTTGAGTTTGGTTTTTGCTTTGGTTTTTGATTCTTGAATTTTGAGCGCTTGAGTTGTCAAGTTCACACATTTACTAATTGATTTCTCAATAGCTTTCATGTTCTGCACATATTAATTTAGCAACTTCACAACCTTCATCTTCATATCCTTCATCACCACCCACAGGAGCATTGGCATCGAATAAAATCTACCTTTCTTCTATCGAAAACACCATTGGTCAAAATAATTCAGAAACAAAATTAACCACCGAATCCATGCTCCCAGATTTCGAAGCTCAAGTTAAATCCTTCATCGCCCTTCCTCTTCCCAAAAAGAAACTAAGAGAAACAATCTTCGTCCTCTCATTCGGAATCTGGGATGTATGGCATTATGCATCTCTTGATTACTCCAAAGCTAAAGAAGCGCAAAATAAAGTGGTCGAAGAAATGTTCGCCCAACTCGATAACTTATACGCGCATCATCGAGAAACGCTAGAAGCTACTCATATTATCGAAAAACCACACAATAAATCTCACGTGGTACCGAAACCACAATTCAAAGTCATCATTCCAAAGGTATTTGATCCGACAATGTTACCCGGTTGGTTAAGTCAAAGACCTGTACCGTTAAGACCTAGTTCTGTGGCGGAACATCAGAAAAATGCCATTTCGCTTTTGAGGGATTGGGATAATAAGATGGAGAATAGTATTAAACCTTGGTTTGCTAGTACACCTGAAGTTACTACTTCGAATGAATGGATGGAACCGGTTCCACAGGGGGAAGTATCTGGAGAGGTAGTTCCAGAAGTTTTCGATAAGGATGAGCATGGGGGAGTAGAGGGTCATGGACAAGGTGATTCAAGTGGGCATCATGGACAAGGTGAACAAAATGGGTCTCAATCTCAAACTAAGAGAGAAAAATCTGGAGAAGAAACAGAAAATCAAACAGAAATTCCTCAAAAAGATATCTATTACTATGATCTTCATCAATTCCTCCTCGAAATCATACTAGAACATCAACTCGAAGATGAAGGATTATCCGATGCATCCGGACTCGGCACAAAAGAAAGCCCCTACATCTCCGTCTACGATCCTTGCGTACAAGAAAGCGAAGGAGAAGAAAACAGCGAAAAGAGGAGGAGAAAAAGCAAAAAGACGGAAAAGAAAGGAGCGGGAAAAAACTTACAGGACAATAAAAGAAGAAATTTACCGGATATTAATGGTCTTTTGGTCTGTGAGGCCCCGGATGAATATCTCTTCTGGGATGATTTTTGTATGGGTGGTATGGCGAAAGAGAGGGTGGGGAGGGAGATTTCCGGGATGATTAAAGAGGGGAGTTCGTTGAGGAAGGCTTGGGGGTATGGGGTTGTGGTGGGGGTTTAGTGGGTTTGTGAGGGGAGGGGAGGGATGGGAGCTGGCCTTGCGGAGGAAAGGTTTTTTTTAGGTTGGCGGGGAGACTTGTGGGATTAAAGTTAGTGGGTGGGATGAGAGTGATATCGATTTGAATTATGAGATTAGCGTGTATAGCATCTTCCAAATGTTTTACTAAATAGTATTACATATTATAGCATAGCATTAAAGGCGTTCGGAGTTAGAATTTAAATTAGAGTAGTATTATCATTGATATTAATATTAAATAATTTCCCGGTATAAAGATATTGTATTAATTTATCATAACGTGGTTTATCAGTGGGTCGGACACTTTTTCCTCGATTTATCACTTTAAAACTATATTATTCAATAACAATTGGATGAATCGATTGAAACTATTAAGAATCTAATAAACTAGCATCTATTGTATTATTTTGACAGGTTCTTGAATTATGACCAGTCTTTCCACACTTACTACAGCATCGACTAGTAGATGATTCCCTATTAGAATTTCCCCCATTTTGACGCTCGTCGCGTTGAATCTGATTATCAACCTCTTGTTGTGATAATATATCTTCAGCTTCTTGTCCAGTAAGTACTCCTCCATTACGTAGTTGAATTTTTTTAGCGCGTCGACGTTTACTTAATGCTTCATTTGCTCTTCGAAGCATACGATTCTCAGCATTCAAAAGTGTAACTTCATGTGTCAATCTCTCTGTACCTTTAGCTAAAGCTTGCACAGTCTCAAATATAGGTGTAGGAGAGCTTGATTGATAACGAGCTATTCGAGCTTTTACTAGAGTTGATTGTAAAAGAGCCTCAGTTGGATTGTGAGAGATTTGAGAGATCCAGAAATTGGTAAGTTCCAAGGAGATAGATGGAGGGGTAGAAGTACGAATCCTAACATCTAGTTTTGAGAGTATAGATTGAGGATCAAATGGTATTAGACCTGCTCCTCGAAAACCAGCTTTTATATTCTGAATAGTAATCGATTGTTGATATACAGCTTTGAAAGCTATAAAGAATTCAATTTTAGAAATATGATTGATATAAGCCTTAATAAATCCTTCAATTTGATAACTATATGAACGTTTGAGTACGCTAAAACATCCAATATCAAGTGATTGAGTTAAGTGACTTGAATGCGATGATAACTTTATGCATATAATATCATTTGACTTGCAATATGATTGGAAAGGTATCGATTCGTGACTTTCATGCCCATCCAATACTAGCATTCGATATTTGCCCTTTCTTTATTGATTAGTATGCTTATCGAAATGCTTTAATTATTCTAAACCTATCTCATTATTTGTCCATTCATTAGAAGTAGGTTTAATAGCCCAATCTGCAGGAAAATCACTCTCTGTATACCAATTAGAAAGGTGATATTGTCCTTGCACCACTAAAAATGGTGGTATAGTTTCATCCTCTCTATTACCACATATAATCACTGTAGCCCACTCTCGATTACCTAGTTGTATTGCCTTGCTTCTGCCACTTCGTTCAGTACTAGTTACAACCATTCCGGGGCATATTATACCCATCATAAAGCCTGTTTCGTTGAAGTTGTAGAAATCGCAATCCTGAATCCCATATTTCGCCTGCATATTCGATACCAATCGAAACCACTCTTCAATAAGCTCTAGATCTTCGCAAAGAGCTCTTTGAAAGTCATAGACACGATTAAAACGCATCTTTAATTCTGAACATCGTTTTACAAAGCGATGAGCCCAGAGCTTTCCAACCTTCTTCGCACCCCGTGTTTCGAGCATATAATTCGCTATATCTTCCACACTATTTAATTTAGGGGCAAATCCTCTATCATCCATATCAATAATGTATTGAATAAGCACCTCCTCTTCTAATTCAATCAAATTATGACTTTTTGGTTGACTTTCAGCTATATTACTACGACCTTGAATTCTGTCGAATAATGTAGATCGAGGCACACTATAGTAATTAGCAGCCTTTCGAATCGTCAATCTTTTGTTCAATTCGATAGCCTCAATGGCCAGGACTATTCGTGCTTCTTTTGAATGAATTTCCATTAATAACTATTGAATAAACGCGTATTGAAGTGAGAGAGTAAAGGATATTGAAAAAGTGTCCGACCCACTGATAAACCACGTTATATAACTTTATGTTAAAGTGAATGGTTCCTGCGTAGCACGTGTACAGGGCACTAGTCCTATTAGGACTAGATTGAGAAGCTCTCTGTAAGAGAGCTTCGCACTTCCGTAGAACTTAGAAGAGAGATTAACCTATTAGACCAATATTACCTCAGTTCTGCCCTATCAGCTTCTCACTATTCCCTGTGTAAGGTCATTCCTTTTAACATTTTTATTTGATAATTATTTTTATTAATTAAAAATATTTTATAAAAAATAATTTTAATAGATTTTTTTAATTTATAAAGAATATTTATTTAAAATTTAAAATAATTTTATAATTTTTTTATTATCCTCTTTTTAATGAAAATAAGATATTAAATCTTATATAATTAATATACTCTAAGAATAAATTAAGTTATATACTCAAATCTAGTTTTTAAAATGAAATGATTGATACAGAAATATATATATATATCTATAGGGAAATAAATAAATATAAGTATCGTCATATTAATTAATTCAAGTTTATGATTTAAGACTCAGTACTCGAGAATCTATACTTATTAAATCGGCTTGATAATATATATCGATTGATATATATCGATTTTGATAACTACTGATATATAGATTTTGTTTTTCATTCAATGAGTTTTAATTTATTTTTCAATCATATATTTATGAACTACCTCTTTTACTGAGGTATTCGTGGTTTTCAACTTTATGTTTTTCGCTATCATTGCTACTTGCTTGTTTTTGGCATTCGCGCTGTTGGTATTTGAAACTAGCAATTTACCCCCAGAGTTTCTGGAAGAACAACTCATTTTCATGCATGTCCTAGTTGGAAGATGCAGTATACTATGCTATCATACAAGCTTTATCCATAACTCAAGTAATAAGACCAACATGTTGGTCTTTTAGACTTGCAAACAAACAAAAATTCTGTGCCGCAGCTATGACTATCAATCAAGAAATGTACGGAATTGAGCTTCGTTTGCTTTTTGCTTCGCCCCTAGATAAACATTCACACTCTCCAATAAGAACGATACTTCTTACCTTGCCTGTTTTGAGATTCAAATTTTTTTAGAAGATATTTGTTTGAAACGTTTTAATGCGCCTAGTGCAGTGAATTTTTAAGGGCAAATGAAATGGAATGAAATTTCAAGACGGATAGCTAATTTACCACATCCCATCATTTGCAACGTCCTTTGCCATCAAAAATTAGCAGGCTAGACTCGCTTTATCGGGTTTTTCCTTCTATCCTATCTCCGACGCTTCAAAACAAATGGGGCGTCCCTGCGAAGGCTTTGAGAGGAACTTCAAACGCTGTTTAAATTATTCAAGCCTGCAAAATGATTTTACTGTCTGTCTTGTCGGCTTTGATTTTATGCAGCCTCACAAATTCCGAGCCAATCAGTTCACAGATCCCCTCAATGAATGAAAGAATGAGTCTAGGCATTTCAAATTCCTTCAAATCCTCCCTTCCACATCCATTGACTCGAGCTCCGGATCTCAGACAACGTCAAGGAGCCAAAGGAATTACTTGTGGATATTCCTATGGAGATAGCAACTCCCCTTTTACGGTGCCTACAGACTCCACATGCACAACTGTGTATCCTCGTGGAATTTGGGGCTTATGTACCTACAGCGATCAAGTGCCTATTTGTGAAATGTATGGTGCTTGTGTTGATGATGCAGCATGTAGTAATGGTTGCTATGGCTATAACTTCAATACGCAAGACTTTACCACTACACTCTCTTGGTATGAGATTTCTTTGAAAGTTTTACGAATTTCAGAAAGACTGACTTTTTGTATATAGTATGACAGACTACTGCCAAAGCTCTTTATTGTCCGATTCATCAAGCGCCCGTCTTGGAGTCCAGACTTCATATAGTTGCGACACTACCTCGCAAGAGTCACCAGCGCTATTCTTTGTATCACCACTAGCTACTCCTTATAACTTGATAACTACAACAAGTTCATCCGAAACATCAGCTACCTCGTCGACAAATTCACAATCTCTCGGGTCGTCTTCAACTTTTGGTTCTGGACCAACTCCAGGTTCTTCTTTTACCTCAGCACCAGCTGCTTCCAGTTCAACACCAATTACACCACAAGAAACCACTGTATCATCAAATCATCAAGCAAATTCTTCATCCAACCATACAGGCGCCATAATAGGTGGAGTAATAGGAGGAGTTGCCTTAATAATCTTCATAGCCTTAGCAATATGGCTCCTCCGCCGACACAGAAAAACCCACAAACCATCCACAGATCCAAACACCTCATCTCACAAACCGAACGGTCCAGGTGATAATATACGTGAGTTAATGGGACAAAATGGACATACACCTGAAATCGGCGGGACTATGGTGATGGCTGAGGCGGATAGTCCTAGTGTGGATAGGGCGCCGGTTGAGATGCATAGTCCGATGGTACGGAGAGAGCCGGTTGAGATGGAGGCGTGAGAGAGGATTTTATTTTGGGGGGCGGGAGGGGCTTGGTTTGTGGTGTGCTTATTTACAGATAGAGTTTAGTGATCATAGTTCCATATTACGATTTGTGTTGCTGAATAATTAGTTTGTATTCTTGCTATATATGTATGATCATCGGAATGGAAAATCTAAGCTGCGGGTTAATGTTGAATGCTTGATGTTTCGTGGTTAGACACTTCGGAAAAATTATAGGCCTCTTAAATAAAGCTAAACTCACGTTAATCCATCTAAAAGTTCCCGAAAAACAAAATGGGAAAGAGGTTGTGCATATAACTTTGAGAAAGGGGATTTGGGATTCCTCGGCATGGAATTGGAGGAATCTGCGTGTATGATTTCGATAAAGGAGGTGTTGGCAATTGTAAAGAACTAGTTGAGCTCTTATCTTAAATATGTTACGATAGTTCAAGGGCTGGGATAAATGATGGATGAATTTTGTGAGAGTCTTAGTGTACCAAAATCGAGCAGGGAGATCAAATTAGGATCTCAAGTCTCACAGGATGTATGATTTATTTCTACATCGAAAGTTGTCACTTCTCCAAAGCTGCAAGACAGCGTGATAGAATCCCATGTATTTAAGGTCACATCTTCGGTAGATTACTCGTATCCTGGTTTCATATTGATATTCGCATACCATCTTCTTCGGATTGTGTTTTGGGAATCAAAACACCCTTCTCTGAAAGGTAGAAGGGATTCTAAGTCTAAGGGTTCTGAAAATTAGACGGTTGAAAGTGATCAAAAGATGATAGGTAAGGCCTACAGCCGAGAGGGAGAAGGAGCGTTCGGTTATTGACAAGCTTGCTGAATATGCTCGATTGTTTGGGATAGATAGATGATTACCGTATCCGGGATTGAGCTGTTTTCTTTATCTACTATTACTGAACATATTGAGGATGATGGTAAGAGCTATTTTGTTTCAACTTCTGCTGTATTGTAGTTTTGCAGTGGAAATATCCTGAATAAACGATCAAAATCGACGAACCGTTGTGATCCGCATGATTGTCGAATTCCTAAATGCTGCAAAAAATTTTAGCTTCGGAAAATTCTAAGAGATCGTACCAGTATTTCTACAGCTGTCACTCTATTTAGTTTGATATTAAAACGTATCAGAATCTCAAAGACCCATAACATCTTACCGTGATTAAAGTCTCTGGCAAAAAATTCTTTTCTCTCAGTAGTGTTTAAGACCTACAAGCTCGTTTATATCGCTTACCGTGGAAAGTTCCAGCTCCTGATACTCATCAAGTAGTTTCCTAGAAACTTGCATCATGGGCATTGCTACCATTTTTATACCTATCTTCGTCAATAGCGACACTGTCAAAGCATATTCAACAATCGATGGTGCCTCAAGCAAATCCCCTGGCTTGCTCCATCCTATTAGCACCTGAGCCACCATCCTTAAAGGATCGTTTTCCACAAAAAGCCGTAGTCGGATATCTCCTTGGTTATTGTGCTCCTATTCTTCATCTCCTCAGACGAATATGCTCATTAAAAAACAGCCCAAGAGAGCCGAGAGTTTGTGTCACGCGCTCATAGTATTTATCTCCTGTTAGATTATTGGGCGGATGCAGAATTTAAAGATGGATCATGGAGGTTATGTAATGAGAGGCAATTCAGAAAGTCAAGAATTTCTGCAACTACCTGCAAACAAACTATCAGGGATGATAAAGTGCATGAAGCTTCTTGGTTACTCCACTGCGTATTGATGGGAAGAAGGGGAAAATAGGCCAAGCTAACTTCGACGGATAATCTAAAACAGTACGTGAAATTGGAACTTAATTAAAGTAATCTCTGTTATGCGGGGGTTTTTTTTACTAAATCAAAGAAATTTCTTACAGTTCAACATCAGGCTCCGAAAACACCATTCTTTTTTCTTAAAAATGACAAAGTCAAAAAACTCACTAAATTACAAGCCAAAGAGTTTCCGGAAGAAGGCCGCCGTTAATCCAAGTTCAGCAGTCCTTCCGGTTTCCATGTAGCAGAATTGTATTATATAATGATATGGTATTAATAATTATGATGATTAACGGTAAGCTTCCATATAGCTCTAGTCAGTGTATGATGAACATCTCTAGCCAGCTGGCTCGAGGTAAGATCACATCGCTTGGATGTCGTGCTGAGGCTGACACTTTGCTTACCTTCATCTTAGAGAAGGGTCATAAGTCCAATTGATATCAAACTAGTACTGAAGCGTGGTGGCTGAGCTTGAAATCTGTCACCGAGTGAATGATTGAAGATCAAAAGTTTGTACTAAGCGAAGCTAAGATTTCTTTCCTGGTAATATTGGTCTCTAATCCTAATATTCTGTGTGCATCCAACTTCAAATTCTACAGAAAGGTCAGTTCTACAAACAATGTATCTAAATATTTGGTCAATCTAGCTAATTATCACAGATGGCAACCAGATTCACCAGAACATACCATGACGTCTACTATTCCAGTAATCTACCCGTTGAAACATCGACCAGGACAGTTACATATACAGCGGATACGGGGTACACATTTGTATCAGGCGAAATGACTGGAGTTCTAGGTGGTCCAACTGAGTTAGCCATCACATCAACAGGGAAAAGCACCATCTTCGTAACAAAGACCACTATAGCACCTTACACAACTCTAGCAGTGCCAACTGCCATCTCGACCACGGACACGACAGCCGTTGCCTTTAGTTCAATTACTAGTTATAATCCTATTCAGACTACAGCAACAGATTCGTACACAAAGAGTCATTTGGGTTCAGCGATTAGTCAATGGAGTAGCTGGGCTAGTTTGGGCAGTGGTTATACCACCCTCATTTCATCCACCACCTCTACAAGCACATATCCCACCACTGGTATAACTGCCATTGCTTTGAGCCAGATAAATAGTTGGGACTCTATTGCATCTACAGCCACAGATCCAATATTGAAGGGTTCATTACAATCCGCCATTAGTCAAGCAAGTTCCATGGCTAGCTTGACTTCCGGTGCTTACACAGCTGTTATTACAATCTCTCTCTCTGAACAATCCGCTATCGACAAGTCGAAAAAGTATGGCGCTCGTATCCGAGTTACGTACACTGTGGTTTTAAGTGTCATCAGTATTTTGTTACTGATAGCTTCCGTCTGTATGCTTGGCTACTACTTTGTACGAAAACACCGTCGGCGAGGAGGAAAGAATATGCCTCCATCTACTGAACATGTCTGCCCCAATCTAGATTCTCTGAACGGCCTGATGGTTGAGATGGGTCGGAAAAATGCCACCCGGGAGCAAGAGGGTAGTAGGACTGAAGGACTTCAAGGGCTCCCAAGCGTATCAAGGATTCACAGTACTTTACTCGAATTGGAGCCTCCGGAAGGAATTGCAGAACTACCTGGCTCTGATCCTATTGTTGAGTCCCCAAATGAACGTGCGGAGTTATGTGGTGAAGGGGCTGTATATGCGGAGAATATTCATTATGAAGTCTGAGAACAAGGTCTTTGATGATCACTTTCAAACTTCATTTGCAGGCGTTTGAAGATACATGGGTGAATAATTAGCACATAAGAATGTTGAAGGGACCTATATACTCATTTATAGTGTTCATTAGCTGGGTAAAGGCTATATAAGTGTTCAGGGCTAGGATAAGACCTTGAGCTAAATGTCTCTCTAGAATCTCAGCTCTTCCTTGCAAATCTTTGGTTTAGACGAAGATGATACGCTCTTGAACTATAGCCTTTGTAATTTTACTCAAGTTTCTAAAGAATTCCGATGCAAGTATCATAATTTTGGTAAGTTGCGATATGAGAAAAGGAGAAGCATTAGTTGTCCCAGCTCTCATTCATAAGCTTTCTGTTTGGCTATGCCAAAGGGAAAATTGGCAACGTTAGAAAAAATATGATTCGATGCAATATTTTGATTGTTTTCATAATGAAGCACAAGTACGTAATGAATATACAACTTTCCGAGATCATGTCTCAATATTGAGTCAATAAGTTTATCCCATATTAAGCAAAGCCGCTCGCATCCGCGTAACTTGGTATCTATACCAAAATTTCTGACATATATTGTTATTGTTGAGAATTATAGAGTGAAATATCTTCGATTGATGTATATGATTTTAAGTGTCTTCCTCTAACCTATCTAACTAATGGATATGCAAAAAGGTTATCCTAGAGCCCATCTACCATACAAAGATTATCCAAGCCTCGATGAGAGGATCTCGTGCTATCTAGCCTGACCGACAGAATTAACATTTGAACATCGTTTCTAGTGCCATCTAGCTGCTTCCCTTCGTGTAGATCATGACCATCTCCAGGATATTGTCGACACCTGCTAGCCTGAGAATTTCTTATGCCATATAGTGCCATTTTCCGCGTCATCACACTTCCGACGCCTCTCAGATTCGGACACCATCTCTCGTCAATCCAACGATCCTGATCTCCGGATCGCTGAGCGTTACCACTTTTCTTGGATTCGTGAACCTAGAGCCTAAAGCATCACATATTATAGTCCAGTCTCCCTGGTATTTCTCACGATAACAACTAGCTTCGTCTTTGTGGAACTCGAGTAAGTCCCAATGGCCAGATAATGTGCGATTTATGAGATTGTCGTTGATTCTAACAACGAGTAGCACTTCCTTGATGTTAGGGGAGCATTTGAGCATAAAGAAAATACAGTCAATGTAACCTCCTTCGGACGCTCTACAAGCATCAATGGCAATGCTGCTTGCGTGTCTTATAAAATTGTCCATATATCTACTAGAACGTGACTCTACGCGCGTTTGCCAAAAGCTTTGGTAGCAGAATCGTTCCAAGTACAGCGTATCCACTGTTAAGTTTGCGTGAATGACGAGGTCTTTAACATCAGCAACAGAAATATCGCCACTTAATTGAGGCCCAAAACAAGGCTTATAGAATCTTAACCCTTCGACTCGAGATTCGTGATTAATTTGTAGTAATTTGGCGGCAGCGCTTGTCATTTGTATAGAGACCTGCCTCTTAGGATTCTGATCATGACGTGTCTGCTCTCGTAATGCAACAACACGCGGCATGAAGGCTATTGTTCTCCAGATCTTCAGGCGCAATTCCACCGAAAGGCGCGGAAAACAAGTGAAATTTTCGAGCTTTTTGCGGGGCTCCATATCAGATGCACTAGCATAATGGATAGGCTTGGTTTCATTTTCATCACCATTTCTGATTTGACGGATGGGCGTAGGTCGAAGGTTTATAGACAAAATATCTGCAGTCTCTTCCTCAGCCGCCGATGTGACATCTTCGAGACCTGCTAAAAAGTTGGTCGCGTTGTAGTTGCCAGTCGCCCCGTTGTGATTCATCTTGCCAAAAATACGGGTAATCTTTGAGGTTGTTGTCGAAGATATAAGAGAATAATGTGAAGCTGGGTCTTAGGTCACACTTGCAGGTTGCAAGTTTAAGATTAGGTAGTCTTTATTATGGGTCAAAGAGAAGGAGTGGAAACGGACTAAATTTATAAGTCTGAGGAGGGGTGAGTTTTACAAGTACGAAATGAGGGCCTTAATTATGCCCCAAGGATGTGGTCTTCCTTAAATATAAGTCTTAACCCTTTAATAACAGTAAATACGAGGTTACAATGGACTGAGAATGTGGAAGTGAATTCGGGCGGGTTTGAATATCAAAAGTAAAACTACCCTTGAGTTTTTTTAATTCAGAAGAAGCCTAAAACTACATACAAAGACGTGTGACTTTTGTATTATGAATGTGCAAAGAAGAATGGTGCGGTATATCACCATTCCACATCTACGAAACCAAGAAGATTGGGTGAAATCTATTCCGGAGTTACAGCCTTTCTTGCCCTTCAAAGTTTAAATTATATTTTCATTCTCTAGTAATGATCCCATAAAAATACTAGATACTTATATCTTCATTACACGTATACAGAAGAATCCTAACCACTAGCCTCTCCTCAAAAAGTATTCCGTAGATATTTACTCGGAATCCCACACACTTCCACCGTACACCATACCAACTTACATCTCAAATCCCTTTCCAATTACTCAAAAGACCCATGACACAAATAATTAGCCACCATGTTCCATTAGCTGAAAGGTTCGAGCTCCAAGCAATCTGAGCTAAAAGGAAAATCGTCCATCGGCCCATTTTCATCAAAGAATTCATTCGCTTAAAATGAAAATCGCCGATAAGCTTCTCATGATGTACCAAATGCTCTTGCTTTTTCAAATTCACCAATTCTAAGGTACAACGTGCAAAAGATGTATCTAGGGTCCATATTTAATTATTTTCTTGCGGCTGAGATGGGTCGAGTCTGGCAACAAAAATCACTCATTCGATATTTATGTACATCATGACTAGCATTAATCCCCAAAAACCTACATATTCCTGATCTAGAATCAGCAAATCAATAGCGATACTCCGAATTGAACGAAGAGGAAAAAGTATTTCCTCGTTCCTTGTCTTCATGTGCCAGAGTGAGTTCTCGGTCCTGCAATCCTCAAGATACATAATATTAGTTCCTTCATCACGGGCTTTGAATAAAAGTCATCATACCATGATAAACCTGCGACCAGGTGTCCTCGAGTGTAACCCTGGCCAGTAAGGGGGTCTTCTTCAAGGATATCCATTTCAACATTCGCTGGCGATGACGGTATTTTGGGATCACTCGCACATTTTTTGTTCTCATACTCGGCCTCTTCCGCTGTGATGCGGATTATGTCATTGATTCCAGCCTTCTACATTCTCTTCATTATAACTAATGCAAGATTCCCATTTGACTTTGTGTTTGGGATGCTTTTCATTCCAAATATTGTGGAAAAGGATTTAGCTTTTAGTCCCTCATCTAGGTATGGTAGGAAACTGTTCCGCTATGATCTGTAGACTGCAAAGATTGTAATAAAGTTCCGTATTACTAGCTGCTCCATCTGACGGATTCTCTCCACGGCACATGGTGATAGAAGTGGCAACTCATTTGTAAAGAAGTTAGATCGAGCTGTGACGAAATATCTTTATGCCAATTCAGGCTTGTAGTAGGACTCCAGGTGTCGAAAATGAAGAAAATTTGTGAGTAGGAAAGACAAAACTTTTGCCTAGGATACGTATTTGAATATTTAACAAGTAAAACCCGAAATTGTTCGTTTATCTCATCTATACAAAGAGAAGAGGTTCTGATATGAAAATAACCATATCATCAAGGCCTGGTGGGCCTTGTGAATGCGAAGACAACGAATTATATGACGTTTTTTGATGATTTTGTTCTACAGCCTTGAATTTCTATTACTCAACTCCTGGAAAGCGTTTCCAAAAGACTGATCCATTGAAAAAGACCATCATAGATGTAGAAAAGACATCAATTGGAAAAGGATTGGCGAGGTTCATCAGAGGTTCGCTTGCGACATTAACATTGGATTTTTAGTGTATGGCATTTTGGCGATTTTGAGATTAATGCAGTGAATTTTGTGCTGCTAAAAAAAGAAAGAGGTGGTGAAATGTCGGTTTTATGAAGATTTCCGTGGTAAAACTCTGCGTGAACGCCAGGTTGTTAGTATGTCAATATTTGGTTCCGATCTAACTATATAATTTTATGGATAGGTGTAAAATGTAATCGAAAATTCTATTTCACCAAAAGATTGTTCTAAAAGTCCATTATCGACGGCTAAGTTATTGAGATGATATATAATTGGGTACACCTTCTTCCGAAATATCTTCACTGATGTCGTTGCCTTCGCTTAGATCAGTACTAAAAAGGAGAGTTAGATCCACGTGATTCTATTCATCACATGATATTGTCGCCCCGGATCATCTCTTGACCGAGAGTGCAGCTGCAACCTCGTATGTTCCAACCATTCTAATGAGGATTACACAGACAGCCATGGTAACTCCAAGCTTTTTCAGCCCATCAGTTCGACTAGAGCTATCATCTCTTTTATCCAAGCGCTAACGGATTTGCGGCCTCGAAGCTCCATCTCTGCTAATGAATAAACCACATACCTAAGTGTATCTCTCTCGAAGCACCATTCCATTTGCTGGAGAAGATCTTGATCAATAAATCGTCATCTACTTGACACTATGTATTCTATTTCATTTGAATCAGAATTTACGGGTTTGGGAAGGGATTATCATTGGCGTGTATCGGTGACGAAACATGACAAAACGATTTCTTATATTTTCATCGGTCTATTTCTCGTGATTGTTATTTTGTTTCTGATTGGAAAGCTTTGAGAGTTTAGAGCTTACTGGGAAATGATTATTAGTGTCCGTCAATTGAGCTTAATAGGATATAAGTGAGGATTTTGAAATTTCCTGATCGTAATGGAGTTACCAGCCTTGTCCCGGTTTTTTTGGTGCCTCACTGTGTACTCTCTCTTTCTGTGTTCTTGCTATTGTTTACTAACTATTTCTGCCCGTTGCTCCACGGAATCTCATCATGAAACAACCTATTCCAATTTCTGCCAGCTCAGCAATACAATATTCGGGCTGCTCAACCATAAAATTTTGCGGTCCCCGCCACTTCTTCCTCATCTACGACCATAACTTCTCCTCGAGTTTTCTATACATCTTCAGCATCCTCCAGCTCCAGTAGCTTTAGATAGCACAATCCAAATCGGGCAGATTTAGCTTGCAATAGTATCTTCATGGAAATTACCTTTTCTCGAAGTTTTGGCATACCACCGGGAAATTACACACCAGCAGCCTTCGCAACAGGTTCGAGCAAATCTCATAATGCATTTAAACACGATATACGAGGCGAGGTGTTCCATTATCTGGCTGCTGTTCTTATCAGGGACAGCCAAGTGTTTGAAGTACGACTCCAGGGCCAACACAAAGTGGCATTCAAAGCGGACACATGAAAATATGTTCGCATATGCAACCCAATGAAACCACCCGAGAGATGATATTCGAATTTCCCCGCAGGACTGCTGAGTTTTCCGACATCCCATACTACTTTACGGCGATATAACTGAGTTTTCGGATACTCAGACGACTACTTCAAGCTCTGTCCAGCACAAATGTTTGTTCTATTTCTTCTAGAGTGGGGATTACCACCTCCTTCCCATCTGCATCTAGTGTCCGGAGAATGAGCAGGCCCACAATCATTGTCTTTTACCACAAGCGTTATTCTCTCTCGCACGCAATCCGCAAGTAGCCCGTCAATCATTTATTCGCAACCTGCCTTGGTGCCAATAATTTGGTCATTTATCTTTCGAGAAGTACAAGTTCTTATCAATGGATAAATAGCTCATTTGCAGCAGCCTTCCCCGGTGTTATTACCAAATACGTCGCTCCTGGATGGACTATATTTTTGCGATCGACTTACTTTAACTAAGGAGTAGGGAGCTAGTATTACACTCTATTACCAATGCAAGCGATTCCAACATTCTACACGTTGGGTTGGAAGGTGTTAGTCGTGGTATGGCGGTAACATTCGTGTTTTTCAGAGATGAAAGATTCTAATTGACTAGCTACAGCAATGTGTTTGTGGTTGGATGAAGAGGAGGCATTAAGACAAGGAGCAATGTGCACGTGGATATCAAGTCAACTACCTCTTCATATCTCAATTCCCGACCACAAGTTCAATGAAATGAAAGAAGACGTTGACGCACACTACCTCACTCCGAAAGACACTTACCATTTCTTCCACCACCAAAACTCGAGATGGAAGTCGAAATTGCACATGGATTCAAATAATTCGCAAAAGAATGACGGAAAAATCCAATGACTAGAACGGATTCTTCTGCAGGACTAACTCCCTATCCAAACACGCACTCCTACCCCTATCTTCTCATATTACAACCACCAACACATCCGATAGAAGTGGATAATTCATTACAGATGTCTGTCACCCAGAAAACACTGCCGTGACGCTCCTCTTCCCCTTGCCGCCCGATGCACTATCACATATTCAAGGAATCTCGCATTGGTTTGGGAAGTGGTAGTTTGCGGGGCTGAGAGCTGGTGGAATAGTACGGGTTATGTAACAGTCATGTTTTTTCAATCTCCTAACAAAGGAACTCCTACCTCTTGGGAATTACGTCGCATCACATCAAAAACGACAATGGGGAGAGTGAAGATGTTGAAATAGTGATGCACCTGGATACAGAGTTTTATGATGCGAAAACCGCGGCTATGAATGGATTGTTAGGCATCATATGGAGAAATTTGGTTCATGGGTAGATTGGGGCGCATAATGTGCTGTATTTCCGGTCGGGAAGCGTCAAGTGGGGAACAGGGAAGATATGCTGGAGGAACAGTTCTAGAATTCTTGCAGTGTGATTGGGGGTATGGATATAAAGCACGGTACTGTTATTTTCCAAACTACATACAATGAATATCAGTTCTTTTGATCAGAGGAGCTTTCATCTCACTTCGTCGTCAACATAATGTCCCGCACTACATGCCTGTTTTCCGCGTTTGTTTCAATCTAGTGATTTCTTCCTAACTACTTACCAGCTTTTACATTATTTTCATCATTTTCCACTAGCATATATACTTCCACTTTCTTTACAAGAGATATATCTTCATCTGGAACTTAGATTACAAAAAGCGGCGTGACGATGACCTGGGTAAATAACTAGATAAGTTCGATGATGCGGATATAACGAACATATCATTTATATTTTGGCACAATAGGAACATATGCATACTCATCCTTTCTTTAATCTTGAAATCATCATAAGATCGTATAATTTCCTCAATCTTCTTTACATCTTTCCACCTTTTTAACTATTTAACTATTTAACTTTCCAGCTGCCAGCTGGCGGAATCAGTAATACAACGACGATTCGCTACTCACTCGCTTCTCCTTCTCTCCGTTCTCCCCCCTCCACCCAAACAACATCCCCCCAAATATCCACACAAACTAAAACTCACAACACAATACTACCCATCTCCATCTCCATCACATACAATCCTATCCTACAATTCTTCTCCCCAGCCCCAACCCAATCTCACTATTTACCTACCTATCATTGTCTCACTCACTTATTATTCATACCTCATTTATATCTCATCTCCAGATATACTATCATTTTATTCTACTGTCCATCCCACCATCTCACCATCCCATCACCCATCCTTCATTCTTTCCATACCCCCTCATCCTCCAATCCTCATCTCTATTTTATGTATCAATTAAACTTTCTTTTATCACATTATGTCATCCACATACCACTCATCAACACATATACACGTATACATACACACAAAACCCAATCCACTCACTCCAACACTCATTACCGCCCTACAATCTCCCTTCAATCTAGAAATCTAATCAATATCAACTCGTGCTTTGTCTACTTACCCTTCCTAATTAGTAAGATTACAAAATATATATACATCTATTATCCACCTACTCTTTCCCAAAACTTCAACCGCTGAATCATCCGGTTTATAAGATTGAAATGTTATATTATCTACTGTACTCTGTATTGTTAAACTATATCCACTCATCTAAACTCACACCTGAATAAACGACCCCTCTCTCCATCATGCGAATGAAGTAAGATTATTTTAAATCTACAATATCATGTAACAAATAAAAAATCTCACATTCCAATCAAAACCCTCCTTATCTTCTATTTCTCATTTCCTATTTCCTATTTCCCATTTCCCATTCCCAAATAAATTATAATCTTACTATTCATAAGCTAACCAGAGCTATATAATCAATTGTAAAAAAGCAAACTCAACTCTGACGCCAAAGCCATGTCTATGTATACACAAGTTGTAACTCCCTTATCCATTTATCCGTTCAGGAAAATGTATAGGGAAAGTGTGTGAACGAAGTGAATGACTTCAATTCAATTACTACTGTAATAAAGAACTAAGCGAACGCGAAAGAGACTAGCTCTTTTAGTAAGTCTATATAAGACTTACTACTTTCAATATGTAGCTAGCTCTTTAGACAGAATACAATTAGACATACAGGACCTACGTAATCCGTGGGTGCTACGTCTTCCGTATCCTTCTCGTACCAACAGAAAGTGATTCCGAGAAATGGAAAAAATTGACGCCCGACTCCACGCTCAAGGATAAATCCTAACCGAACACTTACATATACATACATACAAACGCCGCACCAACCATCACAACACTCATCACCTCTCTTCTAAACACACCCACACACACTACTTAACCCTCGCCATAATAGTTTCCCCACCCCTCTCCATATCCCCCACCACAAGCCCCCACCTCTCCTTAACCCCCTTCAACATCCCCCTATCAAAATCATCTCTAGCCCTCAAAACCGCCTCTACCCATCCCAATCCCGCATCCCAATATTCCCTCTTAAATCCCTCTACTACATCCGGCACTGCCGATTTTTCACATTCCAGAATCTCCAGGAAACTTTGCGTTACCGCCCATTTACCTACTACGATACCTTTAACTTCTTCCGTTAGATATGGGTTACCATTGAAAAATTCGAAAGCCGTTGATACGTCGTTGAAGATTTTATCTTTGAATGGATCGTTTCTCTTGAATTTTGCGCCTTTGTTGCGGACGCAGCCGAGATATTGGATGAGAAGTTCAATGGCGAGTTCTTCGATGAAGATATCGAGGAGGGAATGATGAAGGACGTTTTTATAATCATTAATATATTCCTCAAAGGTAACAATCATTTGTTTCATCGCTGTATTCGTATACCATTTTGATGTGAAGAAATCCGGCATGACGGTTTTGAAATCGACGGCAAAGATTAAAGTTGCGAATTTGGATATGCAATGAGTACTTAAATCGACATATCCATCATTCAAACTGGTGATCTCAATATCCACTCGCTCGAGATATGTACTTGAGACAAGAGGTTCGAATTTTTGTCTAAAGCTTGTGAGGTATCCAAATCGTCCCTCATCTTCATTATCATCGATACAAGCAATTTGATCATTAGCAGTAGCAACAAGCCAATCCTGCAAAGCTTGAAACCCCTCAAGTTCGGTCGTTGCGTTGAAATATCTCGCAGCTTCAATATCGAGCATTTCCTGCCATGTTTGTTGACGAGTCTTCAGACGTACGATCATAATATCGACAACTCCTTCGGTGACATCCATTCTCTGGGAATTACCTGCAGCATCTACTTGTTCACGTAACATACGCCACATATCGACCAAGTTCTTCGTTCGGAAATATCCATATTCATCCTGATCCAAGTTCGAACCATCCACATTCCTCTCGTCGAAATCTTTCTTTTCCGTTTTGAAAATACGATCTAGCCATTGATCCAAGAACTTGATAATGAGTTGTCTGAAATCTCTCACCAATTCAGTTTCTCTTCCATCCAAAACTTCCGGCTGTAATTCATCCTTCTTAAACCCTAACTTGTTCATTTTTGTGTAGTACTTTTCCGGCCAGTTCAAAATCGCCAACATATTTGCTGAACTTGTATCCGGATCATTAATCATGCCAATAAGAAAATCATGCATCAATTGATGATAAATTTTCCCATAAGTCTTGAGAATCTTCCATTTCTTCGGCATCAATGGTACCATCCCCTGCTTTACCGCATTCAAATCATTGAAGAACCATCTCAGCCCCTTCTCCAACTTTGTTGGATCCTCCAAGAATGCTTGTTTCGTTCCTTCAAGATTCCCTTCCGCCTTAAGTTTAATGGCCATCAAAAACTTCTCCTTATATCCTCTCGTACTCTTGGCCCCATCCGTGATACTCTTAAATCTCGCTGCCATCTCCTTATGATCCTTCAACGCCTCTTGCAACGCCATAACCCTTTTATCACTCTTCTCCTCCGCCTCAATAACCACCGCTAATCTCACCACCAAACTACTATTTCCCTGCACAACCACCTCTATCAAATTTAGAGCCACTTTCCCAATATTTTCATCAAACCAATCAATCGTATCATCCAACCTCGCAAAATAATCCTCCAACGTCCCCTGTAATCCCGGATCATCAGCCCTCAATATCTGTTCCATAGCATCATCCCTAATATTTCTCAACTGCGTCAATTCATAATGAATCGCCAACAAATTCCCCATATTATCCTCATCCCTATCATCCTCTTCGAGTAATCCCTCCACCCGTGTCAACCTCTCATTAAAATCCACCAAATTCTTCCGCATCGTTTCCACCGCCATAAAATTCCTATGCGTCTGGCTCACCAGGTTAATATTCGGGAAATCTTTAATCATATTTTGTGCCTCGGCGCATAATTTATCAATCTTCATCATCTCATCCTTAATAAGTTGAACGGTTCGTTGACCATCGGTAATACCGTGCATTCCAGCTTGAGTTACTTCGAGTTGTTCTTTAAGACCAGATCGTAGTTGTGAATCGACGGCCGATTTCTTGCGTGTGTATTCGAGTTTTAGGGCGGGGATTTTGTCCAGATCATCGGGGTGGTGAAGGAGGTCGGAGAGCTTGATGGAGGATACGTCCATTGTCATTTTGACTTTGAGTTTGAGCTGTGAGAGCTCTAGATGGAAGGGAGTAGGTGTTATGCGCGCAGTGGAAAATTAAGACCAAGTGGAAGAGTATTGCTCTCGCAGAGCTTTATTAAAAATTGGAAATCCCCGAGAAACGATTCATAGAAGTTAATCATAAATCTGCGCAATAGATAGAAAGTTCAATGCTGTATGAGGTATGCGAGCATTGTCCAAAACGAGGACTAGTGTGTTACGTATCGGTGGAAAGAATTACCGATGCCGATAATCCTTGTTTGATATTCACGATTATTTCTCCGAATTGAACTTTTGAAGTATCGGCGACGGTGATCTACAGAGCAGAACAAGTCATTGAATTATGAGCTGTTGATCATAAGGTATGTATTCTGTCCAGTACCCTTCTTGCTGTCTATCTGGGTGCTGTAGTTCCCAATTTTTATTCCTTTGCCATCATTCAATCCTCGTCCATCAACAATAACCCCTCTAACCTCTACTACCACAGACAACTATAACCACAATCACAAAGACACCACATCACCAGCACCCATAATGTCCACCACTACCGCCGCCCCTTTAACACGCACCCTCCTCTCCTCTAACAAACTCTCCCCCACCCTCCGCCAAATCGGCAAGAACGCTCCCAAATCCATTTCCAAAACATCACCCTCCTCCTCATCAAAACCCGCCTTCGTCCAAAAGCCCTGGCAAACCTCTGCCCCTCCCACCCCAACCTCTTACTTCCGCATAACACTCACACGTTCCTCAATTGGTCTCCCCAAGAAATCCTCGCGCGTGTTGAAATTTCTCGGGCTGCATAAACGAACAGCTTCTGTGTATCATCCTGTTTCTTCGGATATAGCGGGTCAGATTATGAAGGTTAAGGAATTGGTGACGGTGGAGGAGACGAAGGAGAAGATGAGTAAGAGACAAGAGAGGGAAAGAAGGAGGCCGGAAGCGGGTTTTTTTGTTGAGAGGGAGGTACAGGCAGAGTTGATGGTTTGAGGGAGTGGGAAGGGTTTACGAAATGGGAATTGAGGAATGAAGATGCTGTAGGAAGATAGGATGCGATGGTCAGGGAGGAGATTAGGATTGTGATGCAAGGAATTAAAGGGCGATACCATATATGAATCTCCATGCGCTCATTGAGCATAGAAGGCTAGTTTGGTCACATCAGGGTTGCGATTGAGATAGGGATTATCTTCGTTGTGTGCGAGGAATCTACACAAATACTAGCCAATAATACCACTCTAGATACTTGTTGTCAAACAGTTACGATCTTCTTTGTCTCCCTCCCTTTACTTACCCTTCCAGCGATAAACCATGCGAAACTGATCTCCTACCTCCCGCTCTTCACCTACCCACCCCTAAGCATCAAAAGAAGCAATAATTCTCAGTTGGGGTTCATATATTATATATACCCAAACCCATAGCCACAAACAAACAAACAAACAAACATTCCCGCACAAACCTAGGGATTAGAACATTGCCAGAGATACGTGGAATAGGCGATATACATCACATAAGAAACCTAGCTCATCTCTTCGTAAGGAGTATTAAAGTATCGTAAGGTATATGCATCATAAGTCTAAACTACCAGCCCCAGTCTAAGGGCAAGGTCAACCACAAGGACCTGAACATAAGCAAATATCTGCCATCCATGCCACCATCTATTGGAATGCATTATGCTGCATCCATGCATGGTTTGTCCATATGTTTATGCTCTTATCTCTCTGCTGGTCTTCTCATCCATTCATTCATGCTTTCTTGCTTGCAAATTACTTCTTCCCCACTGAATGGCTCTCGCAGAAAGGACTACTAGACATTCCTCAACTTTCCTCATCGAATCTCCGCTCCCCTGCACTGCAACACAAGATCCACCAGTACAGGAAACAAAAGCCAAAAATTAATGAATCAAGCGCCATTCTCCAATCCATGCTATGATACACCTTCAACCATCCATTCATATTTGAATCTCTTCATCCATATTATATAGCTTCAGCTATCTAATTGTTGCTACGAGCTTTGTCAACATATTCTGCACCAGGGGTTTCGTATTCGTTGACGAAGTAATCTTTAGCATTTTTGCCAATCCAGCTTGTCAACTTGCTAAGTTCTTCTCTGAGACGATTGACAGATTGAAGGTCCATATTGGTTTGAGCGATGAGTTCAGGGAGAGTAACTATGAATTATTAGTAAAGATGTTATTATGGAAGGAAATGATAATCTTACCCAAGAGACGACATAAGTGTTCGGCACCATATGTATCACTTGCACATGTTTGCGGACATGCGTCACTATCCCACAATTGTCGAAAATCAGTATATTGTTGTCGTTCAAATCTAAATGGGATTAGTAAAGTCAAAAGATGAAGTATTCTCAGGAACGACATACCTGTAAAGAAGAATGCGACCAAGACATCTCTCAAAATATTCTTTCAAACCAGCAACAATCTCTTCCAAGATGTCTGCTTGTGCACTTCCAACAGGTCGCTTTGGTTTTTCAAACTCGAGCCAATCATTTAATATTTGATCGACAGGTTTCTTATGTGGCAATGGTACAAGTTGTTGATTCTTGGTAACGTTCTCCCAATCATCAACGAGAATTGCTTTAATATGATCAGGAATAACAAGGTTGATGGATGGTCGGTTGTGAAAGTTCTCTTCCTGTAAATAGTTAAAATTACGTTTCACCATCACAATGTTCGTTTTCGCAATGTGAGGTAACATCTTCTTGGTGGTTTTGACAAGACGGACTCTGACTTCAGAGTTGTTGGTCATTCCTTGGGCAAAATGAACTTTCTTTTCAGTTGTGACCCCAGTGGTCTTTGCAGGGGTCTTCTTGAGCGAAGGCTTTGGAAGAGCCTTCTTAAGAGTGAGCTTAAGTCTCTTCGGAGCAGGCTTCATAATCTCTGCTATAGCAGCTTCGTCATATGAGAGAGGAAATAGCCTCTTTCGTTTTAATCGTGCAGGAGGTAATTTATTGTCGTCGAATAATCGTCCAGCGATAGGATTGATCTGTCCAGGCTCATATTTATCATAGTATTGATGCAATGACTTGGTGTCAGTGCCGTTTTTTATGTGAGCTTGGAGTTTAGGATGGACTGGCGGTGGTTTCTGATTTGGTGTGGAGACGTAGCTGGATTTGTCTGGTCGATATGTCTCAGGATTTCGAATAGAATTATTGACAATGAATTGAAATTTTGCCTTGGGTGGTCGTGCATCCAAATTGGTCTTAAGAACCATAGAATCGTCATCAAGAAATTTCATGACATCCCAATGCTCGCTCTTAGGATTGGCCCAGTCTGGATTCTTTCCAGGCATTCTTGATTTAGGTTTGGTGATCTTCAAGTTGCCAGAGTCAATGATTGAGCGATCATACGGCTTCGGTGGACAGCGTTCTCTTGCACTTCTCCGAACACCAGGTGTTGGTACAGGTACACTGTTGACTACCTTGACCCTTGCCTTGGTCTTTTTTTGTCCCTAAATAATGAGTGACTGAGTTATTGATGGAAAAGGGGTGTGGACTTACATTGATAGCTTCAGGTTCCTTGGTTTTATCTTGAAGAGCTGGAATTAAATTTCCCGATTTCTTCGCGAGAGGTATCGCACGAGGCTTCAAACCTGGTACAGTAGTAGAGCCCATCTTCGATGAATGTTTTAAGAAAGGCTTGAAGTGGTATTTGATGTTGTCTGTTGATGAACTTGGTGTCGTGATTGATTGCAGAGGGCTTTTTGAGAGATTGAATACTTGGAAGTGTGATTCAAAGAGCGGAGTAAGAGAATATAATCAAATATTGGTAGCGATCCAAAGCAAAAGAAAAGCCTTTAATGCTCAGCAATAAGGGACTTCTTATTTTGTTGTGCTGATGCTGTGAAATGATTGTATTGATGGAAATCAATTTGTATTGTTGAAGTGTTTGCGCGAGTTTTGAGAATAGAGTTGAGCAGAAGAGGAACGGTTTTTCCGAAAGTGGCAAGCGAAAAGTCCAAGTTTTGAGAAGGTCAAACCAAGTATGGTGAAAACACCTCCCATCCAAACATTTTATCTCCAAAAACAACTTGGATAGGATTTATGGTCAAGATGGTATAACATCCATAGCAAAACCACCAGAAGAATGAAAAGAAGTGAATTGGATAGATGATGTAGAAATAATTGAGGATTGAGGATAACAGGATGTAAAAGGGTAATGAAAGTCGGAGTGTTGGAATGTCTGAATGTCTGAATGTTTGGATGTTTGGATGTTTGAATGTTTGAAATGTCCGAATGAATAAGACGAATAAAATGATCGACTTACTTGTTCCAAATCATAATCACGATTTCTTCTTGGACCACCTCTTCCACCTCCTTGAGCTGCGACACTCGCATGTCTCTCTTCACTACCACGACCCGAACCAAAATCCGATCCATTCGTTCGACCTCCAAGTTTCTTTCCACCTGCTGAGGTTGCGGATTTGGGCTTCTGGTTCAACTTCTTCATCTCTTGATGAAGTTGAGCAGCCAATTCTTTATTATCTTCATTAAACTTCATTACTCGATCTTGCGGTACCCAGTCATCCCATCTATTTTGGTTATCATGGTTAGATTTTCGTTCTTTTTCTTTTCTTTCTTCTTCTTTTTCTGCCTTGTCTGCTTTCTCTGCTTTGGCTATATTGACATCCGCATCTGCTAAGGTACGGACACGACTCCGAAGGGTACGTGGCGGCTTTTGAGGGGAGGTTTTGGGCATCCTGATGGATATGATGGGTATATGATGATAAAGGAGAAAATTGGAATTAAGAGAGATTGCTTGGATTTGGAAGTGATTTTAGTTGTTTGAATTGTACATCGGCAGTTGAAGATTTGGAGATTTGAAGAGTCGAATATCTAACATGTTCCAAACTTCAAAGCTTCATTGGGTAGGATTAGGTACTCAGCTATCTCGCTCGCTCGCTACATTACCAGCTTTGGAAGTAGCCAAAAGACGAGTACAGTTCGTTCTTTCACTTCCTTCTCTCTCATTCTCCTCAATGTCTCCCTCCATCATGATACTAGGTAGTCAGATGGACAAATGGACAAAAATGAAAGGCTCGAGCATTTCCATTAATTCACAAATTTAAATTCAAATTTTAACTTACGTTGCTTTCCATCTAATCACGAGAATTATGTTAACAGATTTTCTTTTTTTTTTTTTACACAAAGACTGATCGAGTCAAAACTAGGGAACTCCTTACCCCTTATAATGGATCTTGCATTGCCAGCTAGAACCATCTTCTGTTGGTCTAGTATCTAAGACTTTGGCCTCATACAACAAATCATGATGAAAGCAAAGGACTTTTTCATCTTTCGCATAAGGAGCGGCCGGTGGTCCAGATTTTGATGGTGCCATGATGTCCGATCTAAAAAGTGATTTTTTTTATATGAATGTAAAGAGTCAAGTATTGGTATTGGTGTTGTTGTTGCGATGCTAATGAGTAGAGTATAGAACTATTGGTGGCAAAGCGAGATGTTGATACTACCAAAGTTGTTGGGTTCTTTGAGACTTAGAAGATTTGTCGCGTGCAAATGATGAAATATGATGATGAAGAAAGGGAGTCTGATGAAATTAGAATTAGAAATAGTTTTCACATGTGCAGGAAGACAACCGAAAGAGCAAAGCAAGCAAGCGCGTTCTGCTGAACAAGGTACGTGTCACGCGTGTTTTAGTTTATGCACCCCAGAATATGTGTATTATTTCTATTTCTATTTCTATTTCTTTGTCTTTGTTACATTTTGACAAACGTTTACTCGAGTAACAATAAATCTTTATGTATTTGCGGTACAACCTCATTTTCTTTGGTTTATTTTCCTCCTCAGAACCCTCAGAACTTTACATGGTTCTCCCTTGACTCTTGACTTATGGAACATTGAACTTCCGCAATCAGGGCCTAGTTTCGTTTCTTCAACCTTCAACCCCTCCAAAATCAATTCGCAGACAGCTGTCGCAGGAAACCATTTGCATAGCTCTAGACCGGTCTATCAAAGGTTGAAGTCAACGAATGGACTATCGCTGCACCTAACTTCAACTCACCTCCGCAAAGCAACAATAGAACTGATGAAGGTATTCACCCAAGTCTGTCAGTCAGTTTACAAAAGCGACACTATACTATCTGAAGAACTATCTACCTGGCTCCGAAGCTATCTAGGGAGAAAAGTACTTAGAACTTGACAACTCTAGATCAACATTGTTTCACAAAATCCAAATTGATTTACGAAAGAGAACCATCCAAAAATTTATCCCGACAGATCTCAATTGAGCTCCGCCAATTCCAAACTCACCAAATTAGATTTAATACCTAGGACTCTTTCTAGTTTCCCTCCTCCTGCAATGCCACCAACCGAATCCACAATCCTGACCAACTTCCTCCTCCCTCCCGCCTCTCTCCCAACGATCATCTCTCTCCAATCCTTTACATCCCTCTTTCCTCGCTCTCAACAATCATCCCCTGCAATCCGCACCCTCTATCGAGATCTCCAACATCAGCGCGCACAATTAGTCGATAAAGTTACTGCGAACATCGAACAAGAAGTACGACGTGGAAAAGCAATGGAAAGAGCTGTTGTAAGGGGTCGAAGACAAGATGAGAGAACTGCGCAAGACGACGAGGTGGACATTGAACGTGCTGTTAGTCTTTCCCTTCCCTACTCTTCACTTTCACTCAAACTCCAAGTCTAACTAACACCTCCTCCGCCAGCTTTTCCACCAAACCCAAAACCTCCCCCACTCAATACCTCACTCCCTGCACTCCATCATCCCAGCCCTCAGCTCCGCAGTCGAAGACCTAGAAGATGAGATCGCACGCCTAGATACAGAAGCCGAAGAACTAGTTGCTGAAATGCAGAATACAGTTGGTGGGTTAAGTGATTTGCGCTATGGACGATTGGCAAATACAGGATTAAGGGCGCAGGTACTAGAGGGATTGGAAAGAGTCGAGGAGGCTGCGGGAGGAAAGTGACGGCTTGATTGTGAGGTATAAGGATTTTGTGCAGTGAGAGATGAGGGCTATAGGATAGCGAAAGGAAAAAGTATACTCGGTCAATCGATGCGCGCAGTAGGAACGATAGGTCTTCGGAGCCGCGGTCGGTGGCAGTGCATGTTCTGCGCACTCGGGGGACTGCCGGAGCTGAAAACCGGCTTTAATATATGAGCAGTGGAAGATATGTCTCCCTAGAGGCTGTGTCGCACTGTATAATGGATTCTAGCGCGTGAACTCTGTGGGGGATATCTTCATATGAAGAACACCAGGGAAGATGAGCACATCACAGATACAGCTCATAAACATGATCAACATGGCATAGATGAGATGTCCGGAGTTAAAGAGGCGCAATATTATGTTGGTTATGGTACCCATTTCCCAATTCATTAAATTTGTTCAGATAAGCTACATAAATTGTATTCCGCCCACTAACGATTGAGAAAATGCATTGTATCTAAGAATTAGATCCTCCTCTGCAATCTCTCCAAATATTTGTTTCTGACATAAATCTCTTAATAGGTAACTCCGTCTCCAGCTGGAGCGGCGCGTGGACGAGCTCCAGCAGCTGCTGGTCCTTGAGGACCAAGAGTTCGCTTGCTCCTATATTTATTGTTAGCTGCTTCATTAAGAGTATATAGCTTCAATGCGGGGAAACTTACATGATGGTTCTGCTCATGAATGAAATACCGATCATGAACATCCAGCTGGGAACAATGGTGAAGAACCAAAGTACATATCCAACTGGAACCGCAGCACCATATTGCGCAAGCTGTCCATCAAAAGGATGGAACCAACCCTCATAAGGTGCCTTCTTCTTGTATGACTTTGTCGCATGTAAATCCGTGAATGTTGTAACGGTTGTTGAAGTAGTATTCAATGGAATGGTGATAATAGGAACCGGTGAGCCTGCAGCCCCGACATCCATGGTCCATAAATGTGGTGGTCCTGCTCCCCATGAATTACACAGAACGGGTTGTTCGTCACAATTCAAGAGAGCCATATGAGGCGCCGTAGGATCGAGAGCGAAGATCGCAGCAGACTCATTGAATCCCTTTTCGACTTTACCGCAGAGACCGTAACAGGTTTTGTTTCCGCCGGTGGTTAAAACCCACCATTCTTGAGGCAGCGAGGACTCTGGGGTGACGCTTCCGCGGATGGTTTCTTGCCAGGAGTCGAGGGTTAGGTGGTGGATTTTCGCTTCGCCTACTTTTGCAGCGGCGGCTTCGATGGGAGATTCGGATGAGGCTGATGGGATATACGATTGAAGTTTGCCGAACCAGTGTTGGGCTTGGGCTTTGGCCTGCTCGAGGGGAGATTCTTGGGTTGCGGCTAGGAGGGGAAGGGCCAGGATGGAAACGGTTGAAATGCGCATTTTTGCGATTGCTGTTAAATTTTATGACTGTGAGTTTGAGATTGAGATAAATCGAAAGTGGAGAGACTTTAGACAGGTCTTTTTATTTGAAAAGCTTCTGCAATTAGGTTTCAGATCTGCTCTAATTCGCAATCACAAATTGAATGCGCCGCGATAACACTTTCGCGAATGAGCTGACCCCAATCAAACTTAAAAAATGAGAGACCAAAATATATATTGTGAATGAGGAAATGATTACAATGAATGTAACGGTTGTGAAGATTGTAAAGATTTACCGTTTGCAGTGAAGGATAGAGAAGTGCACAAAAGTGTGATTGATGAGGCCAGATGGGTTGATAAGTATATATACTAGGTATGGTGGTAGTAAATGTTGCCTTCTCTGGACTTTCACTTAAAAGAAGCTCCACAGCTATTTGAAGGGGAATGGGATGAACGGGAGGTGGAAAAACCAATCAAAGTGAATAATCACCCCAGCTTGCTTACCACTAATCTCCTTCAGTATTGGTGCTAAAAGTGGATCTTATCGACATTCGCTAGCTACGGTCAACTCTGCACTCATGGTCTGATCGCTATCGATTATCAGAAACTTTTTTTTATCAGAAGCATTTTTGAAATTTTATTGAAGGAAAGGCGCAAAGAGCAATTAAGAAGTCTTTCACAATGTCTTTACAAGAGAAGCTCGACAAGATCCGTTCGCCGAAGCTTCAAAATCAACATCAGGTAAGTTCGTTGAGTTTTCAATTCTGCCATATATCTATGTTTCGTTGTGAACTTTACTGATATCAGCATGTAGACTGCAATTGTATTGTCTGCCGTTGAAGATACACTTAAAGATCAGAAAACAGAAGCCACTCCAACTGGATATTTTGCGGCATTATTGGCACTTCTGAGACAAGCGTGCCCTCAAAATGGAGAAGTTAACAAAGATTTAACTACTTCTGTTGTATATTTACTCGACATTATCACACCTTTTACCCCTCAACCACTTCTCCGATCAAAGTTCTCCCAAATCCTCGAAAATCTTGCCCCCGCCTTCGTATTACCAGAAGCAGATGCTCCTCTCCTCAGACCTTCGATAGGATGCCTCGAATCATTATTATCCGCGCAAGATTCCGCAGCATGGGAACTTTCAGTCAACGTAACTGGACCAAGAAGGGCGATTGCTGGATTATTGAATTTCGCCGTGGATCACAGACCTAAGATTAGAAAGCGTGCGCAAGAAGCATTGGCAAATGTTTTGAAAAATCCTCCGCCGAGTCCATCCCTCGATCATCCTGCGGCGGATATGTGTGCGGAGACTGCTTTGAGAAGTTTAAGTGACCTTGCGGCCCAATCGCATCAAGCCAGGAAACAGAGGAAAGCAAGCGCAACTGCAGAACATGAACCAGCTTTGATTCACGCATTACAATTAGTGAAGACTATCGCGGGAGCATCTGGAGGATGGCCGAGTAAGAAAATTGAGGCGTTGTGCGAGGTTTTATTGAATATTTCGAAATCAAGCAATGAATATTTGGCCATGACTTCGTTCGAAGTATTTGAGATGATATTTGAGAGTATGGCAAACGAGACTGCGACATCGAAGTTACCTCGACTTTTAGAAGTTATCTCTGAGTTGAGACCTTCTCAAAACGATTCTCAACTTCTCCCCCCTTGGATCGCTGTGTTATCGCGGGGTTATGATGTTTCTGCGCAACTCGAGCCAGAGGAGACTTTTGCAAAATTACCTGAACTTTTCACCATGATCTCCGGATTTATGTCATCTTCATCGCACAGCATTCGGGTATCTTCATCAGAATGTCTAATCTCATTAATGGCCAACTGTGTCCCAGAATCGGTTATTGCGGAGCCTTCCATATTTGACGAGAAAGTCCTCGAGAAGTTGGCAAAATGTGCAGTGGATCTTTTGAGTGTTAAATATCAAGCTGCTTGGATGGAAACGTTCAATGTTATGGGTTCCATGTTTGACGCTTTGAGATGGAGAGCAGATCCGATCTTGTCTGAAGTGGTTAGAACAATTGGTGAGCTGAGAGGTAGCGAGTCTTTCGCTGGCAAAAAGGAAGCGGATGAAATCCTTGGAAAAGCTATCAGAGCTATGGGACCAGAACGAGTTCTCAGCATCTTACCTCTCAACCTCGCTAAACCAAAGGCTGGACAACCTGGACGAGCCTGGATGTTGCCGATCCTACGAGACTATGTCAGTAATACGAATCTCCAACATTTCCGAACTGAACTTGAGCCATTGAGCCAAGCAATGTTACAACGGGTCAGTGAGCATGGAGCCGCCGAAAAGACGATGGATATCAAGATTTTCGAGACTATTGTGAAGCAAATCTGGGCTATTCTTCCCGGTTACTGTGACCTCCCATTGGATCTCACTGAAGCATTTGATATCAAGTTCGCAGAAATACTTGTAAACATTTTGTACGGGCAAGTTGATCTACGTTCAGATATTTGCAGAGCTTTACAGACTTTAGTAGAGTCTAACCAGGCGATCCTCGCCATTGAAGGAGAGGAAGACTTACTCCTCCAGAGTCGTGTTGCGAAGGCTGTGGCACAGAAGAACATTGAGCATTTGGCTACCTTCGCCAGTAATATGCTCTCTGTTTTGTTTAACGTTTACAATGAAACATTGCCACAGTTCAGAGGTTACATCTTGCAATGTATCAATGCGTTCCTTAGCATTACACCTGCTCAAGAACTTATGGAGACATTCGAACGAGTTAGTCAAGCATTGGGAACATCCCTCGCCGAAGCCGGTGCTCAAACCCAAGCAGAAAAGCAGAAACAAAGGCAACAAAATGCGGCTAACAAGATGCCACCAACGAGTCACAGTCTCATGGATTTGGTCATTACGATCTCAATTTACTTGCCAAGAGATAGTTTCAGCACTCTATTCAACATGGCAGCTCTTATCATTGTAAAAGATGACGACCCTCAACTTCAGAAGAAGGCTTATAAGCTTATTCCTCGACTTGCCGAGTCGGAAACTGGCAAGGCGGCACTGCAAGAACGTAGCACTGATCTTCAAGAACTTCTGTTGAACAGTGCCGAGAAAGTATCTACACCAGCAAAACGCGATCGTCTTGCCGCAATCTCTGTTCTTATTCCTTTCCTCCCAGCCGACTCTCTTCATTTCATCCCAGCAATTCTATCCGAGGTCGTCATCTCGTGCAAGGAAACAAATGAGCGTGCTCGTACTACAGCGTTCGACCTCCTCATTTTGATGGGAGAGAAGATCGCTTCGTCGTCCGGTGCTACAATCGACAACAGCAAAGTATCCCATATGCCCAATGATGCACCATCTGTAACCGCCACCCTCGAGGAATATTTCACCATGGTCAGTGCCGGTCTCGCCGGTAGCACACCCCACATGGTATCCGCATCTATCACAGCTCTTACTCGTATCCTCTACAACTTCCGCGAGTCTCTATCTCCCGAAACCGTTAGCGACCTTGTGCAAACTATGGATCTCTTCCTCACATCCAACAACCGTGAAATCGTTCGTAGCGTCCTTGGATTCGTAAAAGTTTGCGTCATCTCCTTGCCTTCTTCCCTTGTGCTTCCTCGTCTTGAAAGTCTCATTCCTAATCTGATGGTCTGGAGTCATGAGCATAAGGCTCATTTCAAGGCAAAGGTTAAGCACATTCTCGAACGCATGATTCGTCGTTTCGGCGTTGAGATTGTCAATAAATATTGTCCGGAGGAAGACAAAAAGCTCATCACCAATATCCGCAAGACCCGCGAGAGAAGAAAGAGAAATAAGGATGCGGCTAAGGAAGCGGGTGAAGATAGTGACGATGGAGAAACTGGTGGAAAGAGAAGAAACAAATTCGAAAACGAATATGATGAGGCTCTTCATGGCAGTGACTCTGAATCATCTGGTTCGGATGTATCAGACGATGAAGTCCTGGGTAAATCTCGAAAGAAGGGCGGTAAGAAGGCTGCAGGCGGGAACACATATATCGTGGAAGATGACGATGAACCCCTTGATTTGCTTGATCGTAAAGCACTTGGCAATATCTCATCTACCAAACCCGTAAAAGCGCGAACGATCACGAGAACCAAAGCAAAGATGGATCTGGATGGAAAATTGTTGCTGGGAGGTAATGATAGTGATGATGATGATCAAATGGTTATCGATACGCCGGCGGAAGAAGATGGTGGTGTGGGTGCCTATGTTCATGCATTGAAGGGAAGAGATGCGCCAAAGAAGGGTAGAGGCGGAAGACTTAAGTTTAGTAATCGAAAGGGTCAGGATGAGGATGATGAGATGGATGTTGATGAGGATGAGTTGAAAACAGTCAAGAAGAGTATTGGTGGTGATAGGGACAGGAATAGTAGGGGAAGAGGGAGGGGTGGAAGAGGTGGCGATAGGGGGAGAGGTGGTGGAAGAGGAGGTTTCAATAGTGGAAGGAGAGGTTTGGGTGAGGAGAAGAGATCTGGTGGTGGTGGAGGAGGTGGCGGTGGAAGGGTGATGAAGAGTCCGAGGGGACGTGGAAGGGGCAACGGTCATGGGAGGAGATAGGTTGTTTGAGTGAAAAGCCTAGAAGATGAGAAGGGTAATGAATTATAAAATAGCATTTGGATGGAGTTACGGATATCAAATGAATCAATGGTTTTTCAATACTTCTCGGATCTATCATAAATATCCTCTTCGCTGTGTAACTCTCGGATTTAGTAAATCAAGCGACACGGATCCTCCAATTAATCAGTAGGCATGATGAATACTCCATCAAATCCACTTCCACAGCACATTGACACACCCAACAAGGTCAAAAATACTACAAAAAGCTGCCGAGGTTGTGATATTGGTCTGTGCGCAATTATATACGCGATTTCGCGATGCAGCGCGACTTTGCCTATGTTTAATTGAAAACGCCCCAAGCCCTAGACAATCAAATTCTCTTACAAAATCCCAGGGACAGTTTTGTTTCGACGTCACACAAATTTTCTCTTTCGATATCTGCAATAAGAATTATACTTTTCCAAAAAGCCCTAAAGTTGATATTGCAGACAGACGTGCAACAATACCTTGGAAGGTGTTGAGGAAGCGAGGTGATTGGTTCCCAAAGTTACAAGGCTTGAGACGGAGGGAAAGTTGAAGCTTGGAGACAACTGAGGTACGACAACACAACATTCTTACGATAAAAATATGGCAGAGGAAGGAAAGCGTAGGAGATCGAGGCCATCGAGTTGGTGGGAGGTGCAGGAGGATGATACTGAAAATGTGGAGGTGGAAGGGAGCAGTCAACTCACAGCGCAATCGAACTCGCAAAGTCTGAATACAAATTCAAATACACCAGGTGGTGGAAATACGAAAAGGAAGGCGAAACCTTGGGTTCCAGCGGGTATGGGTCCACCAATTGAGAAAAGACGCGGACGGCCCTCCTCTAATTTAGGTTCTATGACTGCGAAACAAAAGGGAAGGAATGACGATGGAGAGAGGTACATTGAGGCGGAAGCTGAAGATCATGGTTTAAGGGAACAACAACAAATTCGAGATGATATCAAGCCAAGGAGTAGAAGGAAAGATACGAACAATACGAGAGAAGTAATGAGTGTGAATAGCAACACGGATGTAATCGAGACAGTGACTGCGACTAGTTCTTTAGCGCCGCAGAAGAAAAAGGGTAGGCCTCCTATTGGAGTTGTTAATCATAGAGTGGGAGACGAGCGATCAGGAAATGCTGCGACGGGAATCCGAAATAAGGGCGAGTCCAAGGCCAAGGCGCAGGATATGGAACTTAGGGAGAGAAGACGTGGAAGACCAGCGTTAGGGGATACAGATATCACAAACAATCAAAAGAAGGGGGATCGCATGGAGCCAGAAAATGGCGAGTCCTCGCGATCACAAAGGCGCCATCAGGCAGAGCCCGAATCGTCGGCACCAGGTCATACAATGAAGAAGGCTTCCAAGGATAGCGAAGAATCATCCGAGAAGCGTGCGAAGCCAAAGCATGTCAGAATATCAGATGTATCACAGGATATCGAGCCGGAATCTTCACTGTCCAAAACGAGAAAGCCTGTACTTTCAGAGAGTTCCGAGTCCGCAAGAAAGCGGAAGGATTCGAATTCAGACAGCCCGCAACCACAACAACAAACTAAACGTCGCCGCATAAAAGATTCACAAGACAATCGGGAAGTCGCAGAACAGCCAGAGCCACTTTCATATCGACATCTAGCAGCTGTTACTCGTCGTGTTTCGCTCGAGACTATCAATACGAAGTGGGAGGCTTTACCACCAGGATGTTTGGATAAGATTTCAGAGTTACTGATTGACGTGCAAAGACCGGTTGTTTTACAAATCCACGATGAACGCAGGAAGACTCAAGCCAGCACAGCTATACAAATGATAAGCCGTCGACTTCTGAGTAGGATCCGAAAAGGTATGCCATTTCCTAAAGGTGCAAGAACTAATCGGGAGGATGATTTCGATTTTGAGAAGATACTGGATTACAATCGAGCTTTGGAATCTCAACTTACACCGGTTTTGCATTCAAATGACCTTCTGGAGGCCGAGTTGAGGAAAGAGGAGGTATTACTTGAAAACGAGGAAAGATATCTCGCAGAATTGGAGGCAAATGCAAAGGATGAGGCGATAAGTAGAAGACAAGCGGCTCGCAAGGCTCATCCGTTGCTTCAATTCGAGGTTAATAGCACTGGGAAGGTACTCAATGATAATATTGGTCTTGATGAGGACGCAGATACTGCCTCAATAACTCTCAACGTAAGTTCACATGGTTTCGAATCCTCTTGCACAACTAATTTCTTCTCTAGACCCCGAAATACCAGGATGTCGAAGGCATTTTCAAAAATATCAATGGTCACGTGGACAGCATTAAGGGCAATTTACAACAAGTTGAAGGTATTACTGAAGCTATGGCTAAGAGTAAAGCTTCTGTACAGGCTGCTCTTTTTGCTCATCTCGATCTCGAACAATACAACGATGTGGTTTTGGGTTGAAGGCTTCCGGGAGTTCATCAATTCAAGACATGACGGTTTTAGTGCGAGGAAAGTGGGATTACAGTGTTTAAGTTTGAAAAGGGACATTCCACAGGAACTATCCTGCGTTTTATGGATTATTGGTTTTATGATTATTGTATTAGATACCCAATCTCTATCCATTCATTCATCATTGATATGTATGTAGTAATAATGATCGACAATCTATTGTTCTTTGTACCGAAGTATCTATTGAACCTAGACCACCCTTGGTCAACCTCGCTTCACGATGAAATTTGCAAAAGCTGCCATCGTCCCCGCGCTTCTACACATCAATTTAATAATCCCAAAAACCAAAATCTTGCAACACAAACTTATTCAACAATTTAAAGAGCTTTTAGATTATTTGATTACTTAATTAACACAAGGTAAATTCTCGTTTCCGTGTGATGAGTAGTGAATTGAGCTGACCAAGCTTCAAAGGTCCTTCTAATTCGCAAATTTACCAACAATCAAAAGCCTCGCTCGCCCCCTTCAATAACGGCCAGCGCAACGTCGCAATCCAATGGAACCCTATGAAACTTAGGCTCTGATGCCATGGAACAAAATGGGACCAACAATGGGCAGGATGCAAAGCCACCGGCATCATCTGCAGCTGCTGGCGCAAAGAAGAGGCGTAAAGTAAATCATGGTATGCAAAAGTTTCCCAAGGGAACCAACGACTTCCAAGTTTGAATTACATGATCTGAAACATTGGCTAATTGTGGAACGTCTTCTGCAGCTTGTGTATACTGTCGGCGATCTGTGAGTACTCGATTGGGTCATACTACAAGGGGGTTGGACGGGTGTTTGCATACCGTTATGCGTGACATTGAAATGCCAGTGGCCAGCAGCTAATTCGGTCTTGTCCCTGAGCAGCACATGACATGCGATTTAGTACGACCTTGCGCGAGGTGCACAAAGCGTGGAATTGGGCATCTTTGTCATGATGAGCCCCGCGAACCGGAGTCGACCACGAAGAAAGCAGGCGTGAAAAGCCAGCAGCATCACCATAACAACAACGCTACAGCAGGAACAGCGGAAGAGCTGGGAGGGACACCGCCAGATCTTAAGCTCCAGAATTCTCTTGACAATAGTCTAAATAGCTCGTATGTTACGGGGGAGCAACAGCAGCAGCAACACCAAGGTCAAGATCAAGTTCAAGAAAATAAACTGAGTCTTGGAGCACCAGCAATATCCCGCGGTGTCCCTCTTCAGCTGGCCCAGCCTACACCGGTTTCTGGAATACAAGCGAATGCTTTGAGCAGTAGCAGCAACAATCAATGTATGATTCTTTATATTCACCTAGTTTTCTTCTTATGTCTCCGAGATTACTCTGAAATATTGGGCAGGTATTAATCCTTTTTCGTTATAGTTCTTGGGTATTCAAATGACTGGCTTGGGTCGCAAAACCAATTTCAAGATATGCATAACTACCATCCATCGTACATGTTCAACGCACCGGAAGTCACCAACGAGTACAATCTTTTGAACGATTTCCTCAATAACAGTCTTCTAGACGACGGAGCTCTAGGTACAGAAGATACTTCGAATTTTTATACTGATCAAGCTGGTTCAATGTTATCAGGAGGTAATTCCAACACGCTCACATCAGGAGCGCAACAAGCTTCAGGTAGTGGTCCAACAGGAGGTCTAAATCCACCA